ACGGCAACCTTATTATGCAGTAATTGCTATAAATTGCTTGATAACTACCATGAAACTAGTAAGATATTAGCAGAAATAACAATAAAGTACGTTGTATGCATCATTCATCCTTTATGTTTTTTTTATAAGTCTTGATCAGTGCTTTTGACTTTACTAGCTAGGGACTACATTAAAAAATAAACCAAGTTGGCTAAACAGGCACATTTACAGGATTGTGTTATTAAAGTGCTGTGTTCTAGTAAATCTAAACCAAAGTAAATTAAAGGTAAAATAATGTTACATAAAACCTTCATTGGTCTCTAAAGAGATCAATTATTTCCAGTGTAGCTATGTATACGACACAGGAACAGTTTAAACATACATACAATCTTTGAAAATACAACAATAAAAATAGAAAGAAATACAGTGGTATGCACAAGTTTGGATACCCCTGGTCAAATGTTTTGTTGATTTTGTGAAAATAAGTTAGCATATTCTCTACAGAGAACACATTTTCGCATATCTGAATGCACACATACTGTTTATTTGCTAAATTTAACAAATTGAAAAAATACAAAAAACGTATATATATAAAATATATAAAAAGCCTCAAAAATATACAATCTTATTTGTTAAACTCAGCAAATAAGCAGAAATTGTGCACAAATATTTTCACTTAGAAAAACAACAAAACATGTAATTGGATGGAGAGTATTCAAACCTTTGCTGTAAGTGAACCTATAAATATAAATGTATCCAAGGGCCCTAGGTATCCAATGATACCCAGAGACTGCAAAGGCTAATATTAACAATACCAAAGTGGTAGCAAGAAGACATTTTATGATCTATTTTGCAGTAATTAGTATGTAAGTAATTCGACAATGGCTTTTGTTTTTTTTTGTCCCTGCACTCCAGCACATTAGATCAGAAATAAATGACAGTGAGGTTAAAGAGCAAAATATCAGTCTTAATAAGCAGATATTTACATCATTCTTTGATTTGTTCTGTGTTTTTTATTTGTTACTGAAACTACTGCTACAAATCTTGGAACACTTTGTATAAAAAACAGTTTTAATTCCTGCAGACTTCACTTAATGGATGTACATCTCTTGAATGAAATCTGACATTCTGTACTTCAGTTTCATTTCAAATGCTCAAACCTCAGTGTTCTGGAGAACAGAGCCAAAAACAACACAAAGACGTGCAGTGCACTGTATAAAAACAGGAACTGTATGGAAGGAGAATCTGTCAGTGTCCAGCTACCCAGACTTCTTTATGACCGTACCACACATTTGCAGTCTTAGTATTTACAGTCTGCCAAGTTTGAGTGAATATATCTAGCCGTAGCTCTATCACAGCGAGATGAGATTTCAAAGTGAAGTACCTGTTTGAAGATTCCCAGAATTCCATAGGAGCAGCGAGGACATAAATCAAACAGTAGAACACCTGGTGCCAAAGGCCCCACCACCTGAACCTGCAGCACATACTGCACTCCTCAAACACTCTGTACACACAGAGAGAATGCAGTTATAAATATGGGCTACTGAAGAAGCAGCCAGAAAGACTGACTTAAAAATAAGGAAACTCACTAAATGCTTTAACCTGAATTCTAGCAGGTAGTGAAGGTGCTTTGACACTGACAAAGACCAGTGCAGGTAATCTACAGCAGGCCAAATTTAATTCCGATGGATATGTCCTGGACCATCCATCATGGCTAGCTTTGTCTCTCTCTCTCTACTGCCTAGACCCTCAGTAGGGCAGCGCTAAGCATGAGATGGCCACCACTAATTAAGAGGCACTCTGCATAATAAATGCACTGGTCTCAGCTCCACTGGGGCAAATAGCCTCAATGGTCTGAATTAGTGTTCTAATGGGTCAGAAAAGATGTACTCTGCGTAGCAGATGTCGATTAGGATATACTGTACAGCACTGTGCAAAATTTAGAGACCACGCTTCATTTATTTCACCTCCAGTTAACTTAGTAATTAAATTATTAGAAGTTATGCATTTTCAGCTTCAGAAAAAAAGTAAGAAAACTTACATTCAACAGAAAATTACAAAAGCTCCAACACTTTGGTTTACACCAATAGGCAAGACAACTGTTTACCAAAATTGCTATACATAAAACCCTTCACAACATAAACGCATATCTTAATTTTCCTTTATATGCAGAACACGTTTTTGAAATGTTGTGAGCCAAAAGTTCCTTCAAGGACTGAAGTATAACAAAAGTAGAAAACTTGACTGAAGACTGTGGCTTAATTAAAATTAGGCAAGATGAAATGGCTTGAGAGACTTCACTTACACTTTATCAATCATTCTGCAGTGGCACTGATCTGTTGTGATTTGTGTCCTGCATAAAACACTATAATAACAATAAATTTCTTTCTTGTAAAGACTGTCATGGTTTTAGCAGCACTGATATCCAAAGAAGACTGTTCTTTAAGTGTACTCAAACAATCAGTGATCAGTGATCAATGAAATACTCTATAATATCAAATATTTCAGTATTTAGTGTGTCCAAACTTTATTACAGCTTCTACTCTTTTAAGGAGACTTACTTTCAGTTTTTAATTTTTTTTCCACATTTCCAAGGTTCAGTCTTCATGATCCAAGTAATCCCAAATACATTCAGTGGTGTTGAGGTCTGGACTCTAGGGTGGTCAGTCCCTTGTTCTGAGGACACCAGCAGCTTGTTTGTTTGATTTTCAACTTTTCTCTTTTTTGTCTATTTCCTTTTCTCAGTAACAGATTCTTGACAGTTACACATCCTTTTAGACCCACAGTGTTGAGCTGTTCCACCTGTGGATTTTTCAGATCTGATGCAAGAGTGGAGCTTGATTTTCTCCTCTCTATCAAAGATTAAAGCTTTATGTACTGTTTATCTGGTGGTGACAGTTTTGCATAATTATTATGAGACCCATTTTATCTACATTTTTTAATTTTTACTTTCACCTTTGTGATGCACATAGATTATCTTATATGTAATCTCCTCAGAAATATTTCCTGAAAAATGAATAACTACATAAGTACATAATGATCATTTTGCCAGAACATTTGCCAGGAAAAGGGTGGTCTTTGAACTTTGTATAATACTTTATATAACATATTAAAATACCAACTATTTTTTTCATTCTGTTCTTTTTTTTGGCTCTTCACATCAGAACGTGATTCTATCATCACAGGATTAAGATGTACAAGTCCTGTAAGCATAATGTGGCTATCCGGGAAGCTGGTCAGGTGATATTCCTATATTTTCATTTATTAATCATAAATCTCTCAAAGAAAAACACACATTTACTCTGAAGATTTGAGATGTTTAGGTCAACATGATCAAACCATGAGTGTCTTGATGAGCAGATAAAGCAAAGTGCAGGAAAAAAAAGAATTCCTCTCAATATGTTATCAGTCTACTGAGGCTGCATGCCTGCTCCTTTTCTGTAGCCTGCGGCCGAGTCAGATGTCACATCCTATCTCATCAAAACGCGAGCCGGGAAAAAAGAAAAGAGGGAAACTTTATTCAGTACAAATTGTCAGCAGAATGATGTCTCTCATAGAATTCCCGCTTCTTTCATGTGTGGAATTTGCTAGGCGGCACAGATTAGATTTTTCAGGAATCTGCAGGAATCAATGCCTCTATTGGCAGCTGTGTTAAAACAGAGTGCTGAGGCTTGGTGTTGTGCTGCAGCCGCTGCTGGGATACAGCATTTACCCCCCAGAGAGCATGACTCATTAATCAAATATTCATACAGGCAGCATCGTAAATACAGACAGAACACAAAGTCCCCTCAAAGCTCTGAAGCCCCGGAGCACAAACGCCCTTTCATGTAACACTCACAGAATGGTCGGCATCTTGCTGCATTCTTCTGCCCTAATGCTCCTTTCCTCTCTCCTCTGTGCGGCGTTTCCTAAAAACAGCCCAGAATGAATTTACTGATCATAGACACAAGTGCTGCAAAACACTGTGACTTGATGGCCTCATTGTACTCAGCTGCTGTCGTCTTCATGGCATGCAGCGGTATAAACAGACAACTGATTCTTCTGCGTTGGCCTTCAGAAGGGCAGCTTGTTCCCCCAAACAGGGCCGATAATAAGAGGCCGTGCCCTTTTTAATACAAGAATTTGTATTTAACATGGAAATAGCACAAGCATTGCTCAAACGGAACAGAAACAGGAGAATTAACCATGGCAACATTGAGTCCGACACAAGGAAATTTTCTTTTCCTCTGAAGAGTGTACAATCACCAGTTGTGTGTCTCCTTTTAGTTCCTACCACTCCTTGGCCTGGTTGGGCGTGGGAGGGGATTAACAAGTGCAGTTACTTTTCATCCGGAGTTTTGCACAACTATTAGGAAAGACAGTTAAATTCAAACAAGAACACAAAGGAGTTGAAGGGAAACTCTACCAATTTTTCAAAATTTCTATAATTAAATGATTAAGATGTGAACAAAATCATTCAGAGTGGTTTGCTGTGAAATGCTCACTTCTAGAGAATCTTTTAGAGTCTGAATTGTTCACAGCGGCAGTAATAGGAACCAGACATTTGAAGAGGTTAAAGCTCCCTCATAGAAAGTTGTTACATGAACTGGTTATGAATATGCAGCCCTGTTTTAAAAAGGTTTTGGACTGAAACTATTTTTTAAAACACATTAAATGGTGGAGGGGTACATGCAGGATATTGTAAGGCAAAATAGTTCCCAATGAAAAAAACTTTTAGAAAAATATTTTCAAACTTACAAGACACGTGTAGGTTCACTGGTGGTTTTGGATAGGAAATAAAATCTCTATAGTAAAATAGTAAATAAAATCGCTATAATCGTGTTGTAGGCATTGCGACCCCTTATTCCTGTCACCACCACTGTAAAAAAAAAAATCTCAGCCGGTAAGCTTCTGTACAAAGAACTATTTCACATCAAAACACTATGAGCAAGTTAATCATCCCAACAATTGAATTTGCAAACATTTTGAAAAATTGGTGTGATTTTAGTCTGATTTTAAAATAAAAACCATGAAAATGCATATAATCTATTCAAAGTCTTTAATTTATTTTACATAATTGTGGAGCCTAACATTTTAAAAACAAAACATTAATGACCACTGTGAAAACTGATTTTGGCAAAACAAGCATGTGTTTTTATCTACTAGTAGTCCGCAAAATCTTTAGCCCTCGTTAAAAATGACAGAACATATTATCTCCTCACACAAACCAGCAGGTAACAAATGAGTGACATGAACGAGAACTAGTGTTACAGCTGTATGTAGTATCAAGTACTTTGGTTTACACCAATGGGTGAAACGACTGTTTACCAAAATTGCTATACATAAAACCCTCCACAAAGAGAACACACATCTTAAGAATTTTCCTTTATATGCAGAACACGTTATTGAAATGTTATGAGCCAAAAGTTCCTTCAAGGACTAAAGTATAGCAAAAGTAGAGAACTTGACTGAAGACTGTGGCTTAATTAAAAACGCCTATAGGCAAGATGAAATGGCTTGGGAGACTTCACTTACTTTTATCAATCTTTCTGCAGTGGCACTGATCTGTTGTGACTTGTGTCCTGCAGAAAGCACTATCATAACAATAAATTTCGCTCTTGTAAAGACTGTCATGGTTTTAGCAGCACTGATATCCAATGAAAACTCTTCTTTAAGTGTACTCAAACTGGACTTCATTTAAAGCAGAAAACAATCATTAATCAACATGCATATACTACTGTACATCATATACTCGCGTCCCATTCCACTGTGTGTGCGTCTGTGTAAAAGTGCTACGTTTTCAGTGTGTCTTTACAGTACATTTTGGAAGCACACAGAGCTTGTAAGCTTTTCTATTAGCATTACATCCTGCATGTTTCCAGGAGGCACTATTGCATGATTTTACAGGCTGTGTAGAATTTACAAGCCTACAGTTGTATGCCAAAGTTTGAACCACATCTGGTCAAACTGCATGTTTTGTTGATTTTCTAAGTGAGAATATGACATCCTCTACAGGGAACTTAAATATGGCATTTTTCTGCACATTTTACTGCATAGTTTCTATTTATTTGCTGAGTCAAACAAACTGGAAAAGATGCAGCATAAAATGACTAAATGTGCCATAACTTTTGTACAGGCTATATTTTACGTTATCTTTTCCCCCAAATTGTTAAATTCAGCAAATAAACAAGAAATGTACAGACGTGTTCTCTGTAGAGGAGGTGTACCTATTTTCACTTTAACAAAAATCAACAAAACGTCATCTGGCCCTGGGCGCTTAAACTTTTGCATATGACTGCATAAGTACACTCTTCTTTCTACTTTCTACTTCTCTACAATTAAAGCACACAGTGCTATAGTCTGGAAGTCTGCACAATGACGAGCTGACTATTCACAGCTAAACTGGAGTGTCATGCATCCCTTCCAGAAAAAAATGAATTATTTGTTATTTTTTAAGACCTGTGACAGAAAGAATGAATATTAAGTACCAACTATCATATTAACACTAGTTACATTGCTCAGAAAAAAAAAAAATCAAATTTCATAGTTAGTACTGGATATATGTTACACACTACCATTCATTGGCATCATTATAATACCCTGAAAAAGTTCCCTCTCTGATCACATAGGAAATGTATGTTGAGTGTAAGCATCTGTTTTACAGTGTTAGGTTGAAATCAGGGCTTGTGTTCACAGTCTTGGAGTGCTGTTTATGGATGGTGATAGTTCCTTGCTCTTAGACACTGATCAGAAAAGACAAGAAAAAACATAAACTCGGAACCCGACATTGCTTAGGGTACAGGCCCAACATACACAGTGCATCCCGTAATATAATTCTTTACACCTGATATGACTGAACCATTTAAATCATGTTGATGGAAAGAAATACCATGTCCAAAACAGCATTCCTACTCTGTAAATACAGGCCACAGGTTAGGGCTCCAAGCTCCTGGCCCTAACTCACAGCAGCACAAAGTCCCCTGCAGTAGCTCCAGTTTTTCGTTTGTCTCTGACGAAGGGCCACTCTTTCTTCTCCGCAGGGACTGATAGCTCATAATCTCGCCCGTGTCCTTTCATAAAGGTAAATGCTGGGTACTTCTCTTTCAATGAAGGCTGCAGCACCTATCCAATACAAACACAGAGAAGCAAATACATAAACACTTTGTGAAAAAAAATATTTTAAGATACCGATTTTAACATTTTTCTTCTCAAATGCAGACAGCGAGGCAGAGATGACAAAGTCTGAACTCCTGGTAAAGAAGGTCCATGACTTGACTCAAGCACGTTATTTTACACAGCTAAATGCTGCCACCTGCTGGCAGCTTCTAAACCCACTGCAGTGATCGGACTAGGCTGGACTGTTCTCAGATTCACCTACACATCAGGTTTAGGATAAGGTCATGGAGCTACAAGGCTAACACGGCTAACAAATACTAAAAGGCAATAGTCACCCACATCTTTTTCTGTAAATATATTCACAAAACTTCTCTCAACCCACTAAAACCTCATTCAGCTCTTCATTAAGGTTGCACAGACTTCTCAATGTGGTTTAGAGCACAATATGACATACAACATAATATACAGAATATGATTAATAAACTATAAAAATGGACAAAACATTACTGGACGCTGTAGGCAGCCGCTTTAGACAACAGCGTTGTTATGCTGAATTTCGAAAGGAATTCCGCCTTAGTGTGAACGATGTCATGCAAGCATATGGACGCCACAGCCTGAATTCACAATTTATATTGCTTCTATTTATTTTTTAACCAAAATATATGCTTATAAATAGAAACAGAAATCTCAAATGTAATGTAGCATCCATGTGCCTGTAGGAAACTGCAAGCGAAGTGGATTCGGAATTCGGCATAACACAGACACTATGTTTAAAGTGTCTGACTGCAGCAATCAGGTACACAGAGAGGCGTTGTTCATTTTTATAGTTCACTGGTTATTTTGTACTATGTCCTAAACCACTTTTTTTTTATGGATATATTTATGTAAAACATTTAGATATTTGGGTAAAGAATATTGACTTTAAGTGTTTGTTAGCAAACATTAGTCTTGTAGCTTCAGTGCTAAACTAAAGAAGTAAAACTTGGACACCAAACATGTCTTGGCTGATTGATTAATTCTAGGATGAGTGGAAAATTCTGTAAATTAGATTTTTTGCCGAACCATTTCGCAAGCTCTTCTTTCTAGAAATTGTACACAAATGTTCATTTCAACTCACCTTTGAAAGTTCATTGCAGATTCTTTCGTAATCTTGAACACTTTTTGAGTAGAATCCAATAGTGCAGCTGGGGTCCATTTTAATGAAAGGCATCTTCTTTGGTGACGGGCAATGATACGACTACAAACAACACAGTAATGAAATGTATTAGAATTACTACTTTCTGAATTCAATATTGATGTATAGAGGAATAGCATCTAACAGAGGTTTTCATGTAGTAGTTGCTACAAGTCTCTCAGAATAGAATTTTTACATGACCATGTGAACCAGACAAAACAAATAAAAGCCTCAACTTGGCCAACCCAAATGTATTTTCACAAACTTCTTTTTTCCAACAAATGTTACATTCTAGCTGTTAGTTGCTGTGACAGACAGGCCAAAGGAAAGGATCCATATTTCTGTCTGTCATGCCGCATACTACCGCATACCAAAGTGTAAAAATAAGTTATGATGCTGAAATAAAAAAAAGAAAAATATGATATACTACTACTGTATGCTAGAGCTGATATATATAACAGTACATATTTTAGACTGTGCTTCCCTTTTTGTAGGAGATACGTCTTAGATGTCAGACAGAGGGGTAAATCGACTCTCTTGTGTTCAGTAATTGAGTGCAGAGGGCTGCTTTAAGATTCATACCCTTAAGTACTAACAGAAACTATTAAATTCACATCACTAGGCAGCGGTCAGCTTTTTGTAATTCCACATTACCTGCAGAAGAAAATCGCTTGTGCTGACATCCACAAAAGACTGACAGTAATGAGGGTCCATGTAAATCAAGCTGTCATCTGCAAGGACAAAACAAAAGACAAGTTATTCAAAAAAACACCCCGATTATTATAATGCATATCCTTCCTCAATTTCTATGCAGAGCAGTTCAAAGTCATCCACAGAGTCTGTTGGCTTCCTAACAATTGTGAGCTCAAGTATGCAGGATTTATTTATTTATTTATTTTTGCTTAGTCCTTTCCCGAATTGGAATGGATTAAACCCTGCATAATCAAATCTGGTTGTACAAGCACATTCTTTACACCGCAAAGGGGACTGTCATTTAATTTTGGTGCGGGAAAATTACTTTTACAAACACGCAATTATATTCCATCATTTGCATATGATAAATGCAAGCGGCAGGTCGGACCTGGCAGGGAGAATGTATTGCTTGTCGTTTAGACATCATCGCCAGCTGTATTTCAAATTGCTAAAATGTAAATGGGTAAATATTGACTACCAGCATGTACAACTGAAGGTTCCTACTGGCTGCTGAAGGTGATGGAGAGTGGGCTGCTTTGTGTAGCGTGGACATTTATGCATGCTACTTATGGAAATCTATTATAACTCCTACCTGGGATGCTCATACGTGATGAATGGGGCACCGTTTTGATGGGTCAGAGAAAATAAAATAAGCACGGTTTCACTGATGGGGCTTGTGTCTCTGCAGAATGCATTAACTTACTTGTTCTCTTTTTGAACCTTTGAAAAATTATGCAAAATGAGCTCGGAGTAAGAGACTCACCTTGAAATCCAACAAAGTAGTAGGCCTGTTTTGGTTTCCCTCCGATGATGCCGATACAGTACTCCAGACTTAAAATGCCCTGGGGAGAGTAAATTATGCTGAAATGTAATAAACTTAATCCATTTTTGTTATTATCCGTTTGAGGATACTCATGAGGAAAACTAGAGCGGTTGCTGTTGCATTAAAAATGGACATAAATCTTATAATCTTGAGACACTGATGGATGTGAAATAACGTGACATGTTCACCTACCACCTTTTGAAGATGCCTATAAATCTATGAGGCCACATTAGCAATAGTGGAACAACTGGTACAACCCTAGATACATTCAGCGTCAAAAGTAAAAGGACAGTGATGTGTAAGGACTTTTACTAAGGCATTTAGGTCTAAGCTTTTTTTTTTTACCTACAATCATTGACATGTGACTTCTGTTATTTAATAAAATTGCTATAATAATACTATATTACATTGTTTTTCTTATATGATTCTAAATTAATACTTATAATTTCTTGTAATACTGTTTATCACCTGTCTGTAAAGCTCTTTGTGCTGCCACCGGCATGAAATAAATACAAATTATTATTATTATTATTATTATTATTAATATTACTTCATTTAATTTCCAAACAGCCAGTATAAAAAAAGAAAACAACAACTAAACATTGTATCTTTTTTTTTTAGTATTTAATGTGTCCATGCTTTGCCGTTATTACAGCTTCTATTCTTTTCAGGACACTTGCTTTCAGTTTTTCAAAGAAATCTGCACGGATATTTTTCCATACTTCCAAAGTTCAGTCTTGAAAGTTGCTTGTATTTTCTGTTTCTAGTGATTCAAGAAATCCCAAACACATTCAATGATGAGGTCTGGGCTCTGGGGTGGCCAGTTCATCGTTGTGAGAACACCAGCAGCTTCTTTGTTTGATTGTAAACTATCTTCTTTTTTGTCTATAACTTTTTCTCAGTAACATCTTTTTTACAGGTACATGTTTTTTTCAGCCATTGTCAGTCTTAGCCACAGTATGTCTGGCCTCTCACTGTAGAAGAATGGACAGAAACACCTGTGATTTTTTTCAAATGGAAAGTAAGAGTGGAGTTGATTTTCTCCTCTCTCTCAAAGATAAAAGCTTTAAGTATGGATAATCTGATGATGACAGATTTGGTGGGGTACAAGGTCCCATTTTCTCTGTATCTTTTAATAATATTTGAACTCCTTTGCCCTTCCTTATGCAAGTGGATTATCTCTTATAAATAAATCATTTTGCTTAAGGGCTGTTTTGACTGGAAATCAAATAAATGAAGGGTGGTCTCTGACTTTTGCACAGTACTGAATATATACTTTTATACTATTTTTCTCTTTTACAGAATTTGAAATGCTAACAGGCCTTTACATTGTGCTGAAAGTTCATGATGAGTAGAAATGACCCCAGTGACTGTTCATAGTTAACTAGCCTCACCTTGACAAAGTTGAAGTAGTCAGGGTTAATCTTCTCTCCACCCAGTCTGACAGGGATGAGGATGATGACGGCCCTGCTGTCAGCGACAGGCCCCTCAGGGCCCCCACATGCGTCCGCCCGAGCTGAGTGGCTCTCAATAACATCAGCACTGTACACTACAGTTAATCAATAACACAGAGGTCACAGTAAGGTCATTTGCCTGTCTCTCACAGTTATTTAGTGCAAGCATATAGGTCTGATTGCATTTTTTTAGTCTTCCTTGCATTTAGAATAGCTAAAGAAAGCAATGGACACTCCCAAACAGCTTAACCAGTAAACTAAACTTACAAATAGAAAATTAATGTATTACTTATTTGGTTGCATACACACTTCACTTTTATTTAGTTCATGAGCTAAGAATGAACACAAACTGTGAACCTTTCTGAGAAATGTACTGAAGCATACTGAAACAATGGACTGTGCAGCAGACAGTCTGCCAGCAAAAGCCTGATCAGTTGAGAGGAGGCTAAATTCTTGCTGTCTTGCTTGCTGTATGTATTTGTTATGCTAAACAACAAGACCTCACAGTCATTTTCCATACCTGTGCAGTCCTGTGCCACATAAACATTTATGCCTCTCAGTCCTGGGTCTGTCGCCTCCTCCACAGCTTTTCTAAACTCCCCACAATTAGGAAACAGAAAGAGGGTTAATAATTTAAATTTCACCCTCAGTATTTACTCTGCTGAAAACCCTTAACATGTCACATTGTGTACACCTGTGGCATAGTTAATATATGATTAATTAACCCTCTAGACCCCAGGAGAATGTAAACACTCTTCTGAGATTCCTAGGAATTTTCGGTGTTAGAGGCTTATTGGTCACTGATTTAAAGAAAACCTTTTTTTTGTAAAATCAGCACAAAATGACCATTAGAAGTTTATTTTCATTGAAGCTGAGTTCTACCTCTTTTTTAATGAAAACAAAACCAAAAAAGACTGAAGGGAAAAGGGGTAGTGAAATTGCAATATTGCATAATAATATATTACCAAACATCAGCATTTCATAACAATGAGTCTAGGCTATTAATAAATAAAAAAGATCATATCATACTCATATAGATAAAGGCTGCATATAAATAAATTCCTAGCTTAAGAATGCAGCTACAATTTCACAGGTGGTGAAAATGCTAAAATGATAACCAAACACAAGTTCATTTAATGCTTATTTTGACAGCTTGAGGAGGTATCACAAAAGGACATGTATAAATAAAAATGTGTTACAAAAAACCTGTAATGTTTTGATAGTGCAGAAAGTCACAGAATTCATCTCAGTAAATTACGCCCCTCTGTGCACAGAGGACGCAGAGAAACACAGCGTGGCCGGCTGAGGCTGCTGCAGGGTCTAAAGAGCTAAGCGGCATTTCAAAGTAAAAAAATAATAATATAATGCAAAGCATTCTACATTTTAATTAGAAAATGCATTCTACATTTCAATTACTGCTTGCACCAGTGGCGGTTAATACTGTACTGCAGCGGAGTAGTAGCATTTAGCACAGACATGAACTAAACATACCAACCTGAGTATGTGTGCAACCACTGCAGGACCGTACCAATCCCCCGCTCTTTTTCCTGAGGCCATGCCCAGATGGACCAGCCTGTGGACTCCCAGCTGAGCTGAGGGAGTGTCTCCAAACCAGGAAACAATGGTGCGGTGGTACACCTCTTTCAGGTGGGAATCAGCCTCCTCTGCACCACCCTGGCAGAGGTGCTCCGGGACTCTTGGTCTGTCTACCTGGAATGAAGCTTCTATTGAGGCTACCAGCCTTCGTGCTGCACTGCTTGTTCGTGTCTCTGTGTCCAGAGCCTCCAAAGTGAGTGCCTCAGGCCACGTCCAGTCTAAGAGCAAACAGGGAGTGAAAGTATTCTTTTAGAATTCAGGGTAAATAAAAGCAAACACAATTAGATAGTAGCTATAGTTTACTATTAGCTTAGTAATTGTCCTCATAACTGCTGTGGACATCTAGCAGCATCGCACAGCACTATTCTGATCAAAATACATCATCTGTTCTACAAAGTGCACTATATGTCAAAAAATAACCAGACACACAGCTTGTGTAATCTCCACAGAAAAGCACTACTAATAGAATAGGACACTCTGGAGCAGCTGCATGTGAGCCTAAGATCATGACCAAGCACTTGCCAGAGGCATAAACAAAGCTCCCCAACTCTGGGCTGTGGAACAGTGGAACTGCATTCTCTGGAGTGATGGAGAATCACTGAATACCTTTGGGATGAGTTGAAATGGCATTTGTGATCGAGAACTCATCATCCAACATCAGTACCTGACCTCATTGATGCTCTTGTGGCTGAATGCAATCAAATCCTCACAGCAATATTAATATGTTGGATGAGCAGGGGTCTACAAACTTTGGGAGGTATGGTGTATCACTGTACAAATGCCTGTATTACTCTGTAACATGTTGTAAATAACACTGGATTCTATGCCTTCTCCGGCCTTGAGACATGCATATTCACTGATTCATCTCTTTTTGGCACCTATTTGACACCTATTTTCCATCTTATCACCTTTTTAACTATTTTATTTATTTCCCCTTTATTTATGTTACATCTCATATTTGTGGACTCACCAAGATAAATTCTTAACATACTTGGTGAAATAAGACCGACTCTGATGCTGAAGAAAAGTGGTACAATTTGCAAGACAAACGAGGAACCTGAACCTTATATGATGAAACATGACATACAGATTCATGTAATAAGTGTTTTTCTTCTGGGTAACTTAAATTAGTACTGCAAAACTCTCAAAGACCAAATTACACAAAAACACAGGTATCTGTACATTTTAGCTTCCCTTGATCAAAATCTTTTTCATTATGTGTACATTTATTAGCCAATCTTTACTTAGTTAATTAGCCAATTAAAATAGCCTGAAATTGTCCATATGGTACTGATGAGCAATAGAAATGCCTTTCAGAAGTCCTCAAATAAAGTTGCTTTAAATCACACCAAGCTATTTTACAGACACATTTAAGTTTGACTTTTAATGAGAAGGGCTAACACTTAAGGAACAGTCCAATTACAAGATTCAGTGTGGCCAGTATTTCACTTTTACAGCATTTTACCCGTACAAACATGGTGGGTACCTAAAGTGGCAGTGGTAGGAGTGGCGAGGGTCATAAAGGGTGCTGGACTTGGCTCTGAAGCATTAAGGTAATGACCTTGCTAAGTGTCAGATCATGTAATTGATCAATAAATATCATTTACTGGCCATCAGTTACTTTCTAGAGATTTTTGTAATGACATATTTCAGACTAGCCATCGTCTCCAACTGATGCTTAAACGTTGTTTTCCAAATGGAGGTGATAAATTGAAATTTGAGATCACCTGTTCTATTAACCTGTTTTATTAAAAGGGAGCTATCTTCGCCACAGGAGACCCCACTTATCATTTGAAACTTAATCTCAATTTCAGCCCACTTGGATTCCACAAGAACGTCTGAATCCAGTATAATTTCACCTGGAATTGAAGACTGCATTTCTGCATGAATGATGAACAAAGACTCAGCAAAACAAGAAAAATACTGACTTGCATTTGAAACATGCTCAACCAATGGATGAGCTAAATCAGATTCATTGGAGCACTGTGTCCAGACAGAATGAGACTAGATTTTCTGAGATATTTTTGACACTGGGATTTTCTAATAAGGCAGTTATCAGCTAAAATTATTATGTTACAGCAATCGGTGTGGAGTTACATAGGTGTCAACCTCTAGAGACAGTAAACCTTATATTCACAGCCTCCAAACAGTATAAATTCACTTACATCTGTATTGTACACTAGCAACAAAGCCAATTAATCAGGTTTTATCCAGTTTTACTTTGAAGTATTCCTCCAGTAATCATGCTAATTACTTCATACACAAAGAGTAATTTATTTTTAATTTATCTGACAGTTAAGCAGCTAAACAGCCTCTCAATCAGTTAAAGATGCATACAAACACAACCAAAGGCAGTCAAAGAGAGAGCAGAGTAGACCCAGTGAGAAGTTTAGACCTTTTCAGCATATTTGGACTCCAGTCTTCATTTAAACAATGCTGATAGATAAAGGTGACATAATATAACAAGTGATAACGTTTTTGTCATCCTGTATATAATATGATTATGATCATGAATATATGAAATAAACAGAAATGCAATTTATTTTCGTAGAAAAATTAAGTACACCATATATAAAGTATTTACCCCATCCCAATTTATTTCTTCGATTTTTTACGTATTTGTCACACTTGAATGTTTCAGATCTGTTTGCTGATGATTTCATTTATTGAAAGAAAAATGCAGTTCAGCCCTACCTGGCCCTATGTGAACAAGTAAATGCCCTTTTAGCTACTAAATCAACCAGTTAACCAAATTCAATTGACTACTGGATTCAGTTTCACTAGCCACACCCAGGCATGATTACCGTCAGACCTGTTGAATCTAAACACCACTTTAATAGAACTTATCTGTCAATGTGAAGCAGGCTAAAAAAACTCAAAAAGCAGCACGATATCACATTCTAAAGTGATTCAAATACAGATGCAAAACAAAGTCACTGAAATCTACCAGTCTGGAAAGGGTTACAAAGCCATTGCTAAGGCTCGGAGACTCCAGCGATCCATAGTGAGAGCCATTATCCACAAATGTAGCAAAGTTGGAACAGTGGTTAACCATTCCCAGGAGGGGCTGGCCCACCAAAATTTCACTAAGAGTGCATCGACGACTCATGCAGGAGGTCACAAAAGAAACTAGATGAACATCTAAAGAACTGCAGGCCTCATTTGCTTCAGTTAAGGTCAATGTACATGATTCCACAATATGAAAGACACTGGACAAAAACTGCATTCATAGGAGAGTTGCAAGGTGCAAACCACTGCTGACCAAAAAAAATAAAACACTGAGGCTCGTCACCCATTTGCCAAAAATATCTAGATGATGCCCAAGACTGCTGGGATAATATTCTGTGGACTGATGAGTCAAATGTGGAACTTCTTGGAGGACATGGGTCCCATCACTGATTATTCCATTTACTGAAGATAAAGATTTATTCAAAACCTATAATCACCCATGTGAAAAAGTAATTGCCCCCAAACCTAATAACTGGTAGTGCCTCCCTTGACAGTAGGAACTGCCATCAAACATTTGCTGTAACTTGGGATGCAAAGAACTTTTACATCGCTGTGGAGGAAGTTTTACCCACTCTTCTTTGCAGAATTATTTTAATTCAGTCACTTTGGAGGGTTTTCAAGCATGAACTGCAGGAGAGCAGCAATGCTGTGCATCACCACAACATTAATATGAACACTCAAAACTTACCTCTACCCAAGAAATGTAGCACGAGTGCCTGGGCCAGCATCATTTGCCCCGCCCTGAGAGTACAGCCCCATCCACAGTCCGAAGTGACAGCAGAGTCTGGGAGAGTGTCAAACTCTTCCCGATAGGTAAGCCACACACGGGAAGCAAAGTCCCTCCGAAAGTCATCAACGTTGCCCATGACAACATTGTCATCAAACTCATCAACTGTACAGCTTTCTGTAGGGCTTTCTTCATCTGTGAACACAAGCAGCAATCCACAGCAGTCAAACATTGTAGAATATGGTAGAGAATGGCGTTTGTTTGTTTGTGTGTGTGGTGTTTCATTTACCCTCTGCCTTAAAGTGATAACATTTCCCCAGCAGGAAAACTGGAGAATTACGACTAAAGGAAGTCTTTGTTTTCAGAACCCAACCTGTAAAAGGAAACAATTACATTTTATTTTATATTTTAAAACGGTGACCACTTTATCTTATTACCAGACACATTCTGCTTAGCTCTTCACCTAGTGATTACTACCTAACGCAACCCATTAGTTCAAAGCAGTGGTGCCCAAACTTTCTGTCTTGGGGGCCCAAAGTATAATGTTTGTGGTGGGCCCAAGTCCAAAAGAACAAAATTATTAGCTAGCATGTCAGTGTTACATTTTTGCATGCAAGTATACATGGAAATATTTGGAGTGTGTGTGCTTTCATGAGGATAATGAACGTTGTATTCTTTAAATTCAGCTCTTTAAAGATATTCCTCACTCCAGGGGCCCCTAACTCTCCTCATGTGACACTGCCTGTTATGGCCACTGTCCATATCTGTCATTAACTTATAACTGGAAGCTATGTGTTGCTACATCTGCCTTGCGCTTTGTGATAACTGTGTGGTGTTAAGGGTCACGGTTTTTTATTTTTTTAACATTAGACCATAGGTTTTCTTATGAGAAGGTATCTGGAAAAAATCAAATCTTAAAAGAAAAATATGAAGTCACCTATAAAAATGTTTGTTTTCTCATTGGGTGACATGTCAATCTTGAAATGTTTGCTACTGTGTAGGACTGCTATGTTTATCTGTCTTCCTAGACAAAATCTAGTCTACTAACCTTCTAAAACATCTTAAGATAATTTGGTTCACCCGAAAATTTAAGAGCCAGTGCCTCTAGAACTTACTGTACTTCATACTGTGCCATGCTGACATGAACCTCGACTTTAGCTTCTCCACCTCGTCGGTCCCTTTAGTCTCCATTTCATCAGCCAAGGAGGAGTAGAACCCATCACAGCTTGCACACAGGGAAACGGCCTGGAATGCTAATAAAACAATAACAGGTCACACTACAGAAAAGATAAGATACCTGACAAACTGCTGACCAAACGTTAAATAATTAAGCTATCCATCCACTCACAGAACAGAACAGACTGCAGAACAGTGTTTCTTAACCCGGGTCCGGGAAGCCCACTGCCCTGCACATTTGAGTGTTTTTCCTGCTTTAAAATAGCCACCATAACTCAATAATGAACTGTTAAAGAGCTGATTAGTTGGATCAGGTGTGCTAGAAGCAGAGAAAACACTAAAAAGTGCAGGGCAGTGGGCCTCCAGGACCAGGGTGTAGAAACACTGGTGTAGGACATTTTAGTAAGGTTACATTCAGTTTTGAGACTGGTGTGTTAGTATGGTATGACGTCTACTTTCAGTAGTAGCACTTGCGTATTTGATATTACTACTGCTGATTGACAGATGTAGGTAAACGTCTCACGTTACATTAATAAAGAGATCTAACCACGCAAAATGATGGCCCATGTCCCCTAAGCTCTGGTCCCAGTAGACAGGTAGCTAGCTAGCTACTAAATATCCCCTAATGATAACTGTAATACTAATAATATGCGATGCTACACGATAACGCTAACTGACCAAAACTTGTGGTGGAAAACGTTTTCCCATAACCCATTGCAACTTTTCATAATCAATGAGTGTCTTTAAAGGAGTTTACTACACAGTAGCAGTCTATTTTCTGGATTGTATTGATCAAATCTCTCAGAAAACGATGCTGGCTGGCTTAGAGAAGTTAGCCGAAGCCGCTAAGCTGTCAGTATTAGGTGCCGTTATGCTAGTTGCTAGCTGAATTTATAAACCTCAGACAAAAGGAAATTCGACCGCATAGTGCAGATTACCAGAGACTCTCTGTTATGATATGTATAGACGATGTAAAAAGCGACTGTACCTGTTCAGACAATCTGAAACATTTAACTTAGGAACTCACTTTGCCTGCAGATCACTTTTGTTTACATTTTGAGGAAGTAGCCAGTGGAGCGGTTCTCGCGAGGTTTCACGGCGTGTGTGTGTGTGTGTGTGTGTGTGTGTGTGTGTGTTACGCCCACAGTCTGACATATTCTCATCATCTTCATCATCTTATCATCCGCTGCAGACAATTTCTGTTGAGTTCTGGATAGATTTTTTGATAAATTAGCTCGTTCCAACTTGCCCGTGTGTGAACGATATGACAGACACAACGGGCCTCATTTACCAACCATTCTAAAGAAGAAATCTCTTCTTAAAACCCACTCACGCAGTTTTCACGAATATACTGACATTCACCAATGTTTCATTTGAGATTCGTTCTCAGGGAAGAACAGAATCTACACACACTTAATCTGATGTGGACTTTTTCTTAGGACCTTTCTCAAGAACACATTTAAGAAAAAACTCAGGAAGATATTGGTGAATGAAGCCCAATGATCTTTTGTATAGGGAGGATTGAGGTGTTCTTGGCCATCAAGTAATAGTGCACAGTTCACAATCAAATAAGATTCTTTATGGGCTCTCTCTAGTGCAGTTATAGAAATAATAAACAACCACTTATCATATTAATAATTGCTGTTATTTTATTCAGTTCTAACGTATACAGTGCACATTAAGATATTATACTATAGAGAGTATTTCATTACTATGAAGATTTATTAAATAAGTTTTTTGGGGTCAAAAATATTAAATATGAGACATGCATGATGTTATTACGAGTTATTCTAGGTGTTAATTTTATTATTTTAATCTCAGTCTTTAAGGAATTATCTACAACTGTTTATTATTCTGGATGCATCTAAAATGTAATTCTATACACACACACACACACACACACACAAACACACACACACATACAACAAGAACCACAATAATATACAATACATTTGTTTATTCCGATTTCAGCTTCTGCTTGTTAGTGTATTTTTTGTAATTGGCTAAATAAAAATACTAAAATTGCCTAAATAATATTTAAGTGTTTTAGAGGAAATAATGATAATAAATAAAAGGGTGGCTTTATCATTCAGCAATGACACTGAGTGACAATACTACCTGTTACAGAGGCAGCATCATCATAATTATGCTGCAGTCATGAAAGCTCTGATCTGTTTTAATATTCTTTAATTTGTTTGAACTTTGAACTGCATTTCAGATTAAAGTTATTAATATTAATTGCTTTCAAAATTGGTTTAGTATTCTTTAAAGCTATTGATGATTTAGCACAGATATAGACTGACAGATCATGATCCAAGCTGTTTTTATTTTTAATTCTTTTTTAATTAAGTGCTGGCTATTGAACAACCCCAGAGAAAAGCACCAGAAGAAGAAGTAGGAGCTGGAGAAGGACTCTTCTGTTTTTATTAACCAAAAGTTAATCAGCCTCCATCTCCACCATCTATTACCAGTATGTTTTTATATATATTATATAAGCAGGTCAAAATAAGCATGTCATTAGCTCTCGCTGTTGTTTTAATCATAAGTTATATATATGTTTGATGTGTTTATTCATTGTATTCTTTTTACTGTAACTTTGCAATCTTACATTATTACAAGTTTACTTTTTATTTCTTAACGTTTTTAATGCCTCCAACGTATGTTATCTTTTCTTTAAATGAGTTATCATCTGTTTGCATGTATAGGCCAAACATATTAATTGAGATGAATACGAAAAGTGCAATGTTATTATTATTATTATTATTATTAATAAAAATGTACATTTAAATGTATTATTAAAATATTTTACATTTCAATAAAACTGCCGGATTTTAATAACGGATACACTTCACACATCATCCAGCTGTATTGGTTTCCTGCTCCATTGTTGTGTTTGGTGTTCAGGATATGAATCATGCCCCTCTCCCACACTAACGCGCCCCCCGGTGCCTGCAGTGTGACTGAAACTCTACACGGGAAAAGCAGAGAAATAGAACTGAAATGCCTGCGCTTTGTTTCGAGGTCGATGTCAAACGGGCTGCTTGTGTGTGCGTTTCTGCTGTAGTGAGGCTGAGCGTGTTTTCCCGCTGAGGGCAGGATTCGCGGTGCGTCGCCTCGCCGTGTTGTACGGTAATCTCTCTCTGGGCGCTGGTGCTGCTGCTCTGTTCTCCGCCACGGACTGGAAAGACACTGGAGAGCCTGGCCTGGGAACTGGAGCACTCAGCGGCCACAGCCATGGCGGAGCGCCGCGCCTTCGCCCAAAAAATAAGCAGGTAAGGCGGTTTCACTCCGCTTTCGCCATGCAGAGGCCTGTTCGTGCTCACTCCGTGCTCGCTCTCCTCGGCTTGCTTAATCTTCGTGGATGGCTGTGCTGGCTCACCCATTCCCAAAGAAGGCCTAGAGAGAGACGGGGCTCCAGTCAGCCCGTGTTAGCTGCTGAGCTAGCCTAGCACTGCTGTAGAGCCCGCAATCAAAGATGCCTGAGTGACCCACCCTGCTGCTCTCCAGGCGCACTCAGCGATGGCTTTGTGCCGTCGGGCACATTACATTGGTTCTGTTCACGCTTATTCATTACTCCGCTGACCCAAACTGAATGATGAAGCGGTCTTCCTCGTGCAGCGAGATTTCAATGGAAATTCTTTGATTTGGAGGGAGGCGACGATTGCTTGACATACTGACACATCGAGTATCGAGTAGCGTCTCGTCGCAGATCATTAGCTGGTCACTCAATTAGTCAGAACTACCGTCTAGTCTGCTTTCACTTCGGTCCTCGGTGCTGATGGAGAACTAGGTTATCTCTAACGGTATTAGATGGATTTTAATAAGGGGTTGTGGCTCAGGAGAGGCTGAGCTGCTTGCCACAACGCTGCTTTATGTTCACGTAGGCAATGAATTGGGTCACTGGAGACAATCCAGTATATAGAGTTAAGGAATCAGTCCACTCTTATTGCCACTTGGTTAGTATACCAGTGTTTTATGTAACTTGTCTTTGTGGTAAGAGCTCTAAATGAGAGCTGCTGGCCTAGAGCTCCAACTATAACTACTTAACTCATACCTCCTTCAGTGTGAAGCATGGGATTTCAAAAGAGGAAACATATGTGCTCATGTTTTTTATAGTTTTTCCAGAATGACTGTTCGCCAGGCCCTTGGTTGGCTTTGCTGCAGAGATTTTCTCTCATAATCTGTAACATTGACTTTGTCAGTGGCTCTGTGTCGTTGAGAGATGTAATATTCTTTGTTACATTAGCCTTGCTCAGCAAATTTAATAATTGTTTTTGTGTGCTCCATTCAGTTTTAGGCCCTAACAGCCATTTTATAATGATTTGGACCCTTAGATTAAGTGTCTCAGTATTTACTCTAAAACTGCTATATGCCAGGGGGTTATCTGAGAGTAGTACTGCAGTATGACAGTGGTTATAGTGGCACAGCCCTTGTTTCTCTGCTGATTCGATTTGAGCTCGACTTAAGACCCAGTAAGGTATTAGTGGCACAAAACAAATGGGAAGTTATTCTTGAAAATGTTGTATTGTTGGAGTGTCAAAAAGCAGAATGTGAGGTGCAGCTATTCATAAATACACCCAGGAAGGTGTTTTATAAAGATTTGACATTTGGCTTAGATTGTCTTGCTTTGTGAAATATCCGTGGGTCTGATGCTAAAGTATTCCAAGAATGGAAAGCTCTTGAATAGTAGTTCCCACACGCTTGTTTTATTTACCTCTAGCATCGCTCTGCCCTGTTGTCTTTTCACTGGTGTGTGGTAAGTTCATTAGCTTTAATTAGTTAGGAGGGATGTATCAACTCGGTTGTGTATTAACTGCTGTTTACTTTTCAACTATGCACTAGAATCTTTTTTTAATTATTTAATATAAGACACAGTTGTTCTTGTCTGTATGCCTGCATGGCACAGAAAAGACAGTAAGACAGTTTACCATATCATATGATATAGAATTATTTTATTGGCTGTACTAAATGTTAGGAGTGTAACAGTTACGGATGCATCATGTTGAAATAGTGTCAATATCGGCAGATGTGTCCTTAAAAAAGTAAGGCATCTCCATCTGAGAGCTGTTTAGATTTGTCCAATGTTTGAAACTGATATTTGATGATGTATTTATTGTACTCTAGAAGAGCGAGATGTTCAGGCAATGCTGGGCTGCTGCACTAAAATGTCTATTTTATTAATTTTACTGTATTTGTTTCTTTCTACAAATAATTGTTACATTTCTCTGCAATGCTGGGTAGATATAGTCCCTATTTCTAAATTTTATAAATGATCTGCATCAGCAGAGCTGTTCTTATGAAATATTGCATATCAGCATTAGCCCTTATGTCTCATACTGGGGATTCAATGCATCATTACATGCAATCTATTGTTCAATACAATCTTCTCAATTCAGTACACACAAGCATGGGACGATACATTCAACAGACTGGAGCCAATAAAGGTTTAGCTTTAATACTGATCATATGGCATGATAGAACAGGCAGAAAAAGCACACTCTGAAAATGGAAACATCAACACATTAACAGAGAGCACATCTTCTGGACCTTCCTGTTTTTGCTGTATTGGAAAACTGTATTAAATCATAGTATGACACCGAACTGGACTTTTTGACTCATATACCACATACACATAGGAGAACATGACATAGATGACAACATTTAAATGAGCGTTCCTGTTTAGGCCAGTTTAAGCCAAAAGCAGTATATACCCATTGTTTGATCTCACAGAGGCACAAATAAAGTGTTGGGAGTCAAAGTGAAACTAAGATAATACCACTTGCTCAGTCGGGTATTTTTAAAAGTGAGCCCTTTTTGCTGATTTCTGTTTCTGTTTGTACTGTCTTTATGATTCAGTGCATCATGACAATTGTCCAGACTATAAAATATCTGTTGAGGGCTGTAGTCAGTCTCTCTGTAAACAGCAGGCACTTGAGCTAATCACCCCTTTCAAGGAATGCCCAGTCTAAATAAAGGACTGTCCAGAATCAACAAGGGCGCTGGGAGTGTGTTTTTGGTTCTGTATGTGTTGCCCTCTGCTGTTTGGGAAAACACTGACATTATATCTGATGGTTTTTCCTCAGTCAAGATGTAGATATACTTTGCCTTTACTGCCTGACCCTACAAGCCCCCTCAGTTGTTTCCATCCATGTAATTTGTTTTTATTTGTGATCACTCAAGGCTGCTGTTGTGTCTGTAGTCTTCTTCAAGCAGACTTTTGGCACTGCTGACCCAGGTGTTTTGCTGTAAGGGCCTAAGACGTCTCTGTGCCTAATGTGTCTGAACTGTGTCTGTGTTGTGTGAGGGGGGATGGGTGAAACATTCACTTGTCTAGATTAAACAGAAGAGGCAAATTAAAGCCACAAGGCCTGAAAGTGCTATTTTTCCAGAACGAACGTTTACCTCTTTTCCCTACTTTGATTTATTAGGTAACTTTAGATCTAGTGCTGATAAAAATCAATATTACACAATTTTGCAAATATATCAGAAACTCTTCGTGTCAGATGATATTGACGTGACATAAACAATATTAATAATCCCATGTATTCAGAGTACTGATACTCTGGGCTGAAAGCATGTCTTACAAACCTGACAAAGTGATCTTTACACAGTACTATAAATGTTAACTAGACAGAACCCAGAAACACTCAGGCTTGTGTCATAAGCTTTTGCTGACCACAAGTAGTCAGTAACCCAAACCCTAAACATAGATTTATAAATTAAACCTAAATGAAACACAATAAGCACATCTCCTGTTTCTTCTTCTTTTGTTTGTGATAGAGTGTAGGCCATATTTTTTCAGTGCGCTGAGTGATCACTAGGGCCGGGAAAAATAATAAATGCTTAGATGCCTCATGATATTCTGTTGAAAGATTCTGATTGATTCGCAAAACTTCACGGTCAGATTTGTATCGGCTCCGTGTTTCTCCTACTGTTAAATAGACTTGCATGCACCCAGGAACCTTTTAACGTAGGATACCTGGCGCAGCCTGGCTTGAGGGAGAAAAAATGCAAGATTTCACTAATGCATGCATGTTTGCAGTCACACATTAGTCTCAGTTTTCACATAACCAAAAGGCCTGAAACCCTAGTGTACATGACCCTGCATAAGAAGATGACTTTGTTTAACTACCTCAGCAAACTGCTGACAGGCTATTCCAGTCTTTTTCAGCCTAAGGTTTAATTATTTACTGAAGGATTAACTGTAAAACACACGATCAAACTTGTTACCTGAATGTCTGCTACAAGCTTCAAATGTGCACATTTAAGCTACAACTGTTGTAAACAGTATTAAAATTAGTCTGGGTAAGTCGAGGTAAAGCAGCATTAGCTTACATGTTATGTTAACATAACATTAAAAACCTCATTAAAGTGCTAATTAAAGTGAAGGCTAGCAATAGTGTAGCATAGTTATTCAGATAAAGAAGCTTCTTATGAAGTTTCTGCATTAAGCACTGCTATAAATGTGTGTGTTTAAGATTATATGACAAAAGCTTATGAAATTACTTTATAACCCTATGCTTTATTTTATGCTTGGACATCTGTTTTAGTCTGTTACCTGACTGTTCTCTATGGCAGAGGCTCCAAACTCCAGCAATTATGTTGGAAAACAAACATTGTGAGCTATACTGTATATAATGTATAATACTAAAAACAAAACGCTGAAGTAAAAATCAGTGATGATTTAAATCCTCTTTTTTTAGATTTTTTTTTTAAACACGTTAGATGGTGAAACAAATGCACAGAGTGTAGGCTGCATTCAAATTCAACTGAGCTTTATACACATTTATTAATGACAAATGCAGGAAAAATAGTAATGTAATTAAATTCAATAATTGAGACACGATGTATCATCTTGCATTGCTGGGCTTGATGAAACTCTTGATTCAAACAATTTTTTTTGTGTTTGCATAAGATTTGTGAGTAGCATGAAGAGACGAGGGAAAATTATCTGTCGACTCTGTCCAACCCTTTGCAAGGTCTCCCTTGGATGCATGACAATAACACAGTCTTTCTCTTTGCTGTTCAGGACTGTAGCTGCTGAAGTGAGGAAGCAGATTGCTGGTCAGTATGGAGGTTCCCCTCAGCTTCTCAAAAATCTCAATGTTGGTGGTCATGCAGCAAGCAACTCAGTGAGTACAACACAGTAACAGAGTCTGTGAAAATCGTCTGTTTTCCTAACAACCTGTCAGTGTTCCCCTTTCTGCTTTGTGTGGTGGATGATTCATCATGGACTGTTAAAATCAAAGATTCCTTTCATTAAGTGCTTTAAATGACGTGTGTTTATATTTCACCTTGGGTACTTAAGGTAGCTTGTGGTTTCTGGTTTATGAGCTGGACACCTGTAATTTTAAAACTGTATTTTGATGCCTTGAGGTGAGGAATTTATGAGCGGCTGTTAAACTGGCTTGTCTTCCAGAACAGAACTGACTGAGTTAAAAGTGACACAGCATGCTGTCTCTCAAGGCCTTTTGAATAGGTGCAGCTATTTGTATGGTAGTTCTAAACAGATCTGAGCTAAACTCGTTCAAATAGCCATTCATTATGCCTTATACCCTGTTAGAAGGGTACAGACACTGTGGCCACTGTAACAGCTATGTGTGATGTCAAAATGATATAAAAAGACTTTATGAAGCTTTTGTTGACATTAAACATCAGAAGGTTGAGGTGGATTTGATAAGTAAAAACTGCAAAAATAAATTCACCCATAGTCTAAATTGAGAGTGGACATATGCACAATTAATCTCATTGACAGAAGTTTGAGAAGTTAAAATTAATTGTAAAAATATTAAGTCTGTGTTTCTCCTGTTCTTTTTCTCGCCTCTTCACTGTTTGTAGGTCCCATTGACTGAGCCAGTGGAGCCAGTGGACTTTGAAGAGTATTTGATCACCCACCCTCCAATCATAGAGTCAGGACCTCTAAGAGACCTGATTGAGTTCCCTCCAGATGATATTGAAGTGCTTTACATGCCCAGAGAGTGCCGTACGATGGGCCAGGCTGTTCCAGAGGAAGGGTGTGTTTCTGTGTGTGTGTGTTCATGGTAGTGATGGTAGTGATAGATGTTTGTGTATTCATCGACTTTTGAACTGTGTCTGCTCAATTATGGGTAAAATATTGTGACCAGATACGTGATACCTGCATTTGTGGATGCTTGACAGTACTATGAGGCAGTGAGAAAGAGCTAGATATTGCTAGGTGTAGACGGATATAAAACGTGCCCTGGCCACATAGGCCACCAAGCCAACAAATCTTGTGGCCAAAACAGAAACGTGTGTGGCGACACTTTGTATTTACAATTATTAAGCATGCTTTAACACCAAAAAACGGTCAAGTGTTGCTTTGAAAACATAAATATTTATTAAAATAGCCTCTCAATATAATGCCAACTTATTGAAGACCTTATTTTATAGCAGTGTTTACCACCCATGAGTTATACTTGGTTGCTCCCCCAAAGTATGTTGATACCTACTCAAGTATATTTTTACCCCTTTTTAAGAATATCCTCCCATTTTTGCCCCATTTGAAATGATTCCAAAGAGAAAATATTTTATATAGTTATGAATAGAGAAGGGCTCAAAGCGGTCACAACACCAGCGAAATAGCAGTGGTTAAATTGAACAAACTTATGCAAATTCTGAATGGATACAGTTAGTGCCATGTCTGACCAAACAGGTTTGTTAAAAGGAAAAAATAATACAGAAATGCCCAAGGCAAGTGGTGACTCTAGCCACAGACTCTGCATTTTTAATGTTTAAAATGTTGTGGCTAAGGCCACTTTGTAATAGGCAATGTCTAACCCTGGATTTTGCCAAAAAAGTTATTTCATTTATCAAATTCTGTGGTGCCTGTTCGTCTAAACATTTCTTTAGCATTCATGGGGATGACTGGAAATTATGGAAGAAAGTGAACTTGTCTCTGAAGATATCTGAAGTACTTCTTTCATTTCTGATGCTCTGAACGAGATGCTATTTACAGTTGCCTTGTGCCTTTGTAGTCAGGGGAGTCAAGGAAATGGTACAGCATAAAAATGTGCCATTGCTCTTGTTGGATTTGTCTGTGAGACAGTCTTTCCTTGTGACATATGATTGCCTGGACAGTCACGACCATTGTAATGGAATCATCTGGGGAAGGGGAGCATGTGTGATGTAGGCCAGTCATTCCTGTTTTTTAACTCAAATAAAGAGATGCGAGATAAAATGTGTTACTTCCTTCTTTCACGAGTGATGTGTGCAGCCAATCAGACTGGATTTCCTTAATTCCACAGTTAAAATGTACCGAATCTTTGCAGAAGTCGTGACTGCAGAGACTTGCTGAGACTAGCTGATGAATTCTCTCCCTGTCAGTGGTGCTGGCCAGATAAATTTCCACTGAGAAACACTGAACTTTTGTGTTGAATGTGATGGCAAAGAAAAGTGTGGCTCTTAGGGGTGGAACACCCGCAATTACACACCAAAGCTACGCTGTTTTGATTCAGTGACAGAGAGAGTTTTCAGTTGGGAATAAGAGCAGCATGGTGCTTTCTGGTTTATGATCTGGATGTCTGTAGTTTTAGAAGGCGCCATATAGAGCAGTATTCTACAGTTATATAAGTGAGAATTTCAGAGGATGCTCGTTTAGTGGTCTTGTCATGCTGCCTAGTAGAGCAGTTTTTCATGCTGGCAGTGTAAATGACACTTAAAGCTGGTAAATCCAGTAAGTCTTTTGGCTTTAGACTATTGACTGTCCCTTAGCAGAAGTCATTTCATTCAAATTCTTTTCCAGCCCTCCTCAGTCTTATTTATTCTGGTCATTCCCATGCTATTTTCTGTGTTGTTTATTGCATTGTGGGTAACTTCCCATGCATTGTTTTTTGTATATCTCAATAGAACCTGTTTGTTGTCTTTAGTGGAGTTTGGGAACTCCCATGTGCCCTGATTCTCTGCATTTCCGGACAGCAGTTCTTATCACTTTCCTCTCAGGCCCACTTCCACTGGCCATAACCTAGTTATGCTAAATTGGCAGTTTTCCCTTATGTTCAAATCGGTCTCAAATTAACGTGAAAAAGGCTCTTTGTGTGCCGTTGTGTGCCTACAACTGTTTTTTTTTTCCTTGTAATGTTACAGCCAATTTTTGGTGGAATACTAACTACTTTAAGGTTTATTATGTTCAGGATTCCACCGATTTTGAATTCTTTGTAATTAAATATTTAAGATGAAATCTGAGTCATTCAGTGTGGTTTGTTGTGAAATGCTCTGTTCTTAAGTCTTAATAGTTTACAGTGGTGGAGATAGGAACCAGACATCTGAAACTTTTAATACCTCCAGAAGCTCCATCACAGAAAACTATTACATGAAATGGTAGTACAGTCAGTGGTTACATTACATGATTTCTGAGACATTGTTTTATGATGGTTTTGAGAGATGGATTTGGCCTAAAATGTGTGTGTGTGTATGTGTGTATATATATATATATATATATATATATATATATATATATATATATATATATATATATATATATATATATGATGGCAAGATTTACCAAGATTTTACCACTATCAACATCACATAGAAACAATTGTAGGTTTAGAGCTAGTTTAGATAGTAAATAAAATAATTGTGTTGTAGACATTGCAACCCCTGGTTCCTTTCTCCACCATTACAAAAAGACTTCTGATCAGTAAGTCTACAATGGCTACAATGCACCATTTCACATGAAACCACTTTGAATGACTTTGTTTACATCTCAGTGATTGCATTATGCATTACGCTTCAATATTGAAAAATCAACTGAAGTACAGTAAAGATGCCTTAATTAGCTGGGTAGCAGAACACAGAGCTATTGTGAGCTGTTTGAGGGTCAGAAGGCATTTTGGAAGTGAATGCTTCTGAGTTTGCTGATGTGCTTAACAGTGCTGCTTGGCCTATAGTTTAGAAAAGATTATTGGCAGGCTTCATATGTAAAAGATCATCCATGATGAATTTTAGTTACCATTAGAGATGGCACCGGAATCAGCATCAGACAAAATGCTGGATTAGATATTTGCTATTTGAGCAGCTTGAGCATGATGGCATGCTTTTAAGTGCTTATCTTAAATGAAGTGCTTCAATAAAAACAGCTTGTTTTAAAGTCTTAGATTTTAAGAAAAAACATTAATTTGTTATTGGCTAATGTTCAAGGTTTCAGTATAGGTATCATTAGGGGTGGGAATCTCTAGACACCTCACGATTCGATTAGATTACGATTCAGAGGACTGCGATGCGATTATAAAACGATTATCGATGCATCGCAATGCATCTTTTTTTTTCTATACAGCGTTTCTGTTTTCTCACTGTCTGAGGACTTGGTACTTTTAAAACAAAGTATTTGTAATGATCCGTAATGCATTTACGTCCAATATCTTTTATTAATAAAACAAATGAAAGTCATGAGACAAGGGAACTAGAAGGCGCATTCACTGCTCTTGTTCAGAGCACGAGACGCTGCTGCCACTCATGTCTCTCATTGTTCGACTGTTTTACGAGGCCGAAGTTGTTATTCGAATTTATAAGCAGCGTAGTTGGTTTCCTGGTACATTGAATCTGCAGCGACAGAAGGTCAAACACTAAAAAGTTGCGAAGATGAAGTCATTTCTCTTTGGAATTTTCCTGTTCCACCTTAAATGGTGCCGCATTTAGGTTACATTCAGAATTTAAGGTGGAACGGGAAAATTCGAATGAGAAGCTGGAGAATAAGAAGCGACTTCAGCCTCGTAAAACAGTCAAACAATGAGAGACAATTTAGAAGAAACTATTGAGCTTTTGAGGAAATGTTTCCTGAGGGAAAGGGGAGGAAAGCGGCTATAGCTAATGCTTAAAGCAGAGCAAAGTAAATCTGTGCTTTCGTTTATATTTTTTAGCCTATTCTAGGACATTAACACATACTGAGACATACTGGACATTAAATGTTGTGGCTCCCAAGCTGGTTTGATTTTTGTTGAAAGGACAAAATGGCTCTTCTTAACATTTGGGTTGTGACTCCTGTAACCTGGCTTTAATGCAGAGGGAGCCGGTCGGATTTCTCATCCATGTGTGTTTTTGTTGTGTGCCGCCATAGACCGTCCAGGCGCTACACGTACCCACTTCCAAGTTCCGCCTTTAACGTTCCGTCAACATTACGTTATAAATTACATATTTAGAAAATCGATTTTTGACATTTGTGAATCGATTCAGAATCGTCCACGTCCACATCGTGATGCATCTAAGAATCGATTTTTTCCCGCACCCCTAGGTATCATTATCTGAAAAGAGAAAGTGGTAATGTATCGTCTTTATTTTCATTAATGGAATTTTAAATAGTCAGTAGTTTAAATAGTTATATAATCGGCTGTCCTTAACATTTCTGATAAGAATAGTAAAGTGTTTGTTATAATGATATCCATGGGACTTATTTTGTTTTTCAGAGACAATGACGCACATGTTCGAGACTGTACCAGATCCTACACTGAGGATTGGGCAGTTGTCAACCGCAAGTAAGAAACCCAGCTTTCTTTTATTTATTTTATGAAATATGATATTTTATGTTGAAAAACTTGTCTTTCAAAGCTGAGTACGCAGTAGTAGAGTATCATGCTAAACAATCTCTCTTACAGGTTATTTAGCAATGGTTTTCTAGGAAACTTAGCCATGTTTGTTTTCTATACTGTAGTATGTTCCTTCAAATTCAAACCTACTCTTCCTGTTCTCCCTTTATCTTCTGAATTGCCCTTGCTTTTCTCTGGAAGATCATATTTCAGGTTTTGTGGTACATGGCTGAACTGGCATGCCTTAGACTTTAGTTCCTTAATTACACCACTTGTACTTAATAATAGAGTGCTGGTGTTCTACTGTTATTTCACCTAGAGTGTCCAAGCAGACTCTCACCTGCTTGTGGATTGTGTTACTTTCTGGTGCTTGTAAGAGCTGTTGTTCTGCTCTTTAACTTTTAACAGAGGTTGTGGTCTGATAATAAACTGTCTCTTACAAGGCTGAGTGGTGGTAGCAGGGTAGACAATCACAACCTCCGTCTCTCACACAGTTACAGGGTTGTTTATAGCCTTATCACGAGTTTAGGATCACAAAGCCTGCTATTGTGTTAGAGTAAAAGGTTTCACCCAGTCTGAACAGAAAGGTTATATGAAGAACACTGTTCTGTGCTGAATGCTTACCATGGTCTGCCTCTAACCAAAGCAAATCTGGTTGTGATTTGCTGAGGTAACCAGCAGTTGTTATATTCTTATGCTATACGGCCGAAAGTACCAAGTTCCAAACCCATGGCAATGAATATGGAGTCCCCCTCTTTTCTGACTGTAACATCTGCTCTTCTGGGAAGGCTTTACACAAGATTTCGGGGTTTGTTTGTGGGAACTTACACCCGTTTAGTCAAAAGAGCATTTGTGAGGTCAGGCACTAATATTGGCCGAAAAGGCCTGACTCGAAATCAGTTCGTCTCAAAGGTTCCTCCACACCCCCATGCAAATTATGTCTTTATGGATCTCACTCTGTGCACAGGGGTACAGCCATGCTGGAACAGGAAAGGGCCTTCCCCAAACTGCTGCCACAAATATGAAAGCAAATAATTGTCTAAAACCTCTATATATGCTTTAGCATTAATATTACCCTTTACTGGAACTAAGGAGCCAAGCCCAAACCCTGAAAAACAGCCCCAGACTGTTATACTTCCTCTACCATACTTTACTGTTGGCACTGTGCACTCTAGTAGGGAGCGTTCTCCTGGCATGTATCAAACACAGATTTGTCCATCAGACTGCCAGATAGGGAAGCGTGATTCATCACTCCAGAGACCATATTTCCACTACTCCAGAGTCCAGTGGTGGTGTGCTTTAAATTGCTCCAGCCGACATGACACATAGCGATTTTAGTGTGCAGCTGCTTGGCCATGAAAGCCCATGCTCCAGATGCACAGTTTTTGTTTTGATGTTGCTTCTGGAGAAAATTTGGAGCTCTGGAGTGAGAGATGCAACAGAGGATAAGCATTTCTGATGTACTACACACTTCAGCACTCTGCTGCCCTCCTCTTTGAGTTTGAGTTGTCTCCCGCTTCATGGCTGAGCTGTTGTTGCTTCTAGACACTTCCATTTCCCCATAATAGCACTTTCAGTTGACCAGGGCAGATCTAGCAGAGCAGAAGTTTCACAAAGTAACTTCTGGAAAAGTTGGCATTTTATGACAATGCTGTGTTTTAAGTCACTGAGCTCTTCACTGCAACTCTTTCTACTATCAATGGAAATTGATGGCTGTGTGCTTGATTTTATACACCTTTTCGCAATGAGGTTTACTAAAACACCTGAACTCAATAATTATTAGGGGTGTCCACATATGTTTGGACATACAGTGTATTTGTAATAAGAAATTCCATGAAGCAGGTGCTGTTTGGTATAGGATGAGAGATTACATCAAATTGTATACAGCCATAGTGCTACATATAAAAATACGAGGTTGTAATTTGTTTAGTAGACAAAGTTTTTTTTTTTTTTGTCTTGAAGTTCTGGTCTTGGCAGGATGGAGTCCCGTATAATTTAGTGATTTCCCTGCACACACACACAGACCTCTGCTAATAAACTGATAAGTTGTATCAGGTATGTTAGAGCAGAAGAATCACCAAACTGTGTGGGACACCAGCCATCCAAGACCCCAGTGTATCAGTTTGATAATTTATTGAAAATGTCTAAAAACATATTATTACTGATGCCACAGGTACCATAAGCTGGGTACAGGCTTTAACCCCAACACTCTAGATAAGCAGAAGGAGAGGCAGAGAGGTTTACCTAAGCAGGTCTTTGAGTCAGATGAGCTACCAGATCCCAGCAGCTATCAAGATGATCAGGTAAGCCTGCAAAGACACTGTATTCATAATGAAGTTAGACATCTCTCTGGTCTTTCTCAGAGATTTTAATCCAACATTGATTCAGATGCTCATCTATATCTCTGGTGCTCTTCTTCACTGTGCTTTTGTTGTGCAGGATGATCTGAAGCGCAGGTCCATGTCTATAGATGACACTCCACGGGGGAGCTGGGCTTGTAGTATATTTGACCTGAAGAACTCTCAGCCTGATGCTCTACTGCCTCACCTGCTGGACCGAGTGCCCAATGAGGAGATTGACAGGCACAATGAGGACCAGCGCAAAGCCAACCGCCACCGCGAGCTCTTCGCCCTGCACCCCGCTCTCGATGAGGTGAGACATTTTCACTGACCCATGTGATTGTGTCGGTTTGCCACTACTTTGAATATGACACTGTATTAATTTTGTTAATGAAGAAAATGACAAACAATTGTGGAAAATATGCTTTTCAGTGAAGATGACGGTGAAAAATGAAGATGAAGGCATAATAGGAGCAAACACTAAATCATTCAGCATTTATGCCTCACAATTATTCGATGAAACTAAAATGCCTAAAAAGCTAGTCAAGTTTTTAAAAATTAGATTCTGGAAAAGCAGTCCTAAGAAATCCTCAACAGCTGTAACTGTATTTTGTGTGGTTTTCATGTACAGGTTACCACACTTGTGGAGGGTCAGGTAACAGGGTGTCAGACGATGCCTTGTCAAATTTTATAAACAGCGCTTCTTTTCATTATTGTCTCCGGACTGCAACTGAAAAGCGTTTGTGTACTCTGTGCAGAGCCCTACGCATTTTTAAACCACACATTCATGTTGAAAAATCATAAACTTTGGTGCTGAGCAAACAGAAAAAGCACCATATTTCATTCACAGCTGATCAGTTAGTCTTGCGGATGGCTTCTCACTCTGCCAACAAAAAGGAAAACTGGTTTTGGCTCTTTTTAAACACTGCACACCACCACATGAAGATTACCCCAATCTGAATGTTATAGCATTGTCAGTATATGTCAGTTTTGAATTGTTTAGTGCTAATGTGTCAGTAACAAGACAAGCACTAAACAGAAGGCAGTAACTTTCCCTCTAAGAAGCACATACATGCTTCATTTTAAGTATGAGAAGTGTTTAAAAATGCTTCTAAATGCCTCCTAACAATATCAGATATAATATTAGATTAGCTTTAGTTTTGGGCTGGTGAGAGTCCAGATTTAAATCCTGTAGAGAATATTTGCTCTTGCATTAAACACAAACTAGCTTGGCAGTATTGTTTAACTGCTTAAAACCATCAATGCTGAGTGGAAGTGACTTTTCTTTTTGTAAAAAATTTTCTGCAAGCTTACCCACAAGACTTCAACATTCAAAGAAATCAAATCTAAAAATTACCCCATTCTTTATCTGTTTGCTTATTGATTTCTTGTTAAGACCATTTAAAGCTTAGCGTTTTACCATTTTGGACCATTTTCTAACCATTCATCTTGAAGTATGTTTTTTACTATAAAACACTGTCATTAGAATAAATGTAATAAATAGAATGAATTGAACAAACATAAATGCAGTAAAAATAACAAGAAATATAATTTATTTTTGAAAATAAAAACACTTGTGAGCTAGTTGGAATGACAGTTTGCCTTCTGTCTTCCTGCTTCCCCCCAACCCTTACATGGATTTATTAAATTCCATCACAAGCACACCTGATTTAACATATAAAGCATTGATTAGTCAAACCAGGTTCTGGATAATAATTGCAAATATTGCAGGGCTGCCGTGAGGAGAGTTTTGGGAATTAACACATAATGTTAATATTTTTGTATTTATTCTCTTATTAGTGTTTCTCTGAGTGAAAAAAGGCTTAAAGCCTAATTCGGTAGGTTTTTAAATATAATGTTCTCAGATGTCCAAAATAGCTTAGGGAAATTGTCACTGCTATAACTGCTATTTTGTTTTCAGAATTTTTTTTTTTTGTTTATTTTTTTTGTTTGTTTATTTTTTTTTTAACACCATGTAAAAACACTAGCTGTCTCTTATGTTATATGAACATTTCATGATCAGTGGGCCAATAGGAATAAAATACAACTGGGAATACCTGGAATAAAATTTCATTATATTAACTTATGTTAAAAGTTAAGGATAGTTTTTGGAGAGACAAGGTTTTGTTACTACATATCCACCTAAGCTGCTCTTTGTGACAGCAAAAAACACACAGCACCTGTTGTTGATGTGATTGTGTTCATGTGTTCCAGGTTGGTTGTTTGTATTTATTTCATTGCCGTTCCTTTTATGCTATTTGTTGTGTTTCTGTTTTGTCTTTCTAAGGAGGAGCCCATTGAACGTCACTGTGTGCCTGATGTCCCTAAAGAACACTTTGGCCAGAGGCTGCTTGTCAAGTGCTTGTCCCTGAAGTAAGTCGAGGACAGCATCTTAAAAGCTTCCCCTTCCTTTATTCGCCACTAAAATCTAATATTATGTGCTGCTTTCTGCTGACGCTCTGCTCTCTCTTCAAAGGTTTGAGATTGAAATTGAGCCAATATTTGCGAGTCTGGCCTTATACGATGCCAAGGAAAAGAAGAAGGTAAGCTGTTATGCCTACTTCTGTGCTTTGTTGGTTGAAAACTTGGGTGCTTCTGCAAAGTTGTTAAAATTGACCTTAAACCAGGCTGTTACAGGTTGTACTGCAAAGGTCAGTGGAAGCATTACATGAACACTAAGGCTGTGGATCAAGTTCATATTTGATGCATTGTATTTTACTCATTTTCAAACACAGTGCACATTTAAGGCTCTGTCATGCTTCAGTATTCAGTTAATGCTGTATTTACCCTTGAAAAAAAGTGTGTTTTCGACTGGGCAGTGTCTTTGATGTAGTGCAGTCGATAAGTATTTGGACAGTAATTGATAACTTCTATTTGTTTTGTAGTGCAGCGCATTGGATTTTAAATTAAATGGTGACGATGGTAACGTGCGGAAAGTCATATTTACTTTGAGGGTATTAACATCTATATTGAGTGAACCCTATAAGCGTAGCAGCCCTTGGTGTACACAGTGCATCCATTTTAGGGGTCTGTTTGTCAAGTGTTGTCAATCTTTGTTGTCCCTGTTATTAAAGCCTGGTGTTGAGTGGAGTGACACATATTCCCACTGTAACAAAGGTGCTGCATTAAACACAGAACAGCAGCACACAATGATAAACTGAAAACAGACCAAAAGTCAATTAAGACCAACAGAGTAACCTATACGATATTCTGTATGGTAAACTATGTGAATAATACATATAGGACAAGAGACAATAAATATAGAACAGTAAGACAAAGCGTGCACAGTAACTAGAATTAGTAAATTTTTTGTGCTGTTAAGTTTTAGCAAGCTGTATCCTGGCCTTTCTGTTCTGAAGGTGTACCTGTGGTGAAAGTCTTGTTATAAACCCTCAGAGGTGTGTTCTTCTCTTTATATTACTCTTCAGCATCTTCATGCCTGCCTATAGTGTTCTTGATCTGGTCAACAATGAGGATCTGGTAGTGTGAGAGGGAAGACAAGTGAATCTCTAGCTTTCCCATATAGCTCTGAAGTGATATTCCAGAATTTTTGCACTTTTAAATCAAAACATTAAAAATGTCTTGTAGTGTGAGATGGTCAGCATAACTGAATGACTGATTCAAGAACTATAGCCAATAAGAGAGCTAGGAGAGGGGAAAAAAGGTAGACAGACATGTATGCATGTCGCATGTACAACAAACCACAGAGACAGAGGACCTGCTTGCTAAGCATAAGCAAATGAGACCCCTTATAATGTTTTCTTATTAAGCAAGCTACCAATTTGTAGTAAATATTTCTCCAGCTCTTGCTGTGATATCTACCTTACTCAACATGTTCATCCCCAGTTTGTGTTTTTGCTTTTTCTGTGTGCATAAAAAGCACAAACAGATCTGATCCAGCTGAGCTTTGTTTGTATCACATGATTCTAAGGTAGATTTGGGGTTTTGAGAAAGTCAGTATTATACTTAGTGTTATTTTTTTCACCTTATTGTCTAGTGTGAAAGGCTGATGTTGAGTGTGTGATGCTCTCTGTTTTGAAACCTATTTTGATTTTAAAAGTCATGTGTTCATCCAGCTTAAGTTCACTATTTGTTTTCTTGTTTTAATCAGTGTATGAAACGGTTGATTTTAGCTAATATTTCGATTTTGGGTTTGATTGATTTATGTTGATTTTTCAGTCTCATGTTGGCCTGCTTTAATGGCATTGACATTTCATTTGTCCTCATGTTGAGGACTACAGCAACATGCAGATGCATATGCCACATCGGGGTAACAAATTGGTTGTATAGAATAGACTTTGATTCCTACATTGTTCACCCAACATTTCAGCTTTGAACCCAGAGTATACTGCACTTAACCTCGAAACGACAGGAAGGCAAACCAACAAAAATCACCACTGTACAGTAACAGACAGACTACATTCTACATCTGGATTTGGGTGAAATAGTGACTTATGGAACAGTTGAGAATGTACATAAATTCATTTACCACCTCACTATGGACGTCTCTTTCTTAACCGTGCTTCTCCATAGTCTAACACTAGAGGGTAGCAGTCACCTTTTTAAAGAGGCTTTTATATCTCAGATCTTGTTATTTATTTCTAACTCATTCATCTCTCTATCTTCAGATATCAGAGAACTTTTTCTTTGACTTGAACTCAGAGCAGACCAAATCTATGCTGCGTCCTCACATCCAGTCGGCTGCTATCTCTACCCTGGCCCGCTCCGCTATCTTCTCCATCACCTACCCCTCTCAAGATGTCTTCCTGGTTATCAAGGTCAGTGACTGTTCATATGATAGTGTGTAATGTTATGTATTCTCCATTCTTTAAATTTTACAGAAATGTAGGCAGATTCAGAAGACTATTGTGTACAATACAATTGGATTTATTTACATTTTCTTTTTTAAGGCACTGTATAAATTGATTATAATTGTTATCATCATCATCATTACTGTTATTATTATTGATAGTCTCTGCTCTGTGCCCATGTAGCTTGAAAAAGTTCTACAGCAGGGAGATATTGGTGAATGTGCAGAGCCTTACATGGTCTTCAAAGAGTCAGATGCTGCCAAAGTAAGTCAGTTTAATAGCAAAATCCTAGTCGCTTCATTTTTTTATAAAAGCGTTTGTCTGCCACAGCTATTGTATTTCTGAATGAGATGTTTTTCTGCAGAATAAAGAGAAGCTGGAAAAGCTGCGCAGTCAATCGGAGCAGTTCTGCCAGCGGCTAGGCCGCTACAGGATGCCCTTCGCGTGGACCGCCATCCACCTGATGAACATAGTGAACAGTGCTGGCAGTCTGGAGAGAGACACAGAGCTGGAAATGGGCTTGCCAGGTCAGTCTGTTTAACAACATTTGAACAGTGCTGTCACATGCTCATATCATTGTTCTGTAGTCATGTGATCTGTGAAAATGTCTGTGTTATATGAATGTAGGTGAAATTTGTAATAAAAAAAATCCAGTTCAGTGTTATTGTTTACTTAGAAACACACATTAGGTATGTGGGACAAAAATCTTTGCCAAATAAGCCTTATTTTTGTCCCTGGGCTCTTTGTGTGGCTACAGACTTTTCCTTATTGGTTAAATGTTGTCCTGATGTTGGGTTGATTTTGCTCCTCTGTCTACGCAGAGCGGAAAGGTTCCTGGTCAGAACGCAGGAACTCCAGCATTGTGGGTCGTCGCTCTTTGGAAAGGACCACCAGTGGAGATGAGTGCTGCAATTTGACCAGCTTCAGGCCAGCTACACTTACGGTCACCAACTTTTTCAAACAGGTCAGACTCTACCCTTCAACCCCAATCCTAAGATTGGTGATAGTGACATGAGAAAACAGCCTTTTATACCTTTTAGAGAACCTTAAATCTCATGATGAACTGGCAGTTTTAGAATAAAAACAGAGTAGAAAAAAGTATTAATATAGTATAGAGTTGACCAGAGTCCAAGTTTCTTTCTGTACTTGGGTCAGTTATTCTGCTAAATGTCAGCAACATCTCTGTCACTGTGTAAATTCCAGAAGGTTCGATCACTTTCACTGACCTTATATTGATATTTTTGTACTGATTTGTTTGGCAGTCTTTGCGGTTCTCTTTAGAATGCTGAATCATGCAGTCAGGCTTGGTTTTTGAATGAATGACTCTTTGAACACTACCCCTTGCTTTAGTTGATTGCTTTGTTATTGAGTCTTAAATTTGCTGGGTTAAGCTATGTAGGATCTTTTCTAATTATCCTAATTATTTTTATTTATGTATTTATTTATTTTTGTGCTAGGAGGGGGATCGACTAAGTGATGAGGATTTGTACAAGTTCTTGGCTGACATGAGACGGCCTTCTTCAGTGTTACGCAGACTTAGACCTATCACAGGTAACAGTCTTCTAATGGTTTTAGTAAGATGTTTATAAACAATATTGGTTTCACTGGCAAGATCATTTTGGGGTTGTACAAGACCATTTTGAGCCTCAAAAAACATGCAGCTCTATTCATGCAGAAGCCTATGGGAGATCATTTTTGGATCTTTGAGCCTTACCTTACTTTAGAATCATGCTCCTTACTGTATACACTGACACATCATTTTGAAACACTTTGAAAACTGTTTTTTTTTTTTCTTTTATCTAAATTTTCCTTTAATAAAAACAATCTCATTTAACCTGACACCGATTTTAGGAGCTCAGAGCACATAGTAATGGATTTCCAGTCAGAACACAGTTGTGCTCTGTGGCCTGCGCAGTGCTCGAGGAGTCATAAAGGGGGAAAAATGTTGTTAGTTACACTTTTATTTGTCCCAGCAGGGTGATAACTGTACCATGCTGCAAAACTAATCACAACTACAAACAAAGATATTACAATATCAAATAATAAATGTGTGGTAACAGTGGAGAACTGTAGAAGCATAAAGAACACAAAATGCTGTGTTCAGTACAGCAGTGTCCACAGTTATAATATGATTATTATAATAAAGCTTGAACAAGAAGGCAAACTGACATGCAGTAAGCTAGCTGCTGATTTTAACTCTCGCCTTTACTTTACCAATTATTTTTTCTTAGTTGCCTCAGACAACCAAACAACCTTTGCTGGACTTTTATTACAGATTGAATAAGTGTGGCTATCAATTTTCAGGTTAATGCCAATCACAGTTCTAAGAAATGTGTAAACTTCCACTGAATTTGAGCTTGGGTAGATCTATTAACTAGCGTTTTGCATTCTTGCAAACCCTATTTTGTCATAAAAAGGGACTGCTGCAATTTTCTCTGTAGAAATAATGACTTATTTTCCCAAAATAATAACTTACCTTGGAAAAATTATTCTGATATACTAAGTCAAAATGTAAAGAAAATGAATCATTATTTTGATATAATCCATTAGGGATGGGGGGGGGGTCGATTCTTAGATGCATCGTGATGCGGACGTGAATGATTCTGAATCGATTCACAAATGTCAAAAAACGATTTTCTAAATATTTAATTTATAACATAATGTTGACGGAACACAAAAGGCGGAACTTGGAAGTGGGTAAGTGCAGCGCCTGGACAGTCTGTGGCGGCACATAACTATAACACAACTGGATGAGTGAGAAATCCGACCGGCTCCCTCTGCATTAAAGCCAGGTCAGGTCAGGAGTCACAACCCAAACGTTAAGAAGAGCCATTTTGTCCTTTCAACAAAAATCAGACCACCTTGGGAGCCACAACATTTAATGTCCAGTATGTCTCAGTATGTGTTAATGTCCTAGAATAGGCTAAAAAATATAAACGAAAGCGCAGATTTACTTTGCTCTGCTTTAAGTGTTAGCTATCGCCGCTTTCCTCCCATCTCCTCCAGGACACTTTTCTTCAAACATAGAACAGTTTCTTCTAAAATGTCTCTCAACGTTCGACTGTTTTACGAGGCTGAAGTCGCTTCTCATTCGCCAGCTTCTTGTTCGAATTTTCCCATTCCACCTTAAATTCTGCCTGAGGCACCAGAAATGTAAATGCTGCACTATTTAAGGTGGAACGGGACAATTCTAACGAGAAGCTGTCTTCATCTTTGCGACTTTTTAGTGTTTGACAGTCTTGTTGGAGATGAAAAGTATGAGGAAACCAACTGCAATTCTTATAAATGCGAATAAGTCTGTTCATCTCCAAATGTTCGTCTTAAATCTCTCTTTGCCTTCTCGTTATCTACTAGCTAGGCGAGACTGTCTGCATTGCTATGTGACCTGCACTCTGCACGCCAACCTTAAGGGTTATAGCGTGGTGAATTAGCAGTGTTTAAGATCATCTATTGTTAAAACAGTGTTAGAACGATCAGCAGAGCTTTACTAAGCTGCAGAAGAGGATTATTTTATTTTTATCAGGACAGTAAAAGAGCCGTATGTTGCCAGCCCCTGAGCTAGCATGTGGAAGCACTTTGGCTTCTATGAAGTTGAAGGGGAAAAAGGACCTGGACAAGAGCCACACTATATGCAAGTTGTGTCACACTAAACTAAAATATTTTGGAAACGACAAACATAAGAAACCTTATTACATGTTTCCACCCGTTTTCCATCCGGTTTGTTTTATTAATGAAAGATATTGGAAGTAAATTGATTGTGGATCATTACAAATACTTTGCTTTAAAACTGCAAAGTCCTCACACAGTGAGAAGAAAGAAATCCTGTGTGTGTGTGTATGTGTATATATATATATATATATATATATATATATATATATATATATATATATATATATATATATATATATATAAAAAAAGATGCATCAAGATGCATCGATAATTGTTTTGTGATTGCATCGTGGCCCTCTGAATCGTAATCGAATTGTGTGGTGCCTAGAGATTCGCACCCCTATAATCCATCATTATTTTTGACTTACTAAGTTAAAATATTAATGTGTTTATTTTAAGATTACAAGACAAACATTTGACATAATAAGGCAAAATATTGACATACTGCTGTCAGAAACAAGGAAGGAAAAAAACAATTATGAAGAAACTTTTTTTCTTACCTGGTGGAAACAGGCTTTCATACAACAAAGGATGTGAGCAAAGCGGGGGTTTATGTTACACTGGTCATATGTTAATTACAAAGTTAATTGCAAAGTTGTGCCTGTGTTTATTTGCATGGATAACCCTTAAAATTGGCCACCCCCACCAGAGCAAATTGTCCGCAGACTGTGGGTAATTAGCACCTCTTTTAGTAAATCTGCCCTGAGATCTATAATTACATCATTAAAACTGTGAACATCAGTCTCAAGATAAAGCTGCTTAAGAGTCTTTTCTAAACATATCAGATTTATCTGTGAACCACCAACTTCCTTTTAAATGTATCATGCATGCCTACCATAGTTTTCATCTCACACTGAGCCTGAATTGTTAGAACCAGGTTTTTACTGGATCTTATCTCTTCAAATCCACTTAGCTTATCTAATCTCTCATTTGACCTCCTTTTGTAATCTTTTCTGTTCAGAGAAGTTGCCATCAGTAAAGGCCTTCCCTTTCCTATTCAGTTGCATGTGCATATATTACTATTTGGGAACGCTTTACCTGAATGACTAAATATGACAACTTAGCACCCACAATCAGTAAGATTGCAATTATTATTACACAGTTCTTTAAACATTATCAGGGCTGTCTAAACAGTCCTATAATACAGCGTGAAGTAACTAAGATTTTATGATGCCTGCTAACTAAGACAAGGTAGGAGATGCTGGATTGGATCTCAGGCACGTTATGTTAGAGGATGCCTGCGCTAATGTTTCATTACTTAGCTGGTATTCTTGTCAAGGAATCTTGGACCAGCATCTTCTCACTGCTTGTGTAGAAGAAGTGTGACCCCTCATGAACATCTGTTACTTTGTCAGCATGGACTGTTACTCATAGGTTAATGGATCTTAACTGACTGAAGGAGTTGGGTAATGAACAGAATTGAGAAATACAGTCTCAAGTACTTATCATTCTGTTTGTTTACAGCTCAGTTGAAGATTGACATCTCTCCTGCACCTGAGAACCCTCACTACTGTCTCACCCCAGAGCTGCTCCAGGTTAAGCCTTATCCAGACAGCCGTGTGCGGCCAACCAGGGAGATCCTGGAGTTCCCAGCCCGGGACATATATGTGCCCAACACCACCTACAGGTACTAAAATTTAGCTGTATGTTAGCTAAATGCTGACCCAATTACAAAAGAGCCACAAATATGACAGTTGGTATGCTTCATTTGCATATTAGCCCTTTCTATTGCTTAACTGTACATACAGTTGAAATAATAATAATAGCGACAAATCTTTATTTATGTAGCACTTTTTAATTTATTTACAAAATCACAAATTGCTGTACACAGGAAGATGAGTAAAACTTTGGAAAGATGGTCCAAATGAATTAACAGCACATTCACAGACAATAGGAGAAGAACGAGAATAAATACTCAGGGCATATGCTAGTCAAAAGAAATGTGTTTTTAATCTGGATTTAAAAACACCTATCAGCCTTGTGTTTTTAATATTCTCTGGGATGCTGTCCAGAGATTAGAAGCTATATAAGAAAATGATCCTCCACCAGCTGAGCTATGAATGATCCCAGGAGTTTGCAGTAAGCCTGCTTTACCTGAGCAAAGTGGTCTGGATGGGCTATACCGCTTTAAGAAATTGGAAAGATATGCTTTGAATGTGCATTAAGGGCTTTAAAAGTCATAAACAAGACCTCACAATCAATGTGGAAATGAACAGAAAGCCAGTACAAGCTGAAATAGACTGGATATAAACTGAAAAAAACAGGATGTACTCTGAACTAATCAGAGCCAATTTAGAAAGTTATCACATGTGCCTGTTGAATAATAAGAAGTCTGTTAACTCTAATGTCAGTTAGACTTACCTTGCATGTACAGTGTTCTTACACAACCCATATTTGCACAACTCATGCATACATTTTGGTTTTAAGTGTAGTTAATGATGTCTTTTACAATAATCCCAGTTTGAAACCAAATTTCCTGGTCTTGTTGTGATCCACCTGGCTGGCTGCGTAGCCTTTGCTGCAGGTTGTGATTCATGTCCTGACTGGCCCAAATAGCTATTTTAGTTAACGCCTCCAAGGCAAAGACCTTTATCAGCTGGTTATGTTGACATAGCCCTCTACAAAGGACATGCTTGCTTGTTAGTAGATATCATGGTTGGCATGGGAGCAGTCTCTAGGTCAGTTTCAGTCATGCTGGCTGTAGAAGTTCGGATGTCTGACTAGTAAACATTTATTTTCTAGGTATGAAGTGTACACAATTAGGGTGGATGTTGTAAGAGACTTGACACTGTTGTTTTTCCGGAGTAATTTCTGTAGCTAATTATTCATCTGTGTACTTAACTGAAACTCTGAAACAAGCAAGTTGTCCCTTTCCAGGAATTCAGTTAAGCCCTTTTTTTTTTTTAAATAATACATAAGCTGGAAATCCTTTTCACATTTCAACACAGATGCTGATGGTGGTGGGTGATATGCCAGTTCATCCAGTTTACTCGTTGAAATTATCCCCCTAACATGAGTTGTCGTAACTGGCTTGTATGCCACAAATGCACACTGATAACAAGATGTACAAACACGGCAAACTACACTAGCATTAGCCTCTTTAACTAAGTGGCTGAAGCTGAAGAAGTCCGCTTTGTTTTCAAGGCAGTGGACGTAAAGAAATGGCCAGTCTTTTGGGGTGAGGCTTAACCTAACACCAGTGTCGATTGCCACACTTCCTCTTGTACCACCTGAGAATCCACCTGACTCCAAGAGCTGCATCAGACAAGTCCACTTTGTCTGCTGCAAAACAAGCTGGTACCAATAGCTGTGTAACTGTAATATTTTCCAAATTCCAGCAGTGTCTGACTATCGGAGGCATGACTATATAGGATGTACCTATGAGACAAACAACTTGAAAAATTCTAGGAAGCTGAAGTTGGCTTCGTAATCAAAATTCCTGTTCCTCCTTAAGTAGTGCAGTGGTTACATTCAGGCACATGTACAGGTGCACACAAGTTAATTTATTATGCAGTGAGCTTTAATTTGCTGCAAGGTTAAAATCAACGTAGCCATACCTGTTGTGAGTTGGTTAAAAGAGGATTTGCTTGTGTGTACAGTTGTTCCACAATGCATGGTTTAACTGAAGACACAATATATGGTTGTTGAGTGTTTCACTTTATTTTTGTTATAAAAATGATGTACCAAGACTATTTCTGAGGACAAATCTGTAAACAAAATACTGTACAGTTGGGTTTGTACAGTGTGTAGCCAGGAGTCAATATGACTCAGTAACATAACAGAGCAAACAGTTACTACTATCATACCACAGTTCTTGACTAATGTAGCGCAAATATGAACACTGCTTAAATACGGTATTAAGTTAAACTGCAATATAAAAACAAGACACTGAAAACTATTACACACATATGCATTGCTATCCACCAACTTTCTTTCTATGGTTACTTAATGTACTATTATATGAGTGGTTTCAAAGTGTATCACAATTCCTAATATCATGCAGCAGGTCACTATTATTACTCCAGAAGTGCATTCAGCTATGCCTGAAATCTCTATTAACAATGTTCTAAATCATTCAGAAAGGATGAGCACATGCAACATCTCCTTTATATCTGCCACTGGTTGATGGCCTGTTGTAGTTGCATCATTCTTTGATGAAGCGTCAGCACTTTTGGACTGAGTGTAGGAGAATGGGGAAACTTCTGTTGGCCAGAGTCACCACTGCCTGTGTGACCTTTCTCATTGATCAAGAGTTGCACAATCAACCAGGTTCAGCGATCATTGAAACTAGGACGATGGCCTAATGGAGATTTTTGTAAATTTGAGGGTATAAGTGCTCCCCCTGCCAGGTCTCCAGTAGATCCCTTTCCTGCGCAGAGAACGACTCCTTGAGCGCGTCCAGGTATACCGCCCATTTAGATTGGTGTCGCCACATGCGTTAAACCACCAACCACCTGTAAATTGTCAAGATTGATTGTAATTCAAGGTTCAAGTGTGTAAAACCAAGACCTGCAAAGCAAGACCTGCAAATAACAATCAGGACAAGAGTGTTTTACCTGTGTAGTTCCGGGCACAATTGGAATCCTCATGATTGTCGTTGTCCTTGTCCTTGGTGGAAAACATCATGCCGGTGTGGTTGCTCATGGCATCCGGCAGGTTTCCAGACAGATGAGTCAGATGGATAGTGTAGTGAGATGCGGGACCATCCAGATTGAACAAATACTCAATGAATCTTTTCTCCTCTTTCCAGTCCTCTAGCTGAATGTTTAGAATATAATCGCCCTGTCTGGCAATAGAGTAGATTTTTGCCAAGCCCAGCCAAAACTCCACTGTAATACAAAAGATGAACATATTGCTTTGAAGTAGAAATTGCAGGCAGTCTTGATATGTGAGGGTAAAAATAGTTTCTTTGTGGTGGAACCTGAAGGTATGTGCTTTGCTAGGCTGTCCTTGGGCCAAATACTGCTGTCAGTCAGCATTTGTGAAGGCTTACAGAGGCAAACCCAATAAGCGTGTTTTGCTTTTCATTAGCATGAAGGGTTCATGACAGATCTTGACAGCAATTTTAAACCTGTTTATTTTGTACCGTTTTATTCTGTCAATCTGCAGCATTCCTTGTCACCGATAGTGAACTTGAGAGGAGTTGATGTCCACGTTTCATCAGAAATGACTTTTGTTCTTCACTGTAGATTCTGACACGCTAAGCTTGTGACAAAATTGTGTCGTAGGACTGACGCCAAACGTTTGCTGCCTGAAGCCTATTTGAAATGCAGTTGGCCCGGCTCCAAGTTTGACTTATGTAATATTTCAAGCTGTATAATGACATGCCAGAGGTGTTCATGTTGTTAGTAGCCCAAGGATGCTATTGTGTCCATAAATAATTTTTTTCAGTAATTGCTTCCATTTGAAGTGTGTATATAAAATATATGTGTGTTTGTGTATGTATGTATGTATATATGTGTGTGTGTGTGTTTGTGTGTGTATACACATATATGTTGGCTTTGTTTTGTGTGCTTACTTTCCAAATTTCCAAATCCAAGTTCATATTTGTCCCAGTTCTGATCAAAATCTACAGAACCGTCCGCTCTGCGCTGAATGACAGTAGCTGCCCCATCTGTAAAGCCAAGAATTGTGGAAAATGTGTAAAGCCTGGATGTTCTGAACACATTTATGGGGGGACAGCAACCGAATGTGTCTTGACTGATTAACAGGCTGTTAGGTGGCCTGGTGACCTCACTGTTGGATCAACTTGGATAGATTGTTTCTTACCTGAGCTGATATCGCAGTACACGTTGAATGGCTCTGATTGATTGGGCTTGATTGGGTAAACTCCACTGTTTCTCTGGCCTCTGTTGAACACTTCACTGCAGTCTGTGGGAAAGTCTGTTAAAAAAGTAAAAAAGGTGTTATACATAGTTCTGATGTTTATTGACTGTGTAATAGTTTCATCTAGTGTTCCCCACTGACTCTTACCATTTGTGTCCATAGCGGTTGAGTTGCTTGTTAGGTACTCTAAAAGTTCTGGTGCCTCTGGAGTTGGTTCTGGAGATTTTTCACCTGTTTCTTGGATAGGTTCGTAGTTAAGCTGAAATCAAAACGGATAAAAAAAATCAGGAAGTATTAATGACTCAACAAGAATGCAGTAATTCAGTTAACCCAAAGCTTTTTATGCAGTGCATAGTACCTTTTCCTCCAAGCTCTTGATTTTGATTTTCTGAGAGTTGAGCTGCTCGTGCTGCTCTCGCACTGACATCAGCAGGTCTTTGATGGTCTTCTCCTGAGAGTCAATCACATCCTGCAACAAACCACTTTTCAGTGCTTGTGTGAGGGAGATTCTTCAGTTTAAAGTCTGACTTTTGGTTTTGGAGCATCTCTTTTTATTCTGCTAGAGAAAAGCAATTCATACAGTCATATGCAAAAGTTTTGGCACCCGTAGTCACATGTAAAAATAAGAACACATCCTCTACAGAGAGCATACTTCTGTACATTTTAATACAGAAGTTAATATTAATTTACTGAATTTAACAAAATTAACTTTTTTCTCATATGTTAAACTCAGCAAATAAGTAGAAATTGTGCACTGAAATTTGCAGAAAAATACCATTTTTGTTCCCTGTAGGATGCCCTAACTTATTTTCATATCAGTCAACAAACCATGTGATTTGGCCAGATTGTTTAAACTTTATCGTATAACTATGTTTTATTTTTACATGTGATTAAGTCTCTAGCTCTTAGATGTGAATGACATTTTGTTCAGATTGGTTGGAATTCATTGAAACCATATTATATAGTGACAAATCCTGTGAGATGGTGAGATATTTGTTGTTTGAGATGGAATTTTTTTGCAGCCTGAAGCAGTTCCACTCACCTTCAGTGCGGTGATCTCTTGAAGCTGCTCTAGAGGCACGATGCTCTGAGACAGGCCCTTCAGCTTCTCCTCCAGACTGCCCACTTTGCTCTGCAGGTGACTGCGCTCCAGCAGAATGCTGTTGATCTTGGAGTTGATCTCGAGTGACAAATTGCGGATCTCTTCATTGTTGGCCTTCAAGAAGGTGGTGGTTTCCTTCAGCTTCTCTTCCTCCTCTTTGATCTCGCTGGTGACGACCGAGAGCTGGTAGAACGAGCGGTCAAAAATGTTCAGCTTCTGGAAGATGTCGTTGATTTGCCCTTTGGTCTTGTGTACGAACTCTCGCAAGCTCTGCCCCAGCTGGAGGAGACCGTTAGCCAGCAGGCGCACGTCATCCAGCATCGCAAAGCGGGACCGGGCTTCCGTCGGTTGCGGAGTGTTATGAACGGGCACCTCTGTGACTGTTTGAGGGGCCGCATTGATGGCACACAAGCTGCCAAAGAAGATCAAGCTAGCAACCTTCATTTTGATTTTAGAGGGCTGCAGCTATTTGTACTAATCTTATCTTATTCGATCTCTTGCTCTTGTTTCCTTAGCTCCCTCTCTCTCACTGTTGTGAGAACAACAGCAAGGGAACTAGTCTGCCTTCAGTGTATATATACCTCTGCACACGGAGGGGAGGGGGAATTCGTCGATCATTAAACTGGTTATGCTTGCTAACCTCCACTCGCCAAAAGAAAAAAAAAATGGTCTCTTGGGGAGGCTCCATCAGAGCAAACATATTACAGCAGCATGCACATCCACCCCCCATACAGCCCACCGTAACCTCCCGCTGCACATCCATAACCCAGCCCGCCTTCCCCGTGGCTCTGCTGCAGCTGATAAGCAGGAACGAACAGTGCCACCAGAGCGCTAATGAATCATCGGCCCCGATCGATCTCATCATCGCCACAGCCACATTCGACTGATGGGACTTGGTACTGAAGTGGGAATTAATAATAAAAGTACGCAATTTATGCCCCTCGGTTTGATTTAATGGCTTGCTGAATCAGCGTCACATTACTCTCTGGTGCCACTATGAGGGTCTGAGGGTGTGAGGATTCTCAGTGTTCACGACTCTGCAGCTGCCCTGCCAGATAGGAGTTTAGGAAATGTACTGTGTATGCTAGGCCGAGGACTTTTACAAAAAACAACAACAACAAAAAAAAAAACTTGGCACACGACTGGTAATGAATGTAATTGGACGCTCTCTTCTCTCTCTCATTCTCTTTCTTTGATCTTTTTACTCTTTCACTCTTTCTTTCCACTTTCTTTCTCTCTTACTGCTATATTTAACTCTCCCCCCTTTCCATCTCTTACTCCTTCTCTCTTTCTTTCTTTCTCTTGGTCCCTTTTGTGCTCTCTCTCTACTTCGTTTTTAATTTTTCCCTTCGTATTTCTGTTTCTTTCTGTCTGTTTCTCTTTTTCTGTCTTTCTTTTTTCTTTCTTCCTTTCTTGCTTTCTCTCTATTTTGTTTTTTTTTTCTCTCATTCTCTTTCTTTGTCTTTTTCTTTTTCACTTGCTCTTTCCCTTCTCTCTCTGTCAGTGAACAGTCTAGAGGGCACGTGTAATCTCTTGATGTACAATAGATTAGTCTGATGTTATCCTGTGAAGCAAATTATATTAGCTCTGTTGTAGTATTTAATTTGAAAGTGGTCTGTGTCCTGAATGCAAATCATTGTTTGGTATCCTTGATGTAATTTAGCGCAAGACTTCTAAAAAATAATCTATATAACCACACATATTAGTCAAAAGCTGTCTGACCCATCACTGTTACCTATTTGTACACATGCGTTTAGCTTTGAAACCATGCATTCTCTGTGTGCAGGACCGAATACTGTGGTCTGTATGTTATCTGTAGTCAGAGCAAACACTGCCTGTGTGTGCTGAGGGGCCAGAATGTAGGAGCTTTAAGGAGGTGGGGGGGGGTTGGAGATTTATGTAATCAGGGTTTGTGTTCACTGAATCTCCCTAAGCTGTTAAAGGCATGATCTTAATCAAATTATGTGTTATAAATTTATGTGTGGTTCTTTTCTTTTATGCTTTTCTTGCCCTCCTTTTCACACTTCTGTTAATGAAGTAAATCTGCACATACTCACATGCTGTAGGGTTTAGTATCCAAATGACATTTGATGTCTGTGGTCCAGGGGGGTTTGCACCATTCATTTGTTATATGTTGTAGAGAGAGTGAAACATCTTTGAGTTTTTCCTTTTCTGCAGCCTTTTTTTGTGCATTTTGTGTTAGATATTAAAGGCAATTGTTTCTTGCGATTGTTTTCACATGTTGTATTGTACTGTAGGGTAGTGTATACATGAGCATTGTGGCCCCTGAACTGTACGTTAGTATTTCCATATTATGACAGTAAAGGGAGACAAAAATGAAAGCTTGTCACATGTAGGCTATTGTAAACTACACGTGAATCATTCTATAGAGGAGTACATCTATCGGCTTTGTGGCTTGTGAAGAATTGATTGGGTCCAACAATCGCGTTGTGACAGGTATTGGTCATAGGAAAGTGTACTCTGTGCACACGAACTGTGGAATCACTTGCCTTGAGGTTACATTCAGTCAGTGATTTCTCTGGTCACTATATCAGTGAAACTACAGCTAAAATGGCACATCCAAACAAACTATTTTAAACCTGGGTTTTATTAAAGCAGTAAGCCACGAGAGGTTGTGCGTTACTGCGGTTTGATCACAGGGAAAGGTGTTGGAAAACAACATACCTAAAACTCTCCTCCCTGTGATAAAATTGCAGTGACGCACCGCATCAAGTGGCTTATTGCTTTTATAATATAGCGGCCAGCGTAAAGTATGATAATAATTTATTAAGTTATTATTAATAAAAATTGACAAGTTTTCCACCAAGAAATGTAGTTACTTTAGAGTATGGTATTGTTGCCAAGCAATCATGGACCATTGAATGAGAAGAGGAAGGTTTCTCATGCTGGGGCTGAATCTCAAATGGCTCCCTGCTCCCTACATAGTGCACTATGTAGAAATTTAAACACTAGCTCCTGCATCCCAGCAGTGCGTAATACAGCCAAACCATAATCATTTGGGATTCAGCTACATCCATACTCGATAAATGATGCGCTATTTGGCTGTAGAGGCTAGAATTTCTAAATATCCGTAGTTAGTACACTGTTTAGGGAGTATGGAACGAATGAAATGAAAGTCTTTAGACTTTTATGCTGCCGTTTTATAGTGAATCATATCGTGAGTACTTTAATCAAGCCTGTAATATTAATGTTGTGTAGCTATCTTTTAGCTTGTTAGCTAGCTGACCAGCCTAGGTCTAGTTAAGAAAATAAGTTGCTAGTCCCTCAGTTTAAACAAAAAACAGGTTCTTACTTCATCGGTGCATTCGGTGGTCCTCGCAAGCAGTGTGAGAGTCAAAGATTATTCCATTAACAGCACAAGGGTTTTTTTGTGACATGCCGCAGTAAGACAGAATTCAGTTGTGAGGGTGTCATAGATGTGCTTATATATATTACAGTGGCTTTGAATGCGGCACATCTAATCAGATTTTAGGACCAGAACTGATCTGTTTTATAAAATAACTGCTGTTAGAGCAAGAGCTTGTATCTCTAAATTGGTAATTTTTCAGGAGAAGGAAAAAACACTTTTAATGTTTAATGTAAATGAATATAACAAGATTTTATTCTGAATAGTTTCTGGGGTGTCAAACATGTCAAACGGTTAGATTTCATGCTATATAGTGTATGATACTGGGAATGGTTTATATAGTTCTGTTTAACAGCCCATGATATTGCTAAAAGTAATAACCACAAATGTTTAGGGAACAAAAAAAACTATCAAAATCAACCTAACTCGGATGGTTGATAAGCCAGACTGTTTGAAATGGCTAGCAAACTTATCCTCCCTTTCATCTCCTGTTTGAGAACTATTTGTTTTCACAGTCAAGTACAATAATAATGGGCAGAGAATGGTAGACCGACATTGCTCAGTGCCAGTATCAGTTACCCATGATTATATCTCAGTTATGCTAACTAATTTGTGAAGACAAAAGATGTCTTCAAAAGATGGCGAGTAGGAAGTCATCTTCATTTGGGAGAAAACGCGTCACAGCACTCTCTTCACAGGATTCAAACAGCTACCAAATGCCGATTGTGAATGGCTAAAACGAATAACTCTCTCGACATAGATGGTTAAAGCTTCCACTTTGCATCTCTATTCGGTTGTAGAGTCCACCTCTACGCGCTTGTAGATAGTCTTGGCTTCCGCAGTTTGCTGGGAGTGATTGTACCATGTTAGAATATTCTCTCTCTTACTCATTTCAGCCAGAAGATAAGAGCTGTAAATAAACTTGTAATGCTCAGTGCATTTAAGTTTGAGACCTAGCCTCGCAATATAACCTGTTCGGCAAGCACAGATGTGCAACATTTAACATTGTTCTTCTGAGGAAAAAATATAAAATATATATATATATATTTTTGGAACCAAAAAATGGATAATTAAATGCAAAAGTAATGTTAGCATTTCTAATTCTGGATCGAAAATGTATCGTATTGTCATGCAAAAATATGTATAGTATTGTGGAATTTGTGTATTGTTACACTGATCATAATGAGAATGCATATGAGAACTGCTGTTTTGGAATCAAAAAACATAGAAAAAGAGGTAATCTGGCAGCGACGAAATGTGAAATAGCTATTTTCCCTACATAATATTTGTCCTTGTACTGTCATAACTGTTCCTCTACATGGTCATGCTGAATGACCCCTGGCTGGACTTGTGACTGCAGCCTGGCCTAGATCCATGCCTGTGGACAGAGCAAACACTGCCAGCCTCCCTGTGTGTGATCAGAGGCCTAGTGGGGTGTAGCAGCATATGAATGAGTCTTCAGAGGGACTGGGCAGAGGGTTTAAAGCAGTGGTTATTAATCCTGGACCTAGAGTACCACTACTCTGTATAATTTAATATTTTCCCTGCTCTAACACACAGTTCAACTCAGGAAAGACTTGTTAATTAAAAGATTGGTTGAATCTGTTGTGTCAAAGCAGGGAAAACACACAGGACTAGGATTAAGAACCATTGATTAAAAAAAAAAAAAGTTTCTGGTGATTGTCCTTGATGAATTAGAAACATTTGCGCATTAGTAGAGGAATTGGAGATGCGGAGATGCATGGGCTTAGCCTGGGTTTCATTTTAATCCTACTTTAAGTTTAACGGTAAACCAAGATTGAATTTAATCCTATGGCTTCATTACTCATTACTAAACTCGTGCCTCTTTGTGCCTTTCAAGCTTGCTTTGTTCTGATCTGTCAACGGTCTAATAATGGTAGTGTTTAACTGTCTAAATTCATTTCGATTCAGGCCTTTGTTAGTTTTCACTGAAAAAGGAAGTTAAATAAAACAGGCTGGATTAAAGATTGGCAAGATAACCATATTTTATTATCATTGTGATAAATGTTTGTGATAACATGCTTTTCTGAGCATATCGTGGATATTATCTGACCTGCAGGAACATTGGCCAACTGCAAGTTTCATTAAAAAGAAATAATTAGTCTTGTTAAATTGGTGTAAGTGCAGCACAGTATGTGAAATGTTGAATAAAAATCATTGTTATTTTGGTGGCAGTTTTTAAATGTGGTGCTGCTACTGCATTGTGTCTGTGTCAGAATATCAGTCTTGCAGTATCATGATATTTTGTCTGTATTGCCCATCCCTAGTCTGGATAATAATTAGTCTCAGGAGTAGCACTGTCATTGTTTACAACACCATGTGCAGTTAACTGTAGGCCATGTTTTTAATCACAGCTTGGTAATTCATGTTGAAAATGAAGTGGTGCCGTGCAAATCATTGCAAAACAAAACCTAAATTAGCAAATGCTTGAAAACTACTTAATCCTCAATGGAGCTGCCTACCCTTAACATTACAGGGGGAATTTACAAACACACAGGTTTAGAAATAGCCTCTATATTTGTAGTGTTAGCTTGTTGTGGTTAACCTCCTCAGGAACTCACTGAGTAAAGAACAAAGTATATAAATGATGTTGGTGTCATTGTAAGGCTGCTGTTAGTGATCCTTTTTTTGAGTGCTGGAGCTGTAGGTTAGCAAGAGTGTGAGATACGAAGAGGACATGGAAAAAGGAGTAGCAGCATTAGATGGGGAGAGATCGGGAGAGTAAGTGCATGAGAGAGGCGTGCTCTCTGGGCCGTGTGTGACCCTGCCGCTCCCAGGAGGTTGAGCTTCACGTCATTGTGGTGTTCACGGCATGTCACCCCAGCTATACGCTCCATGCTCTGCTCTGAGACCTCCTACAGCTCACTAAACCACAGAATCTATTTCAAGCCAGCGCTAAACTTACTGGCAGCGAGCGTCACTTTCCAAAGCTTTTTCCTCTTGTTTTAAGCCTTTTGTGTGAGAACAGAAGTTGCCTTATATAATTTTGATGATGATAAAAGCCTCCAGAGCTGCTTAATACATATATTAGGGCAATTAGTACTTAAGCTTATATCATAGTTCTGTTGTTGAAACAAACCCAGACATAGGTCGAAGGTTCAGTAAATAGAAATTTTACATTGACATGCATGAAGAGAAGCATGCAATTCCACTGACCTGTCTGATGGCCATTGTTACACAGTGTGGACTGTTGGGGGTAAAGGCTCGCAAGAACCCCCATACCTTATAGGGAATAACGGACTTTTAGGCGCCCAGGGTTCCTCTGTGGCACGTGGAAGGCCATATATGGCAGTCTATACTGTTCCCGAATGCAGAACAGAGCCAGAAGGCTGATGCTCTGCTTTAGCTCAAAGGTTGACACACTGGTGGTGATAATGGTGCCACAGCGTCCACCCTATCATGTATGCCGTCATATGGGTCATATTGTATTACATCATGTACTCTGCTGTTTAAAATTTTGGAATCACTGTTCAGACATTGTAATTATTTCATTGTTATAAAAAGCTATTTTTGTTGCAGATAAATGTAGAAATTGTTCTAATATGCTAGCCCTGTAAAGCCTTACACATTTCATGTAATTCATAAGAAACTAGAACCCTATAAAAAAATAAGAGTAAAATTAATGATAAAATGATATTAATAAAATTAATATCCAGAATGTATCATGTCTCAAACGTGATGGTCGAATCTCAAGGTTGATAACTAAACAAGTATTAAAAATAGATAATTACAGTACTTAATTCATTATTTTATTATAGTTTGTTGTGATATGACATTCTACAGTCGGAATAGCTATTCATTGTGTTTTTTGCTAACGTTAAGTTGCCACATTTTAACCCTGGAGTGAGTTACCGTTAACTCAGTTAACCGTTAACAGTTCTGAAGTTTCTTCTGTAGTTTTCTAATGATGGGTGCAAAATGTAAATGAGTGTAAAAATGATAATTATTTGTAGCTTTGATGTAAAATTTGTACCTTTTAAACTCATAGGACACATGATATGTGGACTGCTGAAACCCCTTAAAGCTGAGGGAGTGTCTACAAATTTCAAGTCCAAGCACAACGCACCAGAATGAAACTTTATGAACTTATACAAGCTTTGTAGCAGATAGAACACAAATGATGCCCAACCAGAGTTTTGAGAAGACCTCAATTTAATGATTATTATTGATGAGGAATCTCAGTCTCAAAAGATGTCTACGCGATTGAGCTTTTGAGTTTGGTGTTGTATGCAACAGATTTTTAACAGATGAGGCAAAATCTCAGGAGAGCAATATAGTCTTTTAATACGACTTGCTTGTGCACAGTTACTGAGCTGAATTAGAAATTCCTGGCACACCTGTGTTTTAGTCTCAGTGTACCAGAATTTTTCATTTCCCTGTTAAAATCACACCAGTATTTTCTTGGAAAATTATGTCTAAACTTGTCACCTTTTTCACTGCTCACAAGCTTGCATTTCTAAACTCTCACAATTTATTTTGAATATCTTTATGTTTGAAATTTTTCCCACATATTGTCCCACTTAGATGTGGCTGCTTAGATGTTTCCCTAAACCTGAGATCAGTGACCGTTTTTGTGAGGCACAATATAAGATGCTATTGTTCCCGCATTCTCTGTAGTTCTATATCACACCATATTTGAATAACTGAATGGACGTACACATTGTACACAAAGCGCAGACAATTAAATAGCCCAGAACCTCATTTTAAGTAGCCTATATAATCACTTAATCCAAAAGTAACAGAAGGTAACCAGGTTACATTTCTTTGATATAGTAATCCTTTGGATTAAGTTACAGATTACATTTTTCAACAGGTAATCAGTATCTGTACAGGAATACATTTTTAAGAAACCCTCCCAACCCTGGTCATTTAATAATTTCTTGTTAAAGCTGCACTTTGTTAGATTTGGAGACCTCTCTGGTGGAAATGCGTAATTGCATGCACACTTTTTTAATGTTGGTTGTGCTTCAGACCCCTTCCTTGAGTGCATGAATCTTGTGATTGCAAGCATATTGAAAGAGTAAGAAAAGACAAAACTTGGTGAAGGATGCATCTTCCGAAGATGCAAGTGAATTATCATCATATCTTTATCAGTGTAATGTTGATTTTTACTTGTGAGACCTAAACATCGAGCCAGGCCTTGTTTTTGACGCTGTGCGTGTGACATTAATATGTAAAGATATGTGACGTGGTCTGAAAAACTCTTGCAAATGAATATTTCAGGCTTTACAGGGTGACTCGCAGCAGTGCATGCACACCATATTTTAGCGTGTTTTTTTTCCCCTTCTGACTTAGTAATGCTAGTTCTTTCAATTTTAACAAAAAATCTGACACAGTGCAGCTTTAAAATACTAGACCTGATGAAATGAAGCATCTGAAGTGGGATGTCTGGGCTATAATATTGAAATCTAAATTGTTTAAATTATTATATACAACATCTAAATTATTAATTTGATAAGTAGTTCCAGTCTCATGGTAATGTCAACCTTTAATCTAAAAAAAAAAAAAATTCCTGCTCTAACTATGAATGGCCCAGAGAGAAATGATGTGTACACTGTAACACCCTGACTTCTCTGGCCAGGTGTAGTCCTGTAAATGAACTCATGAAGGACCAGATCTGGCATCTCCTGAGACATTCACAGGCTTAAAGGGGGAAAAAAAAGTATTTATGGCATTTTTATTTACTGTACTTGACTGCCCAGAGCTGTTTCAGCAGTGAGGCTCATATGTTACCAGAGTTTGCTGTCAGATGGGCAGTAAACTGCTTTAACCCATTATCATCTTGCTCTCACAGTTAAAGCCACAGATCTGTGAGTGTATATATACATATATATGTAATGTATAGAATAATATATATTGTATGTACTTTAAAATGTAGACAGTGGTCAACACAAAACTTGCCTTCCAGTTTTAAGTTGCATTATGTGACACAGTGTTTGAAAGTCTGCTCCTCTCTCTCCCCTTGTGCCTGTTAGGAACCTGCTGTATGTGTACCCACAGAGCCTGAATTTCGCCAATCGACAAGGCTCTGCCCGCAACATCACGGTGAAAGTGCAGTTTATGAATGGAGAGGACCCCAGCAATGCCATGCCTGTAAGTGATGATGTAGGCCCTTATAAGTATGTGCATGCACACCATACATTTAAGTAGTTTACATTGAGTCAACATTCTGACTACTGTGTACAATTATATTACTACAACAGCCACTATAAGACCTTACACTATAATACCCACACTAATAGCCACAGATTTACTGAGGTTTGGCTAGGATCCTTGAGACTCATTTGCGAATTACAGCCCTCTGCTATATTAGCATTAACAAATAATGACAGTGATCAACGACTAAGAAATAAAATATTGTGCAGCCTTCTCCTTCTCTGGCTTGTGAGCCGTCTTTTGCATTAACAGTACTGCATTCACACTTATCAGCATTGTCTCTTTAACCTCTTCACTTTATATTTCAGTGGAATAGTGTTGTTTAGAACTCTCTGTGGTTGCAGTAGTTTGTTACTGTTGCACTACTAAATATATTTAGCATGTTAAGCTGTATACTTACTGCCTTTTATTCCATAATTTTCCAGGTGATCTTTGGTAAATCCAGCTGTGCAGAATACTCAAAAGAGGCATACACTGCTGTGGTCTATCATAACCGGTGAGTTGAGTTCCAAGGCAGCAAAATTTCCATTGTCTATAATGGTGATGACTTGTACATCCATGCCATTCATCTTAATATGTTGCTGTGTACGTTCAGTGCTCCCTTATATGTTGAAGGTTTCTAATTCTGAGCAGGTAATTCTTCCATCTCAATGCTAATTTAATGGCTGGGTCCCACATGATGTCATTAGATTTTCAAACTTTGCCACATCAGCTGATGTTAAAGTCTGGAGGCCACTGGAAGTTGTGACACAAAGTAAATGTTACAATTTTCATCACCTCACCACACCTTTAGAATGGACTGCAGTTCCACTGAAGCTGTTTTTCATTTTTTCCATGTATGTTATGTGGTTTGGTTTTTTTACTTTAAACCTACACCTGTACTAGACAAACTGTAAATCAGACATCTCATTTGCAGTCTGAACCTGTGGTAAAGTTGTGGCACTTACTGGGATTTCACAATGAAACATTAACTATACTAGAATAAGGGTTAGAGAGTCTGTTCAGGTCATCAGGTAAACATGATGAAAAAGCCATGTTGCTTGGCACAGGGATGTCCAGCTAGGTGTTCTCTCTGTATTTGTCCACTTTGTAAAAGAGGTGACTAAAGACAAACATTTAATCATGTTTTATGTTCCTGAAGTTCAGAAGTGACAAATACTTGCAGAGATAAGGACTATCACGTACGGATGCACAAAGGGAATTTTTTCCCAGGCAATTTCTTTTTTTTTCTTTTCTTTTTTTTTATTTCTTGTTACTGCAGTTTTGTAACTTGCAGTACTGTGGCAAAAGTCAGAGACTACACTTTCAATTATTTAATTTCCAGTCAAGACAGCCATTAAAATACAACTAACTTTTAAGACAGAACTTTGGAGGCATGGAAAAATATCCCTGCGCATTTCTTTGAAAAACTGAAAGCAAGTGTCCTGAAAAGAATAAAAGCTGCAATAACAGCTTAGAATGGATGCACTACATACTGAAAATATTGATATTATATTTAGTTGTTGCTGTTCTGTTAAATATGATTTCTTAATGTTAAAAATGATTGCCTAGTACTTAGAGGCTGTTTTGACTGCAAATTAAGTATATAAAAGGTCTCGGGTGACTTTTATCCAATGCTGTAAGTAAAGTAAGCCATGTACGTGCACTCGTGCTGTTTTTGAATGCTGCTGTTACACCTAATTATGCATGATTATTGTGTTGAATAGTCAGTTGCCTCTTACTTTAGAAGCATTTCTATTCATGCTATTTAAATGGGCAACAGATTTTCCATTTATGAATGTATTAGTTTCTTTATGAATTTATGAAAAAAAAGGCCCATTAAATACTTTTGTCTAATGAAAGTACTGAAAATATCCTTGTGTGTTTCAGGATCAATGCATCCCTGCTGTTCTGGCTTATCTAGTCCAGCTTCCTTACATGCTTCCTGTGTATCTTACTAGTTCCCCAGATTTCCATGATGAGGTTAAAGTTAAGCTGCCAGCCTCTCTGACTGACCATCACCACATCCTCTTCACGTTCTACCACGTCAGCTGCCAGCAGAAACAAAACACTCCTCTAGAAACTCCAGTTGGATACACGGTATATGCTTCCAAATTTATTGATAAGCAGCACTTTATACTCAAACACACAGGCACATTCTTAAGTCTTTGGCATGTTTCATGTCTTTTCTTCTCCCTGGCAGTGGATCCCTATGCTGCAGAATGGACGTCTGAGAACGGGCCACTTCTGCTTACCGGTGTCTCTGGAAAAACCACCCCAGTCTTACTCTGTTCTCTCTCCTGACGTAAGACCCATTTTGATGCTCAAATACAGAAAGATTCTATGGAGTCAGTCTTAGTCCGACGCGTAAACACATCTTTTGTTTAGTGTATATATGCAGCTAAGAAACCCCTCTGACTGAATCACGCACTCCACTGTACCTTCTAAATTCTCCAAAATTGTAATTTTCCAATATTGAATGCTCTAATAAACTGAAAATAGAAGCATTAATATGTTAACAAAAGAAACTATTTTACTGTTTCACAAAATACACTTGCTGCATTAGGAACACTATACTAATACTGGGTAGGGCCTCACTTTGCTCTCAAAGCAGCCATGGATTCCACAAAATGTTGGAAACATTCACAGATTATGGTCCATGTTGACATGATTGCATCATGCAATTCCTGATTTTTCAGGTGCACTTTAATGCTGCAAGTCCCTGTAAATGATAATGTGAACGTTAGAGGTATTGGGTTGGATTTTGAGAGAATTTTTGGACTACATCATGTGTCTTTACATATTAACGTCACATGCACAGCCTCAAAAGAAGGTCTGGCTCAATATTTAGGTCTCAAATGCAAAATCAACATTACACTGATGAAGATATGATGACAAGAAGTAGATCATTTCTTACAACCTCAGAAGACATGTCCTTCACCAAATTTTGACAGAATTCTTTTTAAACACTCTCTTAACGTGCTCACAATCATCAGATTCATCTGTTCAGGGAAGGGATTCGAAACACAAACTTACAAAATGTTCTTCCAAACATTTCCACTAGACAAGTCTCCATATCCCCAAAACCTATATAGTGTAGCTTTAAGCAGACTGATGCAGTTTGTAGTGCAGTAGTCAATGCATTGATTTTTAACATTTTGTCAAAATGTTCTTTGTAATGCAATTGCTGTTTTTGTTTCATTCATATATTTTTGCAGGTTCCTCTTCCTGGTATGAAGTGGGTGGATAACCACAGAGGAGTGTTCAATGTTGAAGTTGTAGCCGTGTCCGCTATCCACACACAGGTAGCAAAACTCTAATACTTAGATTTCTTAAAGGGCTTATGTTTCTTGCATTTCTGCTTCTTTTAAGTTGCTGAATTTTATCTTTCCCCCCATCCCCAGGACCAATATCTGGATAAGTTCTTTGCGCTGGTGCATGCTCTGGACGAACACATGTTTCCAGTGAGGATCGGAGATATGCGTATCATGGAGAACAATCTGGAAGCGGAGCTGAAAGCAAGCATCGCAGCATTAAGCTCCTCCCAGCTGGAGCCTGTGGTGCGCTTCCTTCACCTGCTGCTGGACAAACTGGTACTGCTGGTGGTGCGGCCGCCCGTCATCGCAGGACAGATCGGTACCACCTCGCCCTAATCTATTTATCTTTATAATTAACTACCTTATTTACCCCTATCATTAAAAAACTGTCTTGAGACTAGATTATTGATGATGAATGCTCTCACCTGTCCTCCCTTCTCATTTTAAATCTTCTTCCTCTCGTTCTGCTTCTGTATGTTTTTTCATTGCAGTAAATCTTGGTCAGGCCTCTTTCGAGGCGATGGCATCCATAGTGAACCGTCTTCATAAGTACCTGGACACCAGCCAAGACATGCACGGCCGCAACAGCCTCCTTTCATCATACATCCATTATGTCTTCCGTCTGCCCAACATGGACCCAAACTCACCTTCCCCAGGTACGCCTTCTGGTCTCTTATGTTAGTTGGACCATATATGATCATTTATAAGGAATAAACATTATCGTTGCTCAGATAAGAAAGTGCTAACCTTTTCTGGCCTCTGCTGTGTCCATGGCAACAGGCCCTGGAGGCTTGGGTGGTTCGGTGCATTACGCCACTATGGCCCGTTCTGCTGTCAGACCTGCCAGCCTCAATCTCAACCGCTCCCGTAGCCTTAGCAACAGTAACCCAGACATCTCTGGCACGCCCACATCCCCAGACGATGAAGTGCGCTCCATTATCGGCAGTAAGGTAGGAACGCTTATGCTTGGCGCTGGCATTATGAGAAAGTTTTGTGTTTGCCTAAAGCTAGCCAGCTTGTTCAGCTAATGCTTTACATTGCATATGCAGTTTAGCGGTTTAAACATTTTATCAGGAGCTGTAAGCAAATGCACCCTAGTGTGTAATCTATTTTATAGCACACCCGATTTATATGTGCATCTGCTTAGATTGCCTACGTTTTCTCACATCAGCTTGTCAACAAAGTTCATGTTACAGTGATTTAGGTATTTCATTTGGGTGAAGCATATAGCCAATAGCTCATTCCAGTGACATTTCATAGCTTCCCCAGCAAACTTTATTAATAAGCATGTTTGGAATGCTGTGACTCCTCTTACATCAGTGGTGGTAATATATCTCTGCATTACAGAAGGCCCCATGTAGTGCTGTCTAAACTGGCAGCATTTCTCAGCACTGTTGCATTTCAACCCTATGGCTCACTGGTAGGGCAAACATCAGCTAGAACATCTTATCTGTGTAACCCCTGTAACATCAACCTACAGACAACAGGAAAACATTGACATCAACTGCAGTGCAGTAAATCGGATGCAGAGATCGACTTATTGCAATGCAGTGAAGCAGATACACAACTTTCACATATAGCAGTCTGTATGTAATCAGAATCTGTAATGGAAAACACGGTCGATTTTTTGTGGTCAGATAATGGATTGGCTGAAAATAATCTGTGCACTAGCAAAACCATTTGATTTGAATAGGCTTTTATTGCACATATGTTGGCCTAATGTTTATAAATGGAGACACATGATGCAATGAAAGCTCATTTTATTTTCTGTGATGTAGAATTGATATTTATCCACGTACTTGCCCTGTGTGATGTACTGTTGTTTACTAAATGCAGAGAACTACACCAGAAATATGAACGGTTTAAGAAGAAAGTTTTGTTTTGTAATTAGTTCATTACAATTAATAAAAAACAGTCTGAGTGTGACTTTTGAAATGTGTTTTAGGTGCAAACTTTTGACTTTGACATTTACCTAACTTGTTTTTAAATCAGTATTGCTGCCTTGTACCTTTTGTGATTGTGAATGCTCTGTTACATTGAATGAAACTGCTGAAAAATGTTTTCAATCCTTCCAAACTAAACTCTCAAATCCTGTTTAATGAAGTGAGCTGTAATTGCTAACAGTCTAACTTTTCTCTGAGTAAGCTCCATGTTGGGTGTTTGCAGTGATGACTAGTTTTGAACTAAATGACTTTTATCCCCTTTTGCTTACCCGTGGCATTGACCTGTAACTTTTGACTTGTCGCTGTTCCCCTTGCTTGCTTGCTCCTGCCCGTGACCTTGTGACCATGTGACCCCTTCGCTTCCCTCCCCCTTGGCTCGCAGGGCTTAGATCGCTCCAACTCCTGGGTGCACACCATGGGCTGCAAGAGCGCCCCCTGGGGGACCAGCCCTGGCTCAGCTTCTGATACTATGCAGGTCATTCAAAAATCCAACCCCATGGAAAGAAACAAAAAAACACCTTACACACCCGCCCAGCACCACTAAAGAATACAGTACCCACAATCCCTGTTTTTAGATCCCGTGTCCTCACTCAGCAACTCCTGCTCCCTGTATTCACAATGTCCATGCAGTCTGTGACTGTAGGTAAAGCCCAATTAGACTCTCAACCACTAGGCTGGTACAGACCATCCTGAATCTCATGAGCTTTCACTTTGTTGCACTCTATAGATTCAGTCTGGCATTCCTCCAGTTAGGCCATATGGGCTTAGAATGAATATTGATCTCAAGCTTGTTAGTCAGTAAGTCAGTACGCTCTCAGAAATGGTGGGTTAATCAACAAAGCCCTTTTTGTGTTATCAGTGTTTTAACACATTTTGTGTCAGGCCACAAAAATGACATACTGTACTGTCCAAAAGTCTTCTGAGAAAATGATTTGAAAATGATTTGTAAAATCATTCATCTGGAGAAATTAGCATTTATTTGTTCAAAGAAGCACTAACATTATAAAAATACAAATAAATATTGTGATATACTTTGTGATTTAATGTCTGTCAGTGTGTTAGATTAACCATTTCCAGACCTCTCCTTAATGAAGTCCAGTATTTACATCCAAGACCAATTTTATCTAATCATCCCATCAGTGAATAAATCAGTTGTGTAACTTGTAACTTTAAAAACTAAGAAGAATCCGGTTACATTTTTCTGTGCTTGTCTATTTGTATTTTTTCTAATGTTAAGCAGTATTTTTACCGGCAAAAATACACTTATTGTGAAGATAAATGGTTTTGAATGGTTTTCTTGGCTGCCTAAGACTTTTGCACGGTTCTATATCTCTTGACACAAACTGTGCAATTAGAATATATCTTTATGTTAAAATTACACCAGTTTGACACGCTACGTTTATAAAACAATTTTATAAACAAATGTTTTGATGATTTTCTAAGTGAGAATAAATTAACACATCCTCTACAGGGAACAAATTTGACTATGGGATTTTTCTATAAATTTCAAAGCACAATTTTTTATTATTTGCTGAATTTAACATATTGGCTAAAAAAAATAAAATTAATAAAATTGAAACATGGAACAAAGTTCTGTAACTTTTGTACATGCTACATTTTATAGTTTTTTCCAATATGTTAATTTAAAAAAAATAATAAAAAAGGTTGTGCAGAAGTGTGTTCTGAGTAAAGGATGTTATTTTCAATTCAACAACATAATTTGACCAGAGGAGTGCACACTTTTGCATATGACTGTGTAAGTAGTACAGACATTGCATATACTAGAGCCAGTGTCAGCTGAGATTGATGGCCTGTGGTGTTATCTGTTTCAGAAAAATATCTCTTAGTATGGCACTGTTTAGCTAAAACTGAGTACAAAGTAAAGATCTATATTGTACATATAAAATTACATCTGCCTATATTTTCAGTTGTCAAAATGTTTAGCTGCTTAAAATCAGTAATGGTATTAGCCACAAAATTATCAGTCGGCTTGTGTGTCGGAGTCTCTTCTGGACCATGCTAGTACCTCACGTAGCTCATCATAACACGCTGAACCGACCAAAAAGGAAAACGGCTGCCTAGGCCAGGCTAAATCCATGGAGCAAAGCAGAATGAAAGCTTTTGAGATTTACGCTACTCAACCACTATCTGCTACACTGAAAGGCTGTAGCAATCAGATGTGCTTCTGACGGTTCTCATGTTAAGCGCTATTCAAAGTGGTTTAGTTTTACCAGCAGAGGTTCTGTAATGTAATTTGTAATTGATTTGACTGGCTCATTCATAGAGGTGAAAGTTTGTTTCGTTTCCTTGAATTAGAACAGATAACCCAGTTTGAAAGGTCATAGCCTGGATGTTTAATGTTCGTGCCAGTTTTGTGCAATAGTCACCACTCTCAGTAACAACATGGTCATGTCTGCCTGGATTGGAACAGGATTGCTTTTACTGAGGGAGCTCTAGGTTCAAACAGTTACAGAAAGTTATTTACAACAGTTATTACTCAAATTTAGTAAAATCTGTAGACGTAGTACATTTATATTGGATTAAATAAATGGATCTCAACCACAGTCATTTGAATTACAGTACTTTTCTACGTAAAACTAACTGTAATCTAGACTGTTGAAAAAACTACAGTACCGGAAAGTCAGCCTAATATTAAAGCCCCAGGGAACCTAAATTAATGTTTTCTTTCTAGATGGATTGCTTTTGTGGGCACACAATATACACATGCATTGTATTTGCTGTGAATAACGGTCCAATCCTCAGCAAATTGGCCAATGTATTTTAATAGTTTGAGGTAAACTGGTTAGTCCTAATCTTGAGTCACATATACATAAACAGTATCCTCACCAATCACAAGGCTGATGTAATTTGTCTCGCCTACACAGCTCCAACAAAACTTGTGTTCCCCTGCAGTCTTTTTGTTTGAGTCAGAGGAACTTACTGCAAGAAAAATAACATTGAGCAAAAGCTAACGAAGTATGCCTAACTGAGCTATCAGGCAACCTTAGCTGTCTGTCATTCATCCATCAATCTGTCCTTTCATCCCTTCATTTGTTCAGCCAGCCATGCCTGCATTACGTGAGTGTGTATCAAACAGTAAACTGAATAAGAATCTTACCTTCTTTAAGACTTGCTGAATGCAGAAGTTTGGACACCCTGATCAAATTACATGTGTTTTTGAGTTGTAAGAAGTGCACATCCCTTACAGGGAATTCACTTCTGCACCTTTTAATGCACAATTACTGTTTATTTTCTAAATTGAACATATTGAGAAAAGAAAATCATTTATATATATATATATTCACTTTTCTTCATCATTTGAGCTCAGCAGCTGACCTTTACATTGTGTGAAGGTTTCAAGATGGTTGGACGAATACAAATGCTCCAGAATTGCTTAGAATAAAATCTCTTTCCATTAACTTACATTCAAAGTAAATGTTTTTGCCCTCTCCTGTAAAGTTACTATTTTGGAGATAATTGTTTTTCTTTGGACAGCGACGATACATAAAATGTGACCTGTGCAAAAATGTCATATTAGGTTTGTTTCCTGTAGAGGATGTGTAACTAAATTTCACTTAGAAAATGAATAGGACATGTGATTTGACCAGGGGTGTTCAAACTTTCGCAGGCAACTGTAAAAGCCAGATAATTGTTTTAGTAAGTCATAAACCCAGGGTCTTTAATGTATCCTGCATATCATCACTGTCCAAAGAAAAACATGTATCTCCAAAATAATAAATGTAAAGGGCAGCTGCTATGTTTCAAACAATGTAGAATAATAAAAACCAACAAAGAATATTCGGACCACGCCCACACAGTTCTCAGATATTCAATTTTGGTATCATACAACCATTTGTGATGTTTTACACTGTGTTCCCTGGGACTTTAAATAGGTTCTACTAGAGACATGTAGGTCAGTTAAGTTTAAAAGAAATTTGATATGAGTGTGAGGAAGCACAGTAAATGGCCACTCTTCCTTATGTTGAAGGAGGCAAGATGCTGTCCCCATTGTGAATTAGTGTTTTTGTTTTCCTATCATTTTGATTTACCCTACTTCTAACACTAAAAGTGGTTGAGAGGTTAAATCATTTCCCTGCCATCCATCCATAAGTTTTCCATTCTACTTTCATTCCTTCTTTTTTTTTTCTTCTGCTAAACCCTCATATTTTCTCCTCTCCATTGCCTTTATCACACTATGAGCACTGCATGGCCACCAAATGACTAAACCCACTCTCACTCACTCACTATGGCATGTTGTGAGATGCTGCATGTGAATGTGTATGTATGAGAAAGATGGAGAGAATTTTTTCTGTATGTATGTATGTTTTTATTTGTGTCTGTCTGTCTTATGGAAATGATTGATTATTTCAGTTCATATGGCTACTTATGGGAGTAACTTTTTTGCCTCCCTCAAAGAGATGAATGTATTCCTGAGCTTTCCGACTAGCATTCCGAATTTTTCTTAAATAAGTAAATAAATAAACAACCGATGCGTACATTCAAAGCATTCCATTCCACATAGTTTAAACCTTTTTTTCCTTTTTTATACTGTTTTTTTTTAATACTATCAGTATCCTAACCAGTTTGTAACTTTGTGGGATGGAGGGTGTCTGTGTACACAGTGCTGTGCAAAAATCAGAGACCACCCTTCATTCATTTATTTTCCAGTCAGTTTGGCCATTAAGTACATGTTATTCATTTATCTGGAGATATAAGATCCTTAGGTAAACAGTAATTAAAGCTTTCATATTTGAGAGACAGGAGAAAATCAATTTCCACTCTTGCTTCAGATCTGAAAAAATCCACAGGTGTTTCTGTCCATCCTTCCACTGTGAGAAGACAGCTCAGCACTATGAGACTGAAAGAATGTGTAGCTGTTAAGAAGGCCTTACTGAGAAAAAGAAATAGACAAACAAGAAGAAAATTTGCACTAGAGCAACGAATCTGAGATGTTGAGTAAGGTTTTTTTGACTGATGAGTCTAAATTTGTTTTTAGTATTACTTTGATAGTGAGAAGCACTAAGAACTAAAAATAACACTGCATATTTCTTTGAAAACCGAAAGCAGGCCTCCAAAAATAATGGCCTATTGTAGGCACAATAAATACAGAAATTGTTGATGTAATTTAATTGTTGAGGTTGCTTGATGTTTTTTTGCTTTTTTCCTTAAGCTGAAAATAACCAAACTTGTACTTAATGGCTGGTTTGAATGGAAATGAATGAAATAAAAAGTGCTGTCTGACCTTTGCACAGTGCTGTGCTGTGCTGTTATAGTTTGTGCTGTCTTTTACTGTGTTATGTTCTGTCTTTAGGGTGTGTGTGTGTATGTATGTGTGTAGTTGTGTCTATCTGAGTAGCAGATGGCACCACACACTCCTGTCCTTCACACTAATCTGTTGTCACCCTTCCATTCATCCCCACCCATAGGCCATGGAGCGCAGTGGCAATCGCATGTCATCGCACACTGAGAGCGCCAGTTTCTTGCAAACTTTAACAGGACGCTTGCCGACCAAAAAGGTAGAGACCCAACACCGTGGAGGGGAGGAGCCCACCCCCTCCTCGCCTCGCCCTGCACCTGTCTTGTCTGTGGATGTGTGCTTCTTGGTTTAATGGTGTTTGGTGTGGTGGTTGTGGTCTTGTTGGATGCTGATTACGTGTTCCATCTTTGTCGTGAATGCAAACCGGTGATTGTGTGATGGAGGAAATATGTAACATATGCTGTTTGGAGCACCTACTCGATCTAGCCGTGCCTGTTGGGTTATATCGATATTTGATGTTTGATCTTTGTGTTGATGAACCCCCCTAAACACCACCACCTCCCTCATCCTGTTTAATCCAGGGCTCCACTCTTACAGCAGCCAAAGGGATTCTGTGTCAGAGGACTATTTCTTTTCCTGTAGTAGTGTTAAGATACAGTGCTGTATTTGTTTATATGGTAGCTGTGGATGATTATTGATCCGATGGTCTGATGGTGTTCCTCAGCTCTTCCATGAGGAGCTAGCTCTGCAGTGGGTGGTGAGCAGTGGTAGTGTGAGGGAAGGAGCCCTTCAGCAGGCCTGGTTCTTCTTTGAGCTAATGGTAAGTATGATCAAGGACCAATAATGAACAATTTGCCTTTATAACAGGATGTTTCTTAAAACAATAGCTGGTTAAATTTACACTGTTTTTCCCTTATCATGGTCATCCAAGATATGTTTGGTGTCTGAGGTCTGCTCATTTAGTTTGTACTGGAGCTATAAGGCTAATGTAGCTAACAATCAATAGAAGCTCTACCAATTAGCATCAGGCAAAGTGCATACCTAAATCATGACACATTCGCCTCTTACAATTAATGTTAAGTAATGGCAAATTGACTTATGTGGTTTTCAGCTCTGTAGTGTATACTCTCTATAAAATTCGTCAATAGTACAGACAAAATTTGTTTTTTCCATGTTTGTATATAACAGTGTGTTATACACTGTCAGAAACGAGTCTAAAGTCATAATTTCCATTACAGTAAGTTTGCTTGTTAGCTACATTAATCTCATTGCTTGTTAGCTACAATAGCTACATTACATTGCACTTAGCTAACAAGCTAACTGTAATGTAATGTTGATCTAAAGAATCATAATTTTAAGAGGCATTCTGGCCTAAAACTTGCGTTTCATCCATTATTTGTTGTGTTATTTCAGTGTTCTATAGCACAGCATTATATCCTTAAACCTCAGTTTGACAGAATTTACCATTTTATTTTATTTTGTTTTCATTCATCATTTGTCTGACTACTACAATACCCAGCATGCACTACACAAGTACATCTTCCAACCTTTAGAAATCCCTGTGCTGTCAACCAATCTTAACTGCTAGCCTAACCACTGATTTACAGGCTAATAAATACATGCACAATAATAAATGCAGCCAGGCTAACATTAGTGTAACTCATACCCCAGTCACTGAGCTAAATTATAAAGAAAACAGTGATTCTGTCTGTTTAGGCAGAGAAGAAGCCTAAGATATCTAGATAGCCAGGTGGGTTTCATTGCTAACTGTAGCTTTTCACTTGTTGTCCTCCCACGCTGATGAGTCAGTTCTGTCATTTGACAAGCCATTTCGGTCACTTGAGTAATCCATTCTCTCCATTGTAGTGGTGATTTGAAGACAGTTTCACTAGTTGTACTGCTACAATAAGATTGGCTTCTTAGCGGTAACAGTAGCCGAATACTTTCCTCCTTCTTTCAAAAACTACTACTACTACTACTACTACTAATAATATAATAATAATAATACATTTTAAAATAGTCCACCCCAAAAATCCACCTCAGAACAGCTGAAGTTTTACAAAGGTTCCTCCCTCCTTCAAAATATGTCATTAAAGGTGGAGATTTTTATTTTTTTTTTAAACTTAAATCTCATCTAGAGACTACTGCAGCACCGCTGTAGATTTAGAGTAGATATGTTACAGCTGAAGCAAAGAAGCTATGGTTATCCATTTAAATTATAAAGGATGTATTTCATGTAGCTAACTCTCGTCATATCCTGTAGGACTTAGGGTACATGTCTAATGTTACAGGCAGAGCAGTGTGCATAGTAGGGTGCTTCTCTCCTTGTTGCAGAATCACTTCTTGTCTGCTTAAAACTATGGTATATTGTAATGTCATGACTCTCTTGATTTCAGGTTAAGAGCATAATCCACCACTTATACTTCACTGACCGCCTGGAGTCTCCCAGGAAGAACCGCTTCCCTGAGCGCTTCATGGACGACATCACTGCTCTGGTTAGCACCATTGCTGGTGATATTGTCTCACGCTTCCAGAAGGTAAGATAGCATTAGCAGTCAGATATTATAAACTTATAGCCTTTGAAGTTTTGATAAATACTGTTCATTTTTATATCTGAAAATCATCTGCTTTGCTATGTTTAAAAAGCAAAGCTTGTACAGATAAAAATCATACTTTATAAGATTTATTGAAAATTGGCTCATTTTGAATGTGGATTGTGTTTGACATGCCATCTATTCATTGTTCCATTTAGGATCTGGAGTTGGTGGAGAGGCTTAATGCAAGCCTGGCCTTCTTCCTTAATGACCTACTGTCTGTCATGGACAGAGGTTTCGTTTTCAGTCTCATCAAGACGTACTGGAAACAGGTACGTCGAAATTCAGCTTGACAGTGTGCCCATTTCTAATTCTAATTCAGAGCTTTTTTGTGTATTTAGCAATGAAAATTTGACATTGGCTTTTTCTGCTCTAGCTAGTTAATGTTTGAACTCAGGTGAACATAAATGTCCACGTTTTACAACTAGAATTGCGTTCTTCTCTTTCCTCCAGGTGTCCACCAAGCTGTATGCCCTGCAGAACCCCACTCTGGAGTCTCTGAGACTGGACTTCCTGAGGATTGTCTGTAGCCATGAGCACTACGTCACCCTAAATCTGCCCTGCAGTCTGCTCACTCCCCCTGCTTCCCCCTCTCCCTCTGTGTCCTCTGCCACGTCACAGGTAAAACTCTCACAACGATTTGATTTGAATTATGATTCTTTTGGATATTGAAATTCTTTTTTCTTTCTTTTTTCACATCGACCAATTAAAACCCCAGTATAACCACTACTGTGAGTCTTTCGCTATGCCAAAAACACTCTCTGAGCCAACACCAATCTCTTGAACAACGAGCTACAGTACAGAATTTATGCACTTTATCACTGTGTGAGTCCTGCTTTAGCAGTGATGCTGTCAGTATGTTGGGGATAAGTTTAAGGAGGACTTTTATGTGGATTTAAGAATTGGAAGAACACAGCCTGTTAGTCAAAACACACCATAAAGCATTAGATAAAGTTATTAACAAATACCAAGTTATCCAGCTCTGAATGTGGCACAAACATCAACCAGCTCATTGACAATAAAGCCCTGAATTTTTCTGTTCTTTTATTTTTAATTTGCAAGCAGTGTCTCCTACTGCATTTTTTCTACTTAGCAAAGACCTCAGTATTTTTTTTTTCATAGCTTATATCACCTACTCACAGAAGTGTGATTCCGCCCACCCACAAAATTGTCATGCCCATTCCGTACAGCAGTCCTGACACTGCTGCAATACATACATTGTCATCATGTGTACTGACCAAAATGATAATGATTTTAATAAAATATGCAACTCCTGACTTTCACTTCCTTACTTTTTCTTCTCTCTTCCTCTTCCCAGAGCTCTGGGTTCTCCACCCATGTGCAGGACCAGAAGATTGCAAACATGTTTGAGTTATCGGTTCCCTTCAGAGAGCAGCACTACCTGGCTGGTTTGGTTCTGACTGAACTTGCCGTTATTCTGGACCCAGAAGCTGATGGGTTAGTGCACTGGTGTGTGTCATGTCTCATTTCATTTCATCTCACCTTCATTTTTCACACTCTGTCTTGTCTGATATCCATCATCATATTAGACATGCTAAATATGTTTGACTTTAGCAGAAAAAAACCACACTTTACAGAGCAGTGTCATGAAATCCACCCAAAGTCAGCTTCTGACACTAATCGTGTGTTTTTAGTTATGCCTCCTGTTCTCCAGCTACGACGGAGTTATAGCATCACAGTGGAAATAATTGCACTAAGCATCATGCTAGCTGGTGGCTATCTATGTTAACTATGTCTTTACAGCATTCCCTTAATCTCACTCTGTCTGTGTGTAGGATGTTTGGCCTGCATAAGAAGGTGATCAGTGTGGTCCATAACCTGCTGTCCAGCCATGATTCTGACCCCCGCTATGCTGACCCTGAGGTCAAAGCCAGAGTTGCCATGCTATACCTGCCTCTCATTGGCATTGTCATGGAAACCTTGCCCCAGCTCCATGACTTCACAGGTATGTGCAAAAGTCTTTGGAGCTCAGTGGTGCAGATCAATACAACTTATGTCAGCATAACAATTACAGCAAGTAGATTGCGTTTGAGATTTTTCTATTTATACTATATATATATATATATATATATATATATATATATGTGTGTATATGTGTGTGTGTGTGTGTGTGTGTGTGTGTGTGTGTGTGTGTGTGAGAGAGAGAGAGAGAGAGAGAGAAAAGGACTGGTGAAAAGGAAGGTTCAATTCAAGACGTATCTGCTCAACTCACTATGACTTTATTCATACAGAAGTGCAAATCAGATTTGTTTTTTAAATCTGATTTTAGACTACATGCCCACATTGCAAGCCAGAAGTGATGAAATCTGCTTTATATCATCAGACACTCACATGCCATGTTTGGTTGTCATACTAGTATAGAAGCAGGTGTGAGGATGCAGACTACAGCAAAGCAGGGAATAGTTTTCTCGTTACGCATTCTGACATCTAGATGCCAGACACCAAATGGCCAAAACAAAAACCACAACAAAACATGTGATATGCAGTCTAAGTGGTAGAAGTGAGTTGCATGTCCAGATTTCCATTTTGAATTTGAATTTGTTTTGAAACCATTCACAAGTGGCTTGAAAAGGTTGTTTCATTTGGTTCTTTGCCATTCAGAAAATCTTTCCTGTTAAAATTAGATATGTCAAAAAATCAGATTTAAGCTGCCTGTTTATCCAAAGGCTAATTTTCCAGATTGCTGTAACTTTCAGTAGAACAAACAACAGAATGTTGAGCTAAAGTTAGACAAAGATGCTGCATTCCTTCACAGCAAGAAATGTGCTGGATCCTTGTTGATGTGGTTTGGTCTTGACCGCTCTTACAGAATCACATAACCAGTGGGGCCGTCCTGGTGGGCCTGGAACAGATGAACAGGAAACCGAGGGCAACAGCATGATCAGTCAGACTGTAGCCATGGCAATAGCAGGGACCTCTGTCCCACAGATGTCACGGCCCAGCAGTTTCTTGCTCAACCCGCAGGTAAAGCAACCTAGCCTGCCAGAACGGAGTGGCATAAGACACAACCTTTCTTAATTTCTTGGATTTCTTTTCTTTGCACTGTTTTAATTCCAGTGTTTCTAAACTTGGTGTTTGGCAATGTTCTAATATCTAAATTGGTGCTATAACACCTTTAGGTGGCAGCTGTGAGTAATGTTTGTTTATTTGAGCTCTGTCATTAGTTGGGAGCTACTAAGTGTAAACGGCTAGGGAGCAACAGTTAATCAGTCAATCTGGCCACTTTAGGAGTGTACATTGATAGTTGCAGATAATGAATAAAAAATAACAATTAGGTCGTTACTTTGTTAATTTTCTAATTTTTTCAGCTCATACAACTTATGTGATAGGGCCACTGTACAGAAAAGACTCTGGGAAACATACAGTGCAGACAATAGTAAATTTATTCTACCTTTGCCTAATAGACTGATGCCTTCAATCTTGGTCAATAAGAGTAAAAGAGAATGAAACAGCATTGGGTTACTTTTCAATCATTGCTGATATCAGCCAACCTTAGATTCTGCACATAATCAGAATCAGAAGTAATTTGGTCAGCTTTCAAAGTATTTCCAAAAATGTAGGTTGGAAAGAAAATGAACATTCTCTATCACTCTCTTTATCCTCTTTCTCGAACTCTCTCGCCCTCTCTCTTCATCTTAGGCCACCCGTCAGCATGGAACTTTCTCTCCTGAGTCCAGTCGCAGTCTGCTCATCTGTCTGCTGTGGGTTCTGAAGAACGCTGATGAGATGGTACTGCAGAAGTGGTTCACTGACCTTTCTGTATCTCAGCTGAACCGCCTGCTGGACATGCTTTACCTCTGCGTCTCCTGCTTTGAGTACAAGGTGATCCCCCTTTGCACTCTCCTACACTTTTTTGGTAGACCGAATCATGAAGTCATTTAAGCAACAATATTTGCTGTTAAGAAAACATTTTCCCCAGTGCATTTTTTTTAATCAATTGATCAAGCAGTTAAATTAACCAGTTAAGTTAATGCATGTGTGTTCTTTTTTCTTATCCATCCATCTCATGAAAAAGGCCCATTTTTTGTTCATGCAGGGAAAGAAAGCATTTGAGCGCATGAACAGTTTAACTTTCAAGAAGTCTAAAGACATGAAGGCCAAGCTGGAGGAGGCCATCCTGGGCAGTATTGGAGCCAGGCAGGAGATGGTACGACGCAGCCGAGGACAGCTAGGTTCGTGCTGGGGTTACATTTTTCTGAATTTATAACTAAGATGTAACGTCTAATTTGATGTTTTTGTGATGGAGCTGTTCTGTTTCTCTTTTAGAACGCAGTCCATCTGGCAGTGCCTTTGGCAGTCAGGAAAACCTGCGCTGGCGGAAGGATATGACACACTGGCGTCAGAACAGTGAAAAGATGGACAAGTATGACTACTCATGTTGTGCTATCATCTATTTTATTTTCAAGCTACAAATTACAGCCTGGTCTTTTAAAATTGCATGTACAGTCATTTCTCATTAGTACAATGTAATGTACACTTTCAGAAAGCATATAACTGCCTTAAATATAAATGAAATCCTGACTTCTCAGTTCAGGGCGAGTGCTGAAGCTTGAGGACTGTGGGAACTGTGGTCTGGCTCATGGATTTTGCTTGTTTTGTGCAATGTGTCTGTACTATTTTGCACAATTTCATCTCATATGTTCATCCATTCTTTCACTGAATCATCTCTTACAATCTAGGCCTGTCACAATTATGAAAGCTTAGCTCATGATTAATTGCGGTGTACATAATTACGATCAACAATTTTTCATTGTTTATTGCAGGCAACTGTTAAGGTACATGCATAAAACAGCCAAATTTTTCCTTGCTTCCCAGCTGTTGTTACTTAGTAGCTCCTAGTCTCACAAGACCAGATGTGATCTCTAAATGAGAGTATATATCTGGGCAGAACTGGTTAAACTTTCAGTGCTGGATTACAGCAAACTCTACCACTAACAAGGGTACATGACCTCTAAAGCCCACCTTAAATTTCTCTCGGCTGTGCTCTTTATTGTCCCGAGTACAATCAACAACATAAAGTAAAACAACTGTCCAGTGAAACACTGTCATCACAATAGATAATTTATTTTGCCGCACGTAACGTTCTCCACGCACAATACACATCTACACGCTTAGATTTGTGGGGAGAGTTTTCAGTCATGCTATCTTACATTACATCCGTTGGCTAACAACTTGAGTACCATCGATCCTTACTGTGAGCACCAACTTCATGAGGCGTTGGATTGGTTTAAAAAATTCCCTTCCAATTTGTTCCCGCTCCAGTAAGTCTAGCCCAAAACTTTTCATGGTTGTCCCCAGAGATTTACATCTGATTCCGATGAAGATGAAGCTGCTCACAACTGATTACACACACAGTTTGAGCCCGAGTAAACAAACAATACTCACTCTGAAAGTGTTAGGAGATAGAGTCTTTGTTTTTTGTAAGACCCATGACGAAGCTCAGATGTGTTTTCTGTTTTCTTTTATTTACATTTATTTGCCTCAAACCAGTGGATAAAACTTCAGTTCCTATTCTGTTTATTGTGATGTGTGATTTTGTAAGCTGACAAATGTGGAAAATAATTTCAGTCAACACTAATTATTGCTGTCAGCTGGAATAACTGATCAGATGACAATTGTGACAGGCCTATTTATATCTCTTCAGTTAATGTGTCTAATGTTCTTGGCATAATTGAATTCCCACATATGTATCCGTTCACTTATTTATCTCTGACCTTTGCCTCTTCAGTTCAAACAATGACACATTATACATTAAGCCTTTGGTGTGAAATAACTCCTCCATTTGACCTTGTTCTTCCATGTACTGTGTTTAGGGGCCAGAGATCAGTCAGGTATTGTACATCTGAAGTGTGCTACGCTTTCAAACGACCCCCCTCTGCTACCCCTCAAGTTTAAAGATTGTTTTCTTCCTCCCCTCCCTCCCCTGCTTTTCTTTACTGGTGCTTGGGGTGGTGTAGTTTCAGTTAGACTGCTGTGTCTGTTTAACTGGTATTAATAGCTTGAGTGTGCTCAGGGACTGGTGTGCCTTTATCTGCTCGCGATAGAAAAAGGGTGGCTGCTTGGGTGGCGAGATTCAATCTTTTTGTCATTGTAACAAGCAAAAATGGAAATCTAGGCCTTGTTTTTAAAGTGAAATGGTTCTACTAAACGGAAACCGTATAACATTTCTTAATGACTTGATTTCCTGTAGTTTACCTGATGTTCTATGCGAAACATCCCTTCACACACGTTTAATGAATTCTTAGTGTAAAACCTACTATAATTCCTTCAGCAGTGCAGCTGTATAGCTGACACTGCTAGTGACAAGGATTTAGGATTAAACGAGAAGTTTATGAACTTCAAGTGCCAGAATATAAATCTGCTTATCCTCTTATGCATGTGTTGATTTTCTCTCTGGTTCACACCTCATAAGAGTACACATCGTAGGGAGTTAGTTTTAGTAGTACTATACTGGATTAAAAGGAACATTCACACATCTGTTAAGTACTGTGATGATAAATATGATTTCTATTTCACCTTTAGTAACTTTGCCCTGGCATAGACTGATTGTTAGTACTAAAACACCATTGAATACATAGGAAAGTTAAATCCAATCCAAAGTGTATTTGTGTATTTGTTTTTGTTTCTGTGAATTATTAGTACATTTATTTGCATATTGTATTATTTTTACAACTGCCCTTGTCACAAAGCAGCTTTACATAAATCCAGGGCAAAATAGTTGTACAAAACAGCATGTGATTCTTGATGCCCTTGTGTTGTGTTGACTGCCAGTTGTGTTGATTGCTGGGTTGTTTTTTCTGAAAACCGCTAGGTGTGATGTAACAGGAAGTAAGGAAACACTGTGCCATCATGTTACAGCCTTTTGACAGCTAGGAATAGGTGATCACTTTACGTTAATGGAGATGGTACAGCAGATAGAAACATTGCAGGGAGATGTGATGTGTCCCTCAGAAAAGGAAGTTCTTATCTCTGCTCTCAAAGGGGATTTGGTGCACAAGCTTGCATGGCGTGTAACAAATTAAGCCCCTGTTCATTTTCCATAGAAGCTAATCTAATATTGTTCTTAAATGACTTTGGAGTATTTAGATAGATCAGCAAACCAACCCAACAGTGCTGGTCTGAGTGATAATTCTCATCTCCCGCAGCTTGTTGGGACATGCACAAAAGAACCTGTGATGCTGGTTTTGGTGAGGTTAAAAGTGTGCAGCACACAGTGTTCAGCAAGTCAGATGTTGTAGCTGCTTTGCAAACTTTAAAGCTTTAATTATCACATGACCTCCATTAACGGAGATTCCTTTCTGGATGACTGGGTGTTAGACAGGATGAAGATTGTGTGTGAGAGAGAGTGAGGCTGTGTCTGAAACTGTGGGCAGCTGCCTTGCTGAACATGTCATATCATAAGTCATTTCAGTAGAAGGCAGTGTTGTGATAAAGGTACATGTAACCAAATTGTGTCTAGAACATGCTTTAAAGGCAGCAGTACATCACAGAGTTGCCGAGACACCAGCAGCTCATTGCTATATGCTGGTGTTTAGCTGTGCTAGCATTTTTGATTTTTTTAAGCATTATAAAAATGCTTCTTCAAAGCTTCATTAGTAAAGGCAATGGTTCTATTAAGAACTGTGAATTTTACACTGTTAAAAAAAAAGGTGGTTCTTCTAGGGTTTTTTAGTAAAGGCACTGTCTTCATAGAACATTTGCATGGTCAAGTGGTTCTTTGCATGGTGAAATCGTTCTTCAGATTGATGGAGAATGTGTTGAGTATATGGCTCTATATAGAACCTTTTTAAAAAGTGTTTTATATAGCACCAAAAAGGTTCTTGTATTGTTACTATGTCCCTTTATGGTGCTATGTAGAACCATTTTCAAAAAGGTTCTATATAGAACCATATACTACACATTCTCTATCAGCCAGAAGAAACATTTCACCATGCAAAGAACCATTTAAGCATGCTATGATTCTGTATAGAACTCTATGTAGATAGAACCTTGGCCTTTACTAAAGAACGCTTGAAGAACCATCTTTGTTTAAGTGTGTAGGGTACTGCAGTTTTTACAGTAGAAATGTGGTATTTTACATAAATTTAACATTCCCATCACTCAAAAAACCCAATGTTTCACTGGCTTTATTGGCTAGACTACCTGAACACTAGCTTACCTTGAACGTTGTCTTGCATTAGCGAAATCACTAGCAGACACTTGCAGCAGAACATAAGCAGACATGATAAAGAGCTGCCATGCTCGTTGTTGTAAAACGAGGAAATAAAAGAAAATACTGAAAAAGCACAGTAGTTGCTTAGATAAAATAAGTTAGTGGTTGGTGTTGTGTGGTGGGTAATACCATTGCTCTCCATGCAGCAGACTGGGTTTTGATGCTGGACAAGCACACCATGCTGCATCAAGAAGAGCCCTTGGGCAAGACTCCTAACGCTACATTAGCCCACCTCTGTAACATGATTAAATTATAAGTCATTCTGGATAAGAGCATCTTCCAAAATCATAAATATAAGATTCATTTAGCCAAACAGCTGAAGCCACATTTTTACCCTGCAATAGTTATTCAAATTAAAATTAGTTGAGTTGAATCATTTTTTATTAGAAATAAAATGTAAAAGTAAAATGACTGATGTAATAAAAAAAAAATCTCCCTGATTATAACCATAATGAAAACTGCAACTTGAACAGCTACTGCAAGTTACATGTAATATATAACAGCAAAACGCATGTACACTTTTTTTTAAAATACCTTTTATTTTTACAAAAATACCTTTACAAAAATGAAAACTTTAAGATCTAAAATAACTTAAAGCTGGCAGCATTTTATGCAGGCAATTTATTGAGACATGACTGGTGCTTTCCTGCCTCAGAATATTATCTGAGTGGGCAGTGTTTATGTTTCAGACACAGCCTGAGTGTGTACCCTAGTCGCTAACCCTTCTGTTCCATATGTACCCACCAAATACCCGCAGCCAGTACTGCTCTAGCTCCTGGAGGCCTTATGTCTACTTAATATATTCTTTTAGTCTGTTTACCAACAAGCTCTGTCCTGGTGTGTGAAGAATGTAAGACACTATTTTCAAGCCTGTTGTGAAATATGTGACCAAACTGTATTTTAGGCCCAGTATTGTTGATATGCGGCCATGAATTACAGTCAGTGTAGTGTACCTGCATCACTAACTTTTAGACAAAGCCATTGTTAACTGCCATAAGTCCAAAGAAAGCCTCCATTCACAGTGTGCCTCCATGTGCATAGCTGTGCACTTTTCATTCAAGCTGTGCTTCATGATGCAGTCGCATAAAGAATTTTTCCCAGTGTCCTTTTAACCGTGGCCTGCCCATGTCTGCTTTTTAACAATGGTCCCTCTGCTGGAGATGTGTGGTTGGGTGCTGGCTCCCCCCCTCTTTCTGTGCGCTTTGGATATGGGTTCCTGATGCAGCTCTTATGGTATTGAAATATGTGTGTGGCCTCTTTTGATTAAGCGGTGTGCTGTGCAGGTTTAAGGAAACCCTACCGCGCAATGGGAGAAGCCAGGATCCCTTATTAGTTAGGTTTGTAGACTCAATAGATTAATGTATACATCAGTTCCTTATAAACCCTGTCACCCCCTCAAGCCCACTGTACATCAACTGGATTAGAAGGCATACATAAAGCCAGGACAGATTTTGATGTGATTATGCTGTGTGCTTATGAAATTTTAAGGGATAAATTGGTCAAAAAAGCAAATTTTTTTCCCATAGCATCACTTTAATTAGTACAGTGGGCTTTAATCTCGTTGGATCTGTACGCAGAGGGTGCACCCCCATGTGTACACTGACTTGAATGCTTGTGCAGAGAATGCTGTAGCATTCAAGGGAGCCCTTCACTTTTCCACAAACGGCACAAAGCAATTCTGAAAAATCTTTTTCACTTTGGCAGAACCAGAGCTGAGCTGGAGCATGAGGCGCTTATAGATGGCAATCTGGCAACCGAGGCAAACCTGATCATCTTAGACACTCTGGAAATCATAGTGCAGGTAAACGTTTATTTGATCTTCATTAAAACACTGTTAAGGCATTATTATGGAAGATTTTGGTGAGCAGTCATGGTTGTTTTCATGTAACTCCTTCATAGACTGTGTCTGTGACTGAGTCGAAAGAGAGCATTCTGGGAGGGGTCCTCAAGGTCCTGCTTCACAGTATGGCGTGCAACCAGAGCGCCCTCTATCTGCAGCACTGCTTTGCAACACAGAGAGCCCTGGTCTCGAAGGTGAGAACAAATCTGTGGCTCACTTCACCGTAAGAATGTAAAAGTGCACAGATGCAAAATGATGTGTAAATCTGAAATTGGTGATTCAGCTGCTTAGATTGTGGATGTCCGTATGAAATGTATTTGATGATAGTAGCATTTAATGAAGTTTTTTCCAGATGTAAAATTGCAAATGAAAGGAAATTATTCTAAATTCTAAATTATTCAAAATTATTCTGAATTGTCCAAAAATAATCAAATGTATATATTCATGATGCATTGAGTCATTTCTTGAACAATTGTAATCAAGTCAGAGATCTACACAGCTACAGCACAGTCTCTTGTTTTGTTTAGGCGCTTTATTTCAGAATGAATTGAACAAGAGAGACTTTTGAATGTGTGTTAGTGTTGCTATGGTATTATTTGTGTGTACTTTGTCTGTAGTTCCCAGAGCTGCTGTTTGAGGAGGAAACGGAGCAGTGTGCTGATCTGTGTCTGCGTCTGCTGAGGAATTGCAGTAGTAGCATCAGCACCATCAGAGCACACGCCAGCGCCTCCCTTTACCTGCTGATGAGACAGAACTTTGAGATTGGCAATGTGAGTGTAATTAGAGGTCTGCACATCTGTAATAGACTACAAACAGTAATTATTTTTCCAGTACATTTTTGTGGTCTTGCCGATCATTCCCGGCAGAGAACTGCATCCACTCTTTTCTGATCGATTGTTAGCCCTGCTGTGCTGAAGTTCTGTAATACTGTAGAAATGCTTAGCACACTTCACGTGAGGTAACAAGGAAAGAGAAGGATCTGCTGTTATCTTTCTGCCAGCCCAACACATCATCTCATCATCCATGGTGTAACTGCATCTGATGTACTTTCAAACTTCGTTCTAAAATGCATCATAAACCGCTTTTTGGAAGTGGCCTTTGCACATAAAAGAAATATCAATGCAATGTTATGAGTAATACCAGAAATGTTATAAAGGAAGAGACTGGTCACTTGTTGAAATATGAATGGGAATGCTTGTTACGCTCAACATGACATCTGTTTATGGAGAAAGTCCCGCCCTTCAAAAAAAGAGTCAATTAGCTTGTTGTTTATGCCCCGAGTCCCCCAGCCCACCCCCATTGTGGAGATCTTTGCAAGTGCAGCAGACAGAACAAGCTGAAAAAACACATTTTTTGTGTTGTTGGGCCACACACTAGAAACTATTTATGAATTTGTTGTCAGAGTTTCAGTTTTGTCAGACTCATTTTGAAATGGTAATTTGGCCTTCAGTTTTAAGTATTTTGGTCTTGCTGTTCAAAGAGATAGGAGTCTGGCTTTACATGGCTGAAAATAACTGCCTGGCGACATTGCAAAGATAGCTGCTGACTGAACAGACGTTCCTTTAAGGACTTTGGTGATACCACTTTTATCAGAGAAATAATATGTTTTCCATTACGTGTCAGCTGTTATTCTTTTTAAAAACACTTCATATCCAAAATTGTCACAAAGAGATATACAGCATTTTGGAATGAAACTATTCACTTCTTTTCTGGTTTCATTCGGGGGCACATTTAACCACTCCTTAAACTCTGCAGCTGTTCTGGATGTAGCTATAGACTGCAATGTAACTAGTGAGCAAAAGAGAGACTGCACAGCGCACAAAGGAGAAAATGCGTGAGAGTATGTGAAATTTATGTAGGTCCAGTCCTTGGAATAAAAGCAGCATTATAACATAAAAACTCTCATTAGAAACCCATACCCAACTCCAACCTGATGTTGCACTTCGGCCCGAAATCCGATATTATGTTGGGCCCAGTCTGGCTCAGCTCAGATAGCAGACCTCTTAACGCAGTGAATTTTGTACTGCAATCCAGTGGAAACACTTAAGTGCTTACTTCAGCAACGGCTGAACCACATATTTTTAAATTCAGATACTGAATTAAACAGAAAAATTCTGCCTTAGGCTGAGTGAATACGAGGCTTTTCTTTGCACAGATTGATATTTTTTGTGCTCTGCTCATACAGAACTTCGCCCGAGTAAAGATGCAGGTGACCATGTCCCTGTCCTCTCTGGTGGGCACGTCTCAGAACTTTAACGAAGAGTTCCTGCGAAGGTCTCTCAAAACCATCCTCACTTATGCAGAGGAGGACCTGGAGCTCCGAGAGACCACCTTCCCTGACCAGGTCAGTCTGAGACTTCTGTCCCCTGGGATCTGGGACATTTAGGAGACCACTTTTCAAATCTATTCTAATTGTTATTGTCATTATTATAAATTGATCTATTTGTTTTTGTGTTTCAGGTTCAGGACCTGGTGTTTAATCTACACATGATTCTGTCAGACACAGTAAAGATGAAAGAGCATCAAGAAGATCCAGAGATGCTAATTGATCTCATGTACAGGTACAAATTACTGGCTTTTCTTAATGCTCCGGGGTAAATTCCTCGGTGTTACTTTTCAGGCACAGAATTTGATATAGGAGCATAGAACCGGATTTGTCATGAGACAAATGAAAGTATGTATCTCTTCAACTATGGATACATATCTTAAGTCAGCTGTCTCTTTGGAATAAAAGGATTGCTAAGGGCTATCAGACATCTCCAGACCTGCGGCTGACGTGGCTGCAGAACATGGCGGGGAAGCACTCAGAGAGGAATAATCATGCTGAGGCAGCTCAGTGCCTGGTCCACAGCGCCGCCCTGGTGGCTGAGTATCTCAGCATGCTAGAGGACCGGAAGTATCTGCCTGTGGGATGTGTCACCTTCCAGGTACTCAATCCAGCCACCACATCTGCCATTACATCTGCTAGTTTTCTTTAAACAAATTGTTTTATTGTCACATTTTCCTCTCGTCTGCCTCAGAACATCTCTTCTAATGTGCTGGAGGAGTCAGCGGTGTCGGATGATGTGGTTTCACCAGATGAAGAGGGAATCTGTTCGGGGAAGTACTTCACCGAGGCTGGTCTGGTGGGGCTGCTGGAGCAGGCTGCAGCCTCCTTCTCTATGGTGAGAAAAGCGCATGTGCACCTCTTAGACAGTGTTATTCACTAATAACATAGATGAACATTTTACCGTTGTTGCTATTGTAGTATCTATAATTTTAAATTTAATTGTATTTCAAGTCATATTTAATTACTATGAATATAAAATGAAAGAAACAGAAGGTCTGTTGTGTGCATCTGGCAGTTTTCTTTGATCATTCAGTTACACTAAATAGTGTAAAGAGCTGATTAGAGGTCACCATTTAGCTTAGTGTGAGGCACATTATCTGACATTTGTGTCCTGACATTCTCTGTGGTTTCTTATTGCACACTTTAAGATTTATGTCATTATTTAAATATCAAGCTGCACATCTTATTCGAATACCCATTTGTGTAAATTAGTACTAAGATGAGATCTGACATCAGTATAATCATGCTCATCCATACTAAATCATTAAGAGTCATTGCATGCAGAGTCTTAGGTTGCGAGTTGTATTGCTGTAGGCCATTTTCACAAGAACAATTTTAATATCTGTCAAAAAAGCACCTCTGGCCTTTGATTTTTAAGCATTGGCCAACAACAGACACCAACTCATGGCAATGCATGAAAATTTCGCTCCATTGTCTGTTGAAAGTGTGCACCAAGTCCCTATGGGAGACCGCCTTTGGTCAGCCATGTTGATGCTGAGCAAAATGGAGGAGAAACTAATCACTGCACTAGGCTCACATCAAGCTCTATACAGTCCAACTCTAAAAAAGGACAGCTTGCAGTGACCCTTTGTTGCTTCCTTCTATGAAGAAGAACAGCAACCTCCGTTTAAGCGGACTCATGTGAATGAGTTTCCTGCTGATATCGATCTCCACCCACATACACAAGACCAGCAGTGCATTTTGACAGATACCAAAATGTCCTTGTGGAATTGGCCTTAGGCCCCGCATTGGGGATCATGCTGGGTAAGTGACCTTGTTTTCACTTTCCCTCACTCTCACTGTTGCTCTTTCTGCAGGCTGGCATGTACGAAGCAGTGAATGAGGTCTACAAAGTGCTCATTCCCATTCATGAAGCCAATAGGGATGCTAAGAAGCTGGCCACCATTCATGGTAAACTGCAAGAAGCCTTTGGCAAAATTGTGCATCAGGTAAATATGTTCAGACTCTCTGACGTTCTGTAGCAGTGCTAACGGTACGTGCTGGTTTTAGCTCTTTGTGAGCTGGGTTGATGTCCTCACTGGCTGTTACAGTCTAAGTAAAACAACAGTACTTTGCATTCAAACATTCAAAAAAGCTCCACACGTTGCCAAAGCATCTACCAAAACCACTGTCAGTTTCAAAACAAGCACACGCTCTTGTACACGTGTACACATATACAATAGTATCTCACACAGAAAAGCATGTGGATGTTTAACCAGTTTCCAGACTACAGTACTGTGCGAAGGTCAGAGACCGCTCTTCATTTATGTAATTTTCAGTCAATTTTCAGTCAGACTTTTTATACAAGCTATTCTTTCTTCAGCTTTAGGAAATACTTTGCAGAAGCCTCAACAGCAATCAGCTTCTGTTCACGCTCTGCCTTTATTATTATTATTTTATTATTATAGCTTTTCGAGAGACTTGCTTTCAGTTTCTTTTGAAGAAATCTGCAGGGACAGTTTTACACAGCTCTAAAGCTCAGTCTCACACATTCAGTGTTGTTAAGGTCTGGACTCTGGGGTGGCCAGTCCATTATTCAAGGAACGCCAGCAGCTTCCTTGTTTGAGTTGCAGTTTTTCTTCTTTTTTTGTCTATTTCCTTTTCTCTGTAATGGCTTCTTGACAGCTACACATCCGTTTAGTCCTATATTGTCTTCTCACAGTGGAAGGAGGGACAAAACACTTGCGATTTTTTTCAGATCTGAAGCAAGAGTGGAGCTTAATTTTTTTTCTGTCTACCATTTTTTCTGCATCTTTTGTTTGTTTACTTATTTATTTTTAGCTCAGTGTCGCAAAAGCCTGTTATTTGACTTTCCTTTTGCCTGTGGATTACCTTATGTCTAATGTTCTTTGTTAAATAGCTCATATAAATAGCTCAAAAAAAAGGTTTTCATGGCTGTTTTGCCTGGAAATCAAGTAGTGACTTTTGCACAGTACTGTATATAGTCTCCTAAAGGATCATGTGCGCTCAGTGTTGTACAAATCCTGCATTTAGGAAAAACATTTTACCTGCTTGTTCTCATGCATGCATTTAGTTGCACTGTGAAAGTACACTCATATGCCCCGCTTTTACCAGCACACAGCAAATCCTTAACCCACTGAACATAGTGACTGTGTGAAGTGCTTTGCATGTGTTTGGACTTTGTACCCGAGGCACTATCTTTACTCCCAGGAGAGGTTGAGCACTCAGAAGGCCTTGCATGTAGTACAGCTACTCTGTACGAGGGTGAATGATGTTCTGCATGGGGTATTCGGAATATGTCCTATAGAGGGGCTTCCCATAGTGGTGGGCTGTGAGGGAACTCTGCTGAGCTTTTAAGGTGTGTGACTGTGACCTGCGTGTGTGTGAGTGTGTGTTGATTTGTCCTATATTCTTTCTGTCACACAGAGCACTGGCTGGGAGGTAGGTGGTAAACCTCATGGTTAAATGCTTGACCCACATCTGCAAGCTGTGGGTCATTTATCCTGGCTCTCTCTGCTGTGAATTTGATCCATTAACCTTTTTACGGACGTTTTATGGCTCCGTCCATCCCTCCATCTCTCCGTCCACGGGACTGCTGCCGATGGTGTGCGGGCAGCAACCTCCCCCCCGCTCTCTGTCTCTCTCTTTTCCTCATTCCTTCTCTCTCTCTCACTCCCTTTCTCTCCTGAACAGAAGCAGTGTTAACATTGCTGGTTTTGGCAGACCATGCATGGGAGCCACTGTGTGACACTAATGATGTTGTCGATGAATGCGTCACTTCATTTGTCTCATTTTCCTCCGTCACTCCATCCACTTCTTTCTCTTTCATCAGCACGGGAATCGGTGTATTCTCACCACAGTCATCATAAAGCACAGGGTTCGATTTATGACTGACAGTCTAAGCAAAACCCACAGACAAGTGAACACTGAACAAGTTTTTAACATTATGACCAGTCTTGTTGAATTTTGCAGCATTGTCAGTGTTGCCGTTTTTTTCCCGTCTGTGGGAGAATGTCATTGCAGAGACGGTAGAGGGGTGGGAGGTATGTCAGTACAAAAGTGAATGACATTGTCCCACAATAAAGCAATAAGCCAAAAGAGGCTGTGCTGTACTGTGATTTTATCATGGGTAAGGGTGTTCTCTCCTACGGTAAAATCACTGTAACGCATGGCCTCAAGAAATTTTATTGCTTTTATAAAACAGTGATAAAATATGATGCATACACATTTCAGTAGATATTTTAATTTATAACTAAATTGTAATCACAATAAAAAATTTGTCCACCAATAACTACTTTGTTTGTATATTGGCCTGCTGAAAGTGGACAAAAACTTGCCCATCATTGTACACTGCAGTCCATTCATGAACTTTTCTTTTGTTAAACCATAATATAAGTGTCATAGCAGTGTTTGATGCAGAAACCTTCGCGTAGTAAGTACTTTTTTATTACCACCATTTGATAAAGCTAATTCCTGCTAGCGTCTCAATGCTATTTCTTGTGTTGTGTTAGCATCAAGCTAACAGTGCTACACATTCATTTACCCAGCACATGGTTAAATACTACTTAAGGTAGATCTACCAAAAAACACACATTTTTGAATATAATTTACAACAGTGTTAATGCTGCTATTGTATATAACAATAACATCATCAGTATTTTCCAGATATAATTTTGAGTTCATATCACCCACCCCTACAGTGTAGGATGTTTGCAATGTAGGATGTTTTTCTTCATTGGCCTTTATCCTTTATTTAGAATTAAATCGACCCCTGAGTATTGATTTGTGTTTGTGTGTTGGTATTAATATCTCATGGTTTACTGCATGATCAGGGCCTCCCTTGACCGTATGGCACGATACCGTCCCTTCCTGTAACTGCATGTAATCTGGCGAATGGCGAGGGCTGTACCTAAACCCATTCTCCCACACTCACCCCCTGCCTGTTCTTCCCCTCCCTCCCTTTCTCCCTTCCTTACTGCATGTGTCTGATTTTGGGTTCTTTGTGTTATTTCTCTGTTTGTTACGTAAAGAGTTTAGTAGTGTTGTGGTTTTTGTTTTTCTGTTTGTGTTTTTGTTTGTCTTTCGGAGAGGTTCCTGGTTCCCTGATTAAAATATATATTCTGTTCTCTCCTTTTTTCATTCCCCTGGTTGCTGACCCCTCCTCTTCCCACTTTAATTATTGTGTCTTGTGGTAAGTTTTAGGGTTTATTTCTGTTGCTTTAATAATGCAAATACTGACTGTGATGAACCAGAGAGAGGCTGAGCCATCTCAGGCAGCTGACCATTCCATGTCTTTGTAGCCACGTTGAGTGATCACTTTAACCGGACTGTAGAAAGGACATCAAAACGGGATAGAAAACAAACATTCAGAATGGTACAGGGATGTGGAATTTGTCAACATATTTGTCATCAGTAACCAGTGACCTGCTGGTATTGATGCTGTGGGTGGCAAAGCTAGATTACCTGATCATAGGGAGTTGACCCCATGACTGGCCTGCTTTGGTTCAGCCTGGAGTTGTGTTTGATTGGCACACGTCATGTCGCCCACTCCCTGCCCTCACTTCAAACTGCACACCGTCCCCCCAGTCCTGTATCCCTGCGCTGTCCTCTACCAGCATCACTCTCCATGCTTACTATCCCCCTGACTCTTACTCAGCTGATCCGGTGCCTGAGACTGCTGTAGTCTGATGAATCGTTGGGGCAGCTCGTACCGTCTACAGACTCACTGCAGCTTTGTAGTCTTTGTTTCTTGGACTCTTCTGTCTCCTTGCTGTTACTCTTATTCTGTTCACTCTATATTCATCACTGTTTGCTCAGTCTCCCTTTGGTCTTTGAAGGAAGATCTGCTTAGTTCACAATGATGGCGTTTGAGCTGATTTTTGTACAACTCTGTTTACTCTATTATCTGCTTATATGTTATGCTTAGATTTAGTGTTATCTGACAAGGGCATGGAGTAAATGGCATGCCAATCCGAGACATCTAAGTTTAACATATAAATGGATTTGTAATATAAAATATACAGTGCCTTGCGAAAGTATTCAACTCCCTTAAAAGCCAAAGAGCAATCAAAGGAAATCATAAAAGTAAAGTTATTGACATTTACAAGAAAAAGGGAATAGCCACAAAATAGTATCCAAGTGTTTGGATATTCCAGTGAGGACTGTTGGATCAGTTGTGAGGAAATGGAAGCATCATCATACCACTCAGCCAATGCCTACACAAGGCCGTCCCTCAAAACTTAGCATCAGAGCAAGAAGGGGACTTGTGAGGAAAGCCACAGAGAGGCCAACAATCACTTTGATGGAGCTACAACATTTAATCAATGTCCAAATCTTAATCCAGTCAAGAATATGTGACACTATAGGGGTCCACAAGCGTTGTCCAACCAACATGAAGAATCTGGAGCAAATCTGCCGAGAGGACTGGGTGAAAATCTCTCTCGAACAGTGTGCAGATCTGGGAGAAACCAGCAGACTTCATGCTGTTGACTGTGCTAGTCTGAAGGGGTTGAATACTTATGCAAACAGCATTTTTCATTTTTAAATATTTGACATTTTTTAAAAGATCTGCTGACAAATAATACATTTTTACTTACATTTACTTTAAGAGCATATTGGTTTCCAATAAAAACACTGGCTGGAACACTGTCAAAGTGTAATTCAGAGTCCAGACAAGTCCAGACAAATTTTATGGCTTTTAAGGGGGTTGAGAAATTTTGCAAGGCACTGTATTTCTGTAATCACTGATTCTAATAAATCAGGTTTGGTGATCAAGTTCTGAAGACATGGGCAAAAATATACTGTTCACACAGTCGTGCTTTCTTCTCTTTGATGGCTCTGAAAATATCCTATAATACAGTATACATGACCGTATTCTGTATTGATTGATGTTCCATGTGTTGAATGTTGAACTGGCTTCCTGTGTGTGTCTGTTTTCACTGAACTATTACATCTCTGCAGTACTAAAATTTGCAGTCCATCTCAGTATCTTAGTAACATGGATTTATTTACTAGACTACATTGCTGTTGCAATCTGATAACTTGGTGCCAAGTCAACATGAACTCTCAAATTCACCTTTAAACTTAGCATTTCAGGATTACTATAGTTCACCGTACAATATTGTAAATATTATACTTTTTAAAGTAATTACAGTTACTGTCTTTTGTAGCTGTGCATGGAGTGAAGCAAATTTAAAACTAATCACTGTTTGTATTTATTAATTGCAGGATGGAAAGCGAATGTTTGGTACTTACTTCAGAGTTGGCTTTTATGGTTCTAAATTTGGTGACTTGGATGAGCAGGAGTTTGTGTACAAAGAGCCAGCCATCACCAAGCTGGCTGAAATCTCACATCGGCTCGAGGTACGCACTCATTGGAGCCAAATGTCTCTGGGTATATGTTTACGTTTGTTTGTTTTTGTTTTGTTTTTTTGGTCCCTGGCCCACACAAAGTACATTGTCTTTCTCAGGGTTTCTATGGGGAGAGATTTGGTGAGGATCAAGTTGAAGTCATTAAAGACTCCAATCCAGTGGACAAATGTAAACTGGATCCAAATAAGGTATGTATATGACCTCTATTGATCTGACCTCTATGGTTGAGGAAGCAGTGGAAAAAAATACTTAAAAAAAAAAAATCTGTGTCCCGGTGGCAGGCATTCATTCAGATCACGTATGTGGAACCTTACTTCGACACATATGAGATGAAGGACCGCATCACGTATTTTGACAAAAACTATAACCTGCGGCGCTTCGTTTACTGCACGCCGTTCACGCTGGATGGCCGAGCGCACGGAGACCTTCACGAGCAGTACAAGCGCAAAACCATTCTCACCACCAGCCATGCCTTCCCCTACATCAAAACCCGCATTAACATCATCCACAAGGAGGAGGTAACCTGAGTGCAACACTGTTTACAGCTGTGTGAAGTCAAGGTTAAACATTTGCATGGGAACGTTGTTTTTGTGCTCTCAGACGTTATTTGCATTGAATCAGTGCCAGCTGTCTGTCTGCTTCAAAGTGCTGTTAAGCAAACCATGCACACATAAAAATATCTTTGCCCCCTCTTCTGTGTTGTCCTCAGATCATCTCCATGCCCATTGAGGTGGCCATTGAGGACATGCAGAAGAAGACACAGGAACTGGCCTTCGCCACCCACCAGGACCCGGCTGATGCCAAGATGTTACAAATGGTGCTGCAAGGGTCTGTGGGCACCACAGTAAACCAGGTGATTAGATTTATTTGAATTACATTCAAAACTCCATACGTAAAAACTTGTTGCCTTCTGTCGAAATTCTGTACTGAGAACTGAGATCTGCAGCATTTTCCCAAAGATATATTTCAATCAGGCGTTTAATCTGGTTTTACATATCGCCTGATTCTACAGCAGCAAACTGACCTGAGAAATTCTACATTTTGAGTAGCTATCAATCAAACTTTTGCTAACATTAACTTGCCCGATATTAGTGTGAACTAACCAATCGGAAATGTGAAAAATCTCATGAGCAGTAAAATTAGTTTCATTTGAGCATTTCTTTAGCAGTTTTTGAATTATGGGTACAAAATTTTAATGTGTAACTTATCAATATTAAATCATCTTCTAGTTAGTTTTTTGGTGAAATGAATGAACTTTGCAGCGTGTATCATGAAAATATACATATTGTGATTTGATATTTTTGCAATATCGCCTGCCCCTAATTTGAATTACAAAGGTGAGGTGCAGTGTGATTTTAAAGCCTAATTACTTACCATTGGCACATGGATGTCATTTAGTTAAAAGCCTTTAAAAGTGATTGACATACACTAACTAGTATTGCTAAAGATAATGTGATGCAACGTGTTTGTTTCTCCACAGGGTCCACTTGAGGTTGCCCAGGTGTTCCTGTCAGAGATTCCCAGCGATCCTAAACTCTATAGACACCATAATAAACTGAGGCTCTGCTTTAAAGACTTTACTAAGAGGTAAAAAGACAAGACAATCTGTGGCAAAAGCAAAAAAAATAATTAATGCCTAGTGGACACTACACGACTTTAAGTCTCAGAATTGATTTACTGCTCACACTACACAATATTTATTGCCTGTGACCTGTTTCTTGTTGACATGGCGGTGTGCACACTACACGAGCAATCGAGCTGAGGCAAACACGCTACACAGTCTTTCAGCTGGAAAGACTGTGACAAAACACGCCTGATAAAATCCCATTAAATGCAGTTATCATGTGCTAACTTGGAGCTGGAAACACTTGGTTTTTGCACTTACTTGTGCAAAAAAAAAGAACAAAAATTTAAAATTATTAATTAAGAATTTTTATTATTTCCATAGTCCTATAGCCTCCCTCTGTTTCCTGGGCCCACGCAGAACATGAGTGGCCGTCACCAGCACAGGTGAAAGCTGCCACAAATATTAACTGCTTCAAACCTGCTGTGGGTTTGAAGCAGTTAAACTCAGCTCCCTGATTTTTCTCGCACTCATTGGCTGCTGAATATTGCTCCCAAAAATTGTCCGCAACTGGAACATCAGGGCCAAAATCATGTAGTGTGCACTCAGCTTAAGAGAACAGAGAATTTCTGTTGGGTTTGTTTCTGTTTTCATGTAATTAGTATTTTTCTGTATATCCATTATCAGGTGTGAAGATGCCCTACGCAAAAACAAAAGCTTGATAGGTCCTGACCAAAAGGAGTATCAGCGAGAGCTGGAGAGGAACTACCACAGGCTAAAGGAGGCTCTTCAGCCCCTTATTAACCGAAAGATTCCCCAGCTCTACAAACCTGTGCTACAGGTCAACTCTCACAGGTTAGAAAGCAGTTCTAAACAGCGGCTGTGTGTGGACTCATTCTTAGCACATGGTACTTTATTTATGAGCACTCTGTAAAGCTGTGAAAAAGCTAGCCTGACTGGACAAGAAAGAGAAGAACATTTTTGTAAAATGAAGTAGAAAATCCAAAATGAGAGGAATTTGTTGGCACACTTTACAAAGAAAAGTTGGAATGGCACCCTTCATAGAAAATGTAGTGTTTCTGCATTGAATGGGTTCCTGACACAAATGTGTTATGGCCACAGAGAAAGGGGGGTGCACTATCATAGTGTCTCTACAGTGCCAGATTTCATGAGTTTGCATCATAGTCATTCACATCAAAGAAAAAAAATATCTGAGCTGTTGACTTGGTGCCACGTGCCAGAATTGGAGAAGACCTGGTCATGTCATCTAATGTTTAATCTAGTTTATATTTGACAGCTAGGCTAGATAAATAGATATTTCCCTTTTTAAGTAATGGGTCATTAATAAGGCTGTTATTACAGCATGTCTAACACTTTTTTTTGCCATTTTGACAAGCAGCAAACGGACAGCTTGACAAGGTAGAAAACCAAAATGATTTTTTTTGTTAACTAGTTGTGCAAAACTAAGCACTTATTCGCCTTTATTTTTTTCCCCCCTCACAGAGACTCCTTTAGCAGAATGAGCCTTCGCAAGCTTGATATGTGAAGACCCAGGAAACAACAAAAAGAACACCACAGTTTTATTTATTTGTTTGTAAATATTCAATTCTTCTCGGAAAATCAGTGTTTTTTTTTTTTGCCAGAAAGGAAAAGCTAAAGCGTGAAGTTGGTATGTCATTCCAATTTTGTATGCGTTTACAGAAACGACCTGTTACAATCATTCGGATTGAAAGTGGATCTTGCAGCATGTGTGTCAAAACTGTATTCAATATCCTGTGTGCACTTGTTTTTATTACAGTGTTCTAAAGCATTTTACCACACATGGTACGACTCTGAAAGTTTACTATTTAATCCGAATGAAAAACAAGCAAAAAAAAAAAAAGTACCACTATTTATCTTCTTTTTTATTACATTTGTTTAAAGTTATTGAAATGTTTTAAACATTCTTGAATAATTTTATGTAGCTTTTGTTTACCTTAAATATTTTACTAAATAAATATTTTAATGCACAATGTGTAAGTTTCTTTTAACTGTTAACAGAAATTGTACAATGCAGTTTTAATATGCTGGTGTTTTAATAAGGGTACAAGACAATCTACAAAACAGGGCAAAAATAGAAACGTTGAAGGAATATTTACATAGATTTCCCTCTCCCCATAACAAACTAACAGCCTTTACTGTAGTCATAGATTACTTCTCTGTAGCAAAAAAATAAAGTCCATTTTTTTATTGCTTATAGGCAGTTGCAATGGCTTTAGTTTTTAGACCAGTGACCACAGCAGAGAGCAGAGCCTTATTCCTTAGAGCTGAATGAGTCAACTGACCGTACTTGTGAAACTACACACAAACTACAACGGTTTATGCATCCCAAACAATTATCTGCGTCATTTATTTTATGAGCATTTATGGCTCAGAGCCAGCCGTATTTCAGTGTCATCCTGCTAAATGAGCTAGCTTTGAGGAATAAGGCTCAGGTCTTTTACAACATGGAAAGGACAAGAGAGAAAAGCTTCTTTCACTGGAATGAGGTATGGTAGCAAAGAATGTTGAACTAGAAAAATAAGGTTAGCTATTCTTGCAGTCACCCATAGACAATATACTCTGGCCCTGAACAGTTCAAGCTATACTTGGTTCTATGCTTGTGTGCAAACAGTCCAGTCTCTGCAATTAACACAAGAACTTAAAGCTGGGATTCATCAATTCTGTTCTTGCTTTAACAAAAAAAAAAGTCTCACCTGAATGTTATGCTACCTTTATATGTACACTCTTATTCAACTACCTAACAACCTGAAGCCGATCTTCAAGGATAAAAGCAAAATGTACAAGAATATCTTTAAAACATCCAATATAAAAACCAGTGCATGAGCAAACTACTTGACTCATATCAGGCCATAAGAAAAGAAAGGCTTGCAGTACAGAAACAATATAAGTGCACTGCAGTAAGTGCCAAGGTGCATTTTGTGGGGACCATCCAAAAAATGATCCTTAATTCATATGGAGCAAAAGGTACGAAGACTTGGACAGAACAAGTACATTAGGTACAAAATAGTTGGTGAGCAAGAATCATATATACAGGTACAAATGTCACGTCTTACAAAAGCCAAGTCAGTTTGAGATTTTGTCACAACTGAGACTTCACCTCATTTCTTCTGCACTAATGACAAGCAGACCAGAAACGTAAATATGGAAATTGTTGATCTGATGTCATGGTTACAGTCTGAAGTCATCAGTTTATTTCTCCTGAGACCTTCTTGTAAAAGAGGAGGTAAGGTGTGGAGGTGGAACATGTCTCAGGAGAACAGGCTCTAAGGAAGTCTTCTTCATCACAGAGCCTCACCTCAGAGTCATCAAACAGCATCCACTTGCCCTCATAGTCCAGAAGGTTCTGCAGCGCCAAGTCAGAGCTCACCTGACACTCTTCTTTCACAGCATCACTTTCACACTCCCTCTCTTTTTTCATCCCTCCATTCTTCACAGGAGTACTGGCAGAACTGGCTATATTTACAGGCTTCTCTGAACTGGCCTGCTTGCTGCTGCCAAGCTCGTAGCTAGAGATGCTCCTCTGGCCTCCCAAGAGACCAATCCCTTCTGAAAGCCTCTTGCCTCCTGCTTTGCTAGCAGTGGTCATCGTGCTAGTTCCATTAGTCATATTTTTCCCTTTTCCACTCAAGCTGAATGACACCTCTCCATCATCATAGTCTGGTGGACAGGCCTCCTCTTTCTTCAGAGGTTTCATCTCTCCATCCTCCTCTCTCTCCCCCTCTTCCTGAGGCTGAGGCTTAAGAACAGTGCGGTGGAGATCCATCATGCGGATGTAGGTTGTGTAATGGCCACTGCTAATGGTGACTCCACTGTGCATGACCACAGCAAAGAGCTTGTAGTGATGCCCCTGATCAGGAGCAGAGGGTCGTGTACACCACTCCTCCAGTGAAAGTTTGAGAGGGGTATGAAGAGGAGTATTCACCTTAGACAATCCGGCATATGGGTCCAATCTGTCAGAAAAGGGGAGCAGTTTAAAGGACACGAGTATTTATTTACTAAAGGATGGACAACTTCGTTTTTTTTTCAGTCTTTAAAAAGAAATCATATCCAACATAATGTGACCACTGTAAGTGCACATAACTAATAATTACAAAAGATGGAATTTAAGAAACTCACTCAGAACCACTGGCTGAGAAACACTTGAGGTGAATAGTGACAACTTCAGGGGTCTTGTCAAACAGTAGACTTCTCTCTGCCTCTGTGTAATGGTGGCAGGTCTCGCAGAAGTACTTATCCTGCCCAACGATCCGCTCAACTGACGCAAACTGGGAGATGGCCCATTTAAGTGTCTTCTGCTCAGGCTTAGGATCTGGAGAAACTGAAGTAAGAAGGAAAGACGACAATAGCCACGTTTACATGCAGCCTAATAATCCGTTAATAATCTGACTAATAGCTCAATCGGAATAGAATACGTCCATGTATACACCTCAATCGGAATAAACTAGTCCAATTGAGGCCATTCGGAATACAATTTCTATCCGATTGAACAAGGTGGGTAATCCTGTAAATAATCCGTTAAATAATCCGGAATGTGTAAGTACATTCTGCGCATGTGCGTTCGCGCCATAGTGAAAGTTTGGAACGTTCTACATGACGGGAGCAGAAACTGGTCTGCAGAGGAGACAGAATTTACGCTTTGAACTTTAAAAGACGTCAGTGGGACGTGCGTTCTGAGACACATAAGCTGGCATGACGTCTTCCTCTCACTGCTTCCTTAATAAGTACATGTGAAGTACATTTTTCTGAGTGACATTTTTAACTCATCTTACTCTGACTGGACCTCACGTGATGTTCGCAGTCATGGTAACGTTTACTCTAAGTGGTGCTCCACACATGCGTGTCATTTCGGATCAGATTACTTGTAGTGCTCATGTAAATGAAGATTGTTGAACAGAGTGAGCATATAAAACACCTCAGTCTTAATCTGTAATCGGAATGTATTTAATCAGATTTACAAAAATCTTTGCATGTAAACACAGCCAATTAGGTGCAACCAAGTCTTCTGTGGAAGACAGCTGTGATTTATAGGGCCAAATTTTCTATATGGTGATTAGTTACATTACATATTTCTGCTGTGCATGTTTTTCTGAGTATATGCATTATATCTACTTACTCTCTGAGCTGGAGTCTGAACAGTTTGTTTCATCCTCTTGCACAGGAACACTTATGTCCTGAAAGTCCTCTCTCCTCTCTGTGTAGCACTCACATTCCAGACAACGTGTCCGAAGCACAAGCTGACCCTGGAACAGCTGTTTCAGCACATCCAAGCCCTGCGGTTCTGTTCATAGTAAGTTAAAAAATAATAATTTTAAAAAAGTAAATGATTTAACTTGTAATTCTCCAAGTGGCACAAAGCATCTTAACAGGATTAGCTGTAGTTACTAAAAGCTTTAATAAAAAAGATTTCTTAAAAAATTGTAACTATGGCTGCCTAATTATGATACTAGAGTGCCACCATCCTCCAGGAATTTGCTGCAACTTTAATCTAGTGTGGATTCCACAGTCCTCACCACCTTATCTGACTCTGCATGATTTCCAAAAGCACCCTTGCCCAAAGGGTAAAATTACCTTCTTTTTTTGCTGCAGTCTGATCCAGACTTTCTGTGCGCTTTTCAGTTTCAATGGCCTTCCCTTTGCCTTGGGGATCCTGAGAGTCATCATCGGTCCTGACCTGGTCCCCTTTGCTCTCTGCCCTGTCTCCCACATGTGAGCTGATTCGACCCATGCTGCGAAATTTGGAGAAGATACTGGGCTGTTTCCCTGAAGATTTCAACCAGCTCAGCTTTGCTCGCTTCTTCCTTTTAGTCACCTCTTTTGGGGTTCCTTCACTCTTCTCCTCCTCTATGTTGCTGCCTCCCTCCTTCTCTTGCTTCCCTTCCCTCTCTCCCTCTGTCTCATCCCTCTGATCACTGAGAGAATTCCCTGCGACATCACCAGAGGATTTTCTCTTTGAGCGAGTGAATGGTTTGTTTTGCTCTTCACTTTTCTTGGGTTTGCTCTGAGACTTGGGCTTTTTCTTGGCATTACCTGCTTCGGTGTCACTCTTTCTCTTCCCGCTCAGCTGGCCATCAGCATTCTCCTCTTCCTCTTGGGTAGTCGTGAACTGATCTGCTGTTTTGTCTACTGTGGTAGAGTCGCTCTCTTCTGAGGCATTGCTAGACTCATCTTGGTAACTTTGTTCTTTTTTAATGGTGTCACAGGCCTCCTGGATGTATGCAAGAATGCACTGCAGTACCTCCTGTGCATCATGCTGCAGATATCCCTCATACATGGGGTTCAGTTGCCTGTGAAGTGTAGAGAGAAGCAAATATTGTGTGTTGATCTGTAATTAGCTATTGGCTTGACTGGAGAATTCAAAGTGGGTGCAGAAACTACTGTATTAAGCAAAACATCTTAACTGCAGTATTTAATTTTAATGCATGCTCCGATGATACACTGCACATTTCCTACTATTCTGCAAATTATTCTAGAATAAGTAACATACCTGAGTGTGTTGAGAACTTTCCGTGGTGGTGTGGCCAACTCTCCTTCACTATATTTCTCTGGGTTAAACAGGTAGCTGGACTGCAGCTGCTCCACTGAAGAGATCAGACTGTAGAAACTGCTCAGCAATTCCATATGAACAGGTGTGGAATCATCACAAGACTCTCCCTGCTGAGAACACAGAACACATCACAAGTGCTTCTTAAAGCAGATGTTTCATATCAAAGAGACTTTTCAGTGGAAAAAACATAGCAAGCCTTTTAAAACTGCTGTTAATTTTCAGTTATGTTGCAGGTCACACTGCCTGTCTAGCAAATACATCCTGCAATTACTCAATTACAAATCAATAAGCTAACTAACATAACCAAGAATACTGACTTATACCAAAAATCTGGAAATGTAAACAAACCTCTTCACTTTTAGTGCCATCTTCTTTCTGTTTGTCTTTTAACTTGGACAAATGATACAGCAACTTAACAGCATCTTTAAAACCAGGACAATAATACAAGACCTGCAATAAAAGAAAACCATTGGTCAATGATACATGAACCCAGCACTAGAGGAATAACAGTTGCACAGAATAATAATAAATCATAATTAATGAGTTCCTGTGATTAATATATTAACGGGACTTAATGTACCTGAAGAATGCTGTTCAAGTAGCAGGTATTTCCCAAATTGTTAAGCCCCACAAAAGGAACAAGGCTCTCTCGTTTTCCACAAGGAAGAGAAGAGGGACAAGGCACTGGCACCACCTGGTCACAACTATAAAGACATAGTATTGTATTCAGATAATTTTGTTATAAAACTCTGGGTCGGATATTAAACTGAGTACACGAAAAAGGTCACACCTTGTAGTTTCTTCTGGCTCTGCGGCGCTTGGCTCCTCTGGCTGAGTTTCGGAAAAGTCTAGCGCTCGTTTGGTTTCTCTCTTCTGAAAAAACCTGAGGGAGAGGCGGCTCTTTTTGCTGGGGCTTCCCAGAGGAGCCACCACTCCGTCGCCCTGCAGACCGGGCATTCTGCTCCGCCCACGAGGGAGAAACCGCGAACTAAATCAAGCGGGGATAGGTCAACACCTGGAGAAAAAACAACACAGGAGATCATCCTTTAACGAGCTGCACTTCACACAGAAATCCTTCTTTGATTACTTAAATAATAACCTAAATGACCTCGCTAGCTACGTATCCAGCCATCTAATCCTCGACAACCGGCTAGCTAACCGAGGCTAACGACATATGTTCAGTGTTGCTAGCTAGCTAGCGGTTACCAAATAGGCAGTTACTTCCATAATGTGACAATGCGACCTTTTCAACAAAACTAAAGCATTGCTGTATTCAATTTACTCGTTTCAGAAGTCCATGAAACTCGTTAAACTAACATAGTTACCGACCTGCGACGCAAATACGCGTGTGGGCGGGTACACTTAGCTGGCTAGCCATAGCGTTACCACATACATGCTAACGTTAGTCATAAATCTTAACACATAGACTGAGTTACTTAGCTATATACGCACACAAGTAGCTCCAATAATACACAAATATCAAGTTTTCTCCAGTTATTCCCAGAATGACAAACGCAGTGTAAACTATCAACTAAGCCTACAACACTGAGTACGCTAAGCTAGTGATGCTAGCAGCTGTACACGCTGCCAGTTCTCCTCAGCTACACTGATATCCAGTTCAGCATCGCTCAAGAAAGTTTAAGACACGAACCTGCACAGTCAACACTTTGCCTAGCGACTCCTACACATCTTTGGTTACATCTTCGCGCAGTATCTGCTGAATTAAATCTGAACTCTAGATAATAACCGCGCAAACACAGGCGAGTTCACCCTCGTTCTAGCGGCAACGCAGAAGTTTGGCGCTTTTTCCAGCAGCTACACGCCCCTCACTCACAGCCCCTCACCGCCTGCAGAGAAGCTGTGCTGGTCCAGCGGGCTTACTCGAGCACTAAAACAACAAACACGACAGCGTTGTACAAATTAGCACGTACGAATATACATTTGTTATGTACAATTCTTTCAAAATAATTAAATTCAGAGTTGACCGAGTGTGCCTAATTTCGCAGGCAATGTGTGAGACTACCAACTGAGTCACGTGCTCGGTCAGTGCGGCTGTATTTAAACCCTCGCGTTTACAGTCTGAGATTAAACGGCTGTGTACACCTCCCTGTACCTCAGCCAGGGGTAACTTATAACCAGAGCGACCCTTCATGTATTCCAGTGTTTCCTGCCGTCGTAATATAGACATCTGATTTAATTTTGGTCGGTACTGTACGGGTGAAGCCAGAGCCAGACAGAGGAGAAAAAACCGCGAGTTTGGCTAGACCCCCTCTTTTTATGCATGTTAGATATTTGAGTTAGCGTTAGTATCACGAAATAAGGACATACTTTCTCAAAGTATTGACTTAATATATCGAAATAATGGCTTATTATCTCAAAATAATTACTTTCTAGCTTTATTTTCCAACACAGTCAGTAATTATTTTAACTACGTGAACATTTTGACATTGCTTCCAGAAACGGAGGAGGGGAAAATGGCGATTGTTTCTCCTCTGGCGGGAATGGGCGTCCATATGAAGCAGTAACGAACCAAAGCACACTTTGATTTTATGATATATAAACTAAGCCACTGTCCAGTCCTGTAAAAATAGGTTTTTATTCCCTGAGGTGATATAAAGGCGATGTGCGGGTTCTACCCCTGATAAATTTCAGTGTTGGAGCTGCAGGGAGGGTCTAGTTTCTGTTCAGAATCACATACAGAAGCAGGCGGATTGATTTCTGTACAGTTTGACTCTAACGGTGAAGACCCCGTTACGTAACGCAGGTTTACATGAGCTCGCGCGGTAAAGGCTTTAGAGCGGCCTGTTCGTCCAGCAGAGGGACTCAACGGCCACGGAGAGAGAATAGGAGGAGCAGCTCACTGGTGTAAAAAAGAAACAACAACAAAAAAAAACAGACCAGACGTGAACGAGGGGGAATCTGAGAGAGGTGAAAATGATAATACGGTGCTTTATACTGACTTTATTAGAAAAAAGACACCACAGGATGCAGAATAATATAATAGTCGTCGAAGGTTTTCCTCTAAAGACAGTGTATTTTGGTCACCTCCCAATATTCAGTATGTTTGAATACTAAATGAGTTCGCAGTTTGTTCAATTAAGTAGGCAAAAGCAACCTTCTTGCAAAAGAAACGAGGGTTGGATAACATTAGCTAGCCGGTGGGAAATGAAAGTTCTTCATCAGCAGCCGAAGACCTAATAGCTGCTTATCTTTGTGTGGGAGCCCATGTGAATGAGGAGGATGTGGTTTACATGATTTTGTCATGTGATGGTTTCATTCTGACTTTAATAAGTCCTAGTGCTGAATTCATCGCGGAGTAGTGCATGAACCTGACTATCCTCAGACCTGACGTTTGAAAGCCTTTAAATTTCCACGGTATTGAAATTGTCTTACGGCTGCAAGATCGTTAGAGAAATGATAGCCGAACTTATTTGGGGGGGGTGTGATTACATTAACTTAACACACTTTCTGTGTTCACACTGCAGTGTGAGAAAATTCATAGGAGTTGTCGTGAATACATTGAGTTTGTTTGCACTATCAAAAACCCATCATAATAAAACCCCACCTGATCGTCCGTTAAAACGCAATATCGATTGTATGATTAACCGTACTGCTATTAAGGGTGTGAACCGGTGTGTGCGCATGCGCCTGGGCAGGAGTCGCAGCATGTATGTATGTTTGTGTGTGAGCCCAGGGTGATTGCTGGAGGAAGCGCACACCCCTTCCCATTCCTCAGCTTCATTAAGCTCAAAGCTGAACTCTTCTATATGCACAGTGGGAGGTAAAGCAGAGCTAGCTGCTCTGCACAGATGGAGCATTGGAGTGAGGAAATGCAGAGAAATAGACCAGTGCACCCCAAGAATGAGAGGCATGTCCTGGAATCTGTCAACCCCCACTGAGAAGTGTGCCGCTTTTGCAGTCAGGGCTAGCACTCTCCCATAGCTGCATTTCTTAGTGGTGGAAAGAGACCTTCTTTCACAGACCAGGTCACCTTTTTTGATTCGCATTGGCGTATCACAGTAGAAAATGGCTATACATTAATAAAAAATGTATAGACATTCATGGTATATTATATGCAGGCTCTGCTATAAATTGTCCTCCAGAATTCTCCCCACTTCATGTTTTTAAATCCCCAAGCATGCATTAGAAGAGCTAGTGGTGGTATTAAGGGTGGTGGTCGGCTGCTGAGTGGGTGTGCATGTGCACGTGTACGTATGTATATGTAGCTCACTCTATGGCTGCCATTGGGTGAACTCCAGGGGAGGGGGTGTGTTCAACTGCACAGTATAGCGCTTGTGTTATGGGAACACTCCTCCATCCCCCTTCATACTCCTCGGTAACAACTGTATTGCAGCTCCAGATGCTGTGTGTGTGAGGGGGAGAGAGGAGGGACACGTCTGCTGCTGCTGCTACTGCTGCTGCTGTCTCTTTTTTTCTCGGGGCTGGGTTTTCTTCAGGGTCTGCCTCGCTTCTGCAGTGGACACGGCAAGGAAGAGCCCCCCAGAGACGAAGCTAGCTGAGGTGAGATTATGCATTATGCATTCCTTCTCTCTCAGCTCCATCCATGTGCTGTCTCTGCTGTGTTACTGATTGCACTAACCCCTGTGGATGCTTTCTAGTCTCTTTTTTCCTTCTTGTGGCAGCATATATATATGAAGATGGCTGTGTAGTAGCTTTCAGGTTATAATAGTAGACGTGCTACACAACTACATATTGCCTTACGCATACAACATGCACCATACAGCCACCATTGAATTCCTTATCTTCTCCATCCCCCTGCCTTTCCCTAATCTCATTTTACCTCCATATTTCATCTCGTTTTGTGCCTGGCTGTACCATGTTTCAGCAGACCCCCCTGCAGGGCTGTGGTAATGTCCACCAGCTGGCTGGCGGGCTGGCGGAGCTGAGAGCCACCCCATGAAAGGAGCGGTGCGTTTGATCAGGCTTTAGTGCAGCACCAGGTTCATTATGCCAGACTGCTTCCTCTGCTCTTTCTGACACTCTTCACTGCTGTTCTAGCTGATGGAGAGTCCCGTCTGGATCTGGAACGTTATGGAGGGGAAGCGAGCTAGCTGAGATTACGCCACTCTCTAGAGGCAGGAGGAAACTGTAGAGGGGGTTTCCTATGGGAGCCCTGTGGTCGGTTGCTTGGTGGCAAAAACAGCTTATCAAGAGTGAGTAGGTTTGTTTTTCACTCTTGATCTTGCTGGCTCCAAATCAGTGCTGGTGAATTAATCCTCAGCTAACGCAATGTTGTTTTTCATGAGTGTAATCTTATGCATTTAAGAGACTCAGTGCACAGATACACTGAAGTTGTGTGGCCCACAAACAAAACAGATGACATAAATGAAGGTGCCAAATAATTCAAAGTATTTACTGAATACTTACTTGAATAACTGAACAATTACCTGAAATAAATATGCAGTTTAAAATACTTAAATTAATTCCTGAAGCTTTCAACGCAGTGCTTTCCTCTGCGTAAATATGTCATATCTTCTGGTCCAGTAGAGTTTAAGGGGTGCATGGTTGTAAGGCATGTGATCCAGGGGGCCACCCAGGGGTTCTGATGTTATCCACATGATGACTATCCTCTCTGTGCAGTCTGATCACAGCTTTCCAACATAGCCCTGTTATCCTGAACATACCAGGAATATTCCCTTTCCCTTTGAAAGAAGCTGTTTAATGCTTTTTTAGCCCAATGTGAGTCTGTGACCATTCTACTGTCCAAGTACTCCTAAAAACACCCAAGAACTCGGAAGCAGTTATTTTTAATTGTACTTGTGCATGTGGTTACATGTCATTGTTGTTGAATTTGACAGCCTTATGTGCAACTAATGCATTGTGCAATGGATTTGAGTTGCAGAGATATGCTGTTACCACTGAGTACATTTCAGGGGTCTTAAAAAGGTACTTGATAAAGACCTTTGATAACTACCTGTGCTAACATGTTTATTTTGGTACTCCATCATTGTTATATCCCACTATGTACATCCAGATGGTAATTTATCCTTGTTTAAGCAGTGAAAGCTTTGTAAGTCCATTATTTTTCATTGGTTTAATGTCTTGTACATAAAATATTGTGACAGCCTCTGTGTCTTTTTGAACTATGATTCGACATTGTCTGAGCTGGAGAGTTTATATTCACTTCTACCTTCCACTCAGACAGTCTATGTGGCTAGCTCATCAAACAACAAGAAAATGAAAGTAGATGGCACATACCAAGCCACAGTTTTGGCTGTCTGGGTTTTGGGGTTTTTGATATTCTGTTCAACTTATATCTTAAAGTATCAAATGAATATTAGGGATGCACTAATATGAGAATCGCAGGCTGATGCCGATATCTGATATTCTTCATGTACATATTGCAGATGCTGATGTAAAATATATTATATTATATAAGATGTATTATAAATACAGTAAACTGAATAAAATGCAGATAGTTTAGCGCAGCAACCCTGCGTCAGTCAAATAACCATTGAAACACATTGAGGGTGAACCTCATTTTCAATGGAATTTATTCATGTTAAACTGAACTAAACTAAACTACATTAAACAAATTAACAGAAAAAAATGACGAATTAAATGGCAAAGGAATTAAGAGAACAATTAAGATTTGACTAAGAAAGAGAAATACAAAATAAAACTAAGATAGTTAAGACAGTTAATAAGATTTCAACATAAAAGGATAAATAGGCAACCTAAAAATTAAAAGTCAAGTAAATAATTATAAAAGGTAATAAAAAATAAATAAAAACTGTAATAAAATTGAAATAAAATGAAATAAACTAAGATTATTGGGAAGAAAGCAGTAAATAATAATAAAATTACATAAAAAAGGAGAAAGAAAAAGTTAAACTCAACTAATTCCAGAGTGCAGTAAATCCATAATCAAATATTGTTTTAAATATCAATCAAAGCTAAACATTTATCTGATGTGAATTATTATTTTAACCAAATATCTACCGATACCAGTGTGATTCCAGTACCATTGTGCATCCCTAGTGAAGGCACAAATTTTGATTTATTGGTTACAAACTGGCAACATAATAAAATGAGTAGAGTGTGGTGTTTTGATTTACATATAGCATAATATTACTTCACTTTTTCAGTCCTTAGCATGAGCGAACATGAGCTACACATCCTGACCCTGTACGGAGAACCCTTGTTGAATACCGTTTGCATTATTGTGGAATTAGACATGCTTTTCCTTCCCTTTTGTAGAAAATAAAGGCACATCTGTGAGAGGAAGGACCGGATGGGTCTGTACTCCTGTAAGACATCATGTGGATCTCATTGTTATTGTAGCAACAATAACGGCATACCCGGTAACTCTAGCTCACTGGATTCCTCTGATGGGCCTTCAGTGGAAACACTGACATGATGGAAGAACTGTAGAGGTCTTAGATTGGCACAGTCTGTTTTCGTTTTCAAGTCCATCGCTAATTCCATTGGAAATTAAGAATGTGAACAAAGCCAGTTTTATATTCCCTTGTCTTGAAATCGAAATGAAAGTTGGCCCTGGCTCTGGTGGCACTGTAGTGGGCGGTATGGTACTTACTGACTGAGGAGAGTCTCTGTTAGAGCAGGGAATGTGAGGTCTCACGGGGGTCATGCGAGGGTCTGTGGGGGCGATCCCTTGTCTTTTGTTTCCTGCTGAAGAGCACTTCTCAGAATATGGAGTTAAGAACAATAGATGATGTCATTTGGACACTGCGACCGCCCTTTAGATTTGTTTCTCAACTGAGCAATAAGGAAAAAACAAGACAAGCTGTGGGAGCACATAGGATGGACTTCTAAAGGCTAGCCAACCAGAAGACAAAGAAAGACAAGTCCAAAAAAAAGTGTCTTTCTGCTGGATACTCTTCTTGGTTTCTTATTGAATAGTCTATGACTGGTGTGCGCTAACAGGATGTTAGCATGGGTTCGTAACACTTGTGTTGACAGGGCTTGTCGTGTCAAGTGTTTTGGTATGCCGGGATGGGGAGCACTTCAGGGATTCCCACTGACAACCCACAAAGACTTCTTCATTAGAAGTTTAGGCTGGCCATCGTGAAATGCACTTTATGATTTAGACATTCCAGAAATGAAGATAACTGGCACCTGGAGACTAAACACTGCACTGGCGATAGACTGCTGGGTTTGTTTGGCTGCATTGCTAAAGCACATGTCTTATTTGCATACCATCTGGGAAGGCTATGATTTTCACTTTCAGGCTGTTTTGCACTAAAATACCCACAGAGCGGCTTGTAAACCACTGGGTTCTACTCTCTCTGGTACAAAATTTTGGATGCATCCAGCTAGCAGTGGGCAACATGGCAAAAATATCACAAAATCTAGAGACATTTTCATAATACAGGATATGTAGCACAGCATTTCATTTTATTTGGATTTACATAGACTGTACAGATAAAACAGTAGTGGCACTGATTCATACTTCATATAATGTCCTGTTTAAGGGGAATTCCACAGATTTTTCAGGATTTCTGCATAATTCAATTTTTGAGATGTAAACAAAGTCAATGTGAGTGGTCTGATGGGAAGTGCATTGTAGAAAAACTTGATTTCTTTACAACAATGTTGATAAGAACCAGGGGTTGCAATGTCTACAATGCAAATATAGTTTTTTTTTATTTACTATCCAAAACAACCAGCGAATCAACATCTGTGTTTTTGTATGTAATGTTGGTAATGGTATAATAAAGATAAATCAGATGAAAATACATTTTCTATGCAAACTATTTTACCTTACAGTGTCATGCAAGTGCTTCTCTGCTGTGAATCAATTTTAAAATATATGATTTAGTCTAAAAACCTACCTCAAAACTATCATAAAACAATGTCTCAGGTGTCAGGTGGTGTATTTCTAACTATTTCATGTAATACGTGTTTGTGATGTAGCTTTTAAAGATGTTTAGTTCATGTCACCACCATTGTGTTGAGTTAGTAAGTTTCTCTAGAATGGTGCATTTCATATCAAACCACTCTAATGTCTAAATCTTATTGATTTCATTATGCAGAAATTTTAAATGTTGGTGGAATTCCCCTTTAAACATGACCAGTTATGCTCACGTAGACTTCACAACAGCGTTGTGATTTGAACTTGCAAATCCCTGGACAATGCAGTGAACAGCTATGCCACTTTGTTCTTTTAATGCTGACAGTATTCAAAATATGCTCAGAGCTTATCATTTTTTATTTATCGTGATAATGATACAGTATAGTCACATTGCCCACCTCTACATCTAGTATTTGGTGCCATCACTTCTAGCAAGCAGTCTTGTGTTTTGACACTGATTAAACCTGTAGAACATAAGGTGTTCACTCGTACTCCACTCAGACATCCTCACACTTGAATTTCAGATTAGTTTACTTACCATCCTATAAAACTTTCATAGCTCTGTCTTCACCGAGAACAGAGGATGCCATTTTATTATGTGTTCCCTCTAGTACCTCTGCAGGTGAAAGTATTAACTGCATTTTGTCCACAGCGGATGCCATTCTGAACCATTCTGAAGCATACT